AGACTTTATATCTTATGACTCTTAGTTAAAAGTATCCTTAAAATTATCTATAATAATAAGCACTACTTCGAAATTAATTATATAACTTAAGAGTTAAACTTAATTTACTTCTATTAAATATTAAAAATAATATATAATTATATAGCCTATTGCCTAGTATATTATAAGAATTTAATAAGTTAGAAGCTAACTTAGGGGGAATTATAATCGATTACGGTAATACTATAACCTTTCTATATAATTACCCTTAACTTTATTATAGACCTACTAGAGGTAACCATAGTAGGGATAATATAGTTTATTAAAGGGTATAATAAACTTAATTACTTAGCCCCTATTAATTATATATTCTTAAAAAGGATAATACTCCTAGCAGGGTATATATTATATATAGTAAAAGACTAGGCGAAGGTACTTATCCGGATATTATTCCTATTAGATTAGGGAGTCCCTATATAGATTATTAGCGATAAGGACCTAAAGTTTATATCCTAGATCTAGAGAGCTATCTTTAGCTTCCTTAGAGTTAATTTCCTTATATTAGCCATATATTACCCCTAGACTAATAGGATCTTAGAAAAAAAAAACTAAATAATTAAAACTATAATTCGGTACTATACCGCAATAGATCTAGATATATTATAGCTAGCTCTACTCCTATTGCTATAATATAATCTTAATAATATAATATTAAATATTATTGAGAGAGCACTAAATAAATTAATTTATAGGTTCTACCTATATAGAATCCTTGACCTTATAGCTATATCTAGAATTAAGGATAAAAAAGTAAATATATAAGTATTAAAGGCGCTATATAAGATTTACTATAAGGAGGTAGAATTTCTTATTAATACCTTAGTATTACTAGCTAAGATTAGGTATAATATAAAGCATAAGGAAATTAATATTAATAAAGGTAATATAATCTACCTATGACTCTATAAGGGCTATTACCTACTAGGGAAACCTAAGAGGAAATAATTACCTATAAGGGCTAGACCCTATAAGGTTATCTATAAGATTAGATAATAGGTATTTAAGCTTAACTTCCTAGAATATTAGAAAATCTACTTAGTTATTTCGGTCGCCTATTTATAGAAGCTAATATAGGGAGAGGACCTATACTAACGAATAATTCCACTACTAGCTCCTATTATAATTAATAATAAGGAGGTTATAAACTACTAGGAAATAAAAAGAATTATATAGTAATAAATCCGCTAGAAAAATAAGATATTATATAAAGACTTATTAATAAGATAGGTCGGCTTTATAGCTAAAAATAATAATTAAATAGCTAAACCCGAACTCTAAAATATAGCGAGGAATATAATAAAAGTATAAAAGAGAGTAAATTTAATAAACTAGGGCCTTAAATTTAAAAAGAAAAAGAAAAATATACCTAAATCCTTTAAACTAAAGGATAAATAAGGAATAAGTACCGCTTAAAATAGCGATAAACTAGGAGGAATATATAACTAAAGACCTAAAATACTATTTTATTTATTAATTACTTTTTATATATCTTATATTTATTAGGGAATACCTTTTTCTAGCGATATTAATACCTCCCTTTCTAAAAATATTAATATTTAGGATAAATCCTAGAATTAAGGGATATTATAGTAAAAGCCCGGAGTTTATTAGACTCCTTTCTAATAAATAGGCACGCAAATTTAGCCTTAATACGATAGAATAAACTATAAATATATAGCATAAAACGAGGATAAAACCTAATACTAAAAATAAGCAAAAATAAGCCGAAATTTATATATAAATATAGTCGAATTTACCGTAGGGATTAAAATATATAAACCCCTATAACCCCGCTAAAATTTCACTTAATCTTCTACCTTATATTATATTAATATAGACCCCATAGTATAAGCAAGGTTAAAACCAACTAGCCGCCGGCGAACCTATATGCCCACCGCTAAAACTAACTAAATTAATAAATTATACCTAGTAAAAACGATAGGCCGCCGCTAAATTTATTAATTTATAATAGCGACTCTAGCTATTAATGATGATAATACTTATATTAAGGAGAGAATTAATACTCTTATTACTAATATAGGCAAAGTCTGCCCCGAATAGGATAAGACTATATAGAGTAATATTAAAGGCGATAATAGTAATATTACTAATAATAATATACCTACTTTTAATAACCTCTTTAATAATAATAATACTAATCTTAGCCGGAAGGATATAAATATTAGCTCGAGCGATAATAATTCTAACTATAAGTTAGACCTCGAGGAGATTAAGCTAATTTACCCGCATAAATTTAGCAATAAATACCTACTTCTTAGTAGCGCCCTAAGTAATTTTAGAAAAATAACTTACCGCTAATACTAAGAATATATTAATAAGCTAATAAATAGTTATATTATTAGTAATAATAATAAGGATAATAATTTTAGTAATACCTATACTAATTATAGATTTAATAGGCTAATTAGAGGATCCGCTATAAAGAAGGTCTAGACCTAAATAGATACCCTTTAGTGCCTCTACGTTAAATTCTAGTTATATAGCTTAGAGTATACCGTAAGAGAATAGCCTAATTTTAATTACCCCTGGCCTAATAGTAATTATCTAGAGTAAGATCTTTTCCTCTATATTAAATAATTAATTAATAAGTATTATAATAATATAAAAAGCAGCGAACTCAACGAGGAAATAACTAATAATAATACTCTTATTACTAATAATAATAAGATTATAACCCCTATAATTAGAAAGGGGAAAAAGACTATTAGAACTAAGCGCGATAAGACTAAGGGTAAATCTAATATAATATATAAGACTAAGAACCGTATTTAAGATACTATAAAGGCCTATATAAATAGTAGATATAGCGAGAGTCAGGGTAATAAGAAGTAATAAATTAATTATCTACCCGATTAGGCCGAACTTATACTCTTATATTTTATTAATCCCTATAGTACTATTAATAGAATTATTACTAAATACTTTATAACTATATAATATAGCTAGATAATTTAGATCGGGGGATACCCCGCTATTAAAGTTAGCGGCAAATAGGCTAGAGTTAATAATAATATATCTATAGTCGCCGCAAATACCGCTACTACCTTAATCGCTATATTAAAAGAGATTAATAAAATTAAGGCAAATATAAATAAACTCTGCGATTAGCTAATTAATAAGGTATAATAGATAAATAGTAAATAAAAGTAAATTATAAAGAAGGTCTTAAAATTATAATAAGAATCTAATTATTATTATAATAAAATCAGTAATTAGGCGATTTAAATTACTGCCTATAAGGCTATAAAGGATATAATCGATAAATATAATAAGAACCTTAAGGAATTTAATACCTAGATAGAGAAGATTATAGTAGTAGAGATAAAAAAGTAATTAGCGGTCTTATAGCTAGCTCTAGCTATCTATAAGCCGAAGGTAACCCCCGTCTTAGTCGATCTAATTATTAAGAAGTAGGCTAATCCGGTAATATAAAACCCGGCCGCCCGCAGTAGCATCGCCGCCTATAGAGGTATCTTAAAGGCTAATACTTTTCTCTAATAGGTCGCTAAACCCACTAAAAAGCACGCTCTTAGACCCGCTAAGTCTATTAATAAGACTAATATATCTAATAGGGATAAGATTAGCTAAGACTAGAACTTTTTTAATAATAAGTAAAATAGAGATAGATTATTTTTAATAAGGGCTAAGGGAAAGAATAGAAAGATTAGGCGAAAAGATAATTTCGATAGAAAGATAAATAGAAGTATAGAATTTAAAGAATAATTAGAATATAAATAGGGAGAAAATAGATTTTTATTTTATTACTAGACTTAATAAAGGAAGGATAGGAGAGCATAGATTCGGACTCTACTAGGATAATAGAGCTTTCAGGGACCCCGGCACTTATTATATGCCCTAGTTATATAGGTTCCCTATATAATAGATCTAGCGCTATAATAATTAAATTTAATAGCTATTAATTAGGAAGAATCAACTTAGATTAAATTACTTATATTATGCCTTCTTTACTCTCTATACTTTATAAATTATATAACTTTAATTAGATAGCTACTAAAGTTAGCTATCTTATTGCCGCTTTTAGCGGTACCTCTATCCCTTACCAGAGCTAAGGGATCCATAATAAAAGCTAGCCTAATAGGCACTTATTAGAAGAACCTCTATCTACTCCTATTTAATAATTAGCTAATATAATACCTATATAGGGAAGAATTTAAAGAGGTAGAAAGAAGCTATTTATAAGGCTATAAGCTAGCTAGCTCTTAGGAGAAAATCCCCTGAGTATATGCTAAAGGGTATTAAGTCCTAGGCTACTACTAGGTATATACCTATAAGCTTAATAAATATAAAAGGTTAATAAAGTTTAAGGTATAATTAGTTATTTACAGCGACTAATAAGCGAGAGATCCCTAAGAGACCTATATAGCAATACTTATAGGAATATTATTTAAGATCCTAATAGCTATAATAGTATACTTTAACCTCGAGCTATTATAATAACGTATATATATAGCGAGCCGGATAGCAAGCGAACTAGACACTTTTCTTAACCTCTAAGATAGAAATCACTATAAAAATACCATACACTATTTAATTAATTAAAACTACTTATTATCCTCTTCCCTAGATATCTCAATCACTACCTAATATGTCCTTGCATTATGGCCGGACTTGCCGTAGATACTATAATGCTAAACTCCCGGTCGCGCCGACCTCCCTTAACTACTACTCCGCGACGATTTAGCCACTACCTACGCATCAATATCCATCTAATTAATTGCTTGCCTTCCTTCCTCTACCATCATTACCCCTCTTTTCTATAGTCGGGTTCTTTTTGCCCTCTGGCGCCGGCTTAGTATCTCATTTGCCTATTTAAGTTCTTTAACCCTAGCCTCGAGTAAGGCAACCTTATGCATAACTATCTTTATTCCCTTAGAAGAAGACCATATAGCTTCTAGAATTAACTCTGGGGAGCTACTTTTATGCCTTATAACTCGCCTCTTGAGGTAATCTAACTAAGATTAAGCCTTAAGTATGGTCTTTGGGGTCTTTGAGACCCAAGGGGTCGACGGTTTAGCCTCCTCCTTAGGCGGCATTAGAGTCCATAACTACATATTAAGCTTCGAGACCATACTTTCTGGGTCAAGAGGAATAAGCCCGGCTCCTCTAAAGGCTGCCTTAATATTCTTTTCCGTTATAATGGCCTAAAATGCGGCGTAGAAGGCCAGAAAGAACTCAGTCTTTGAAACGTGAGTTATAGAGCATCTGATTAGATGCTTTATTTCTTAGCCGTAAGCGTTCTTAAGCACGCTAAAGTACCCGACGTTAAGGGGCTAAAGTATATAAGATAAATGAGGTAGCATATAAAGCCTAATAATCTTATTCTCCTTATAATATCTCTCGAATTCGATAGAGTAGTGACTTTCGTGGCTATTAAGGATTAGAAGACGATAGCGACTATTTAATCGCTTGGCTATGCACCGGTCAAAGTGCTTTAGCCACTCGAGACTAGTCTCGTTATCGGTCTAGCCATTTTAGGTCATTATAATAGCCTAATCGCCCGGGAGGTTACTATCCCGGTACTAATTAGCGAGGTAATATTAGCCTACACCGATAATAAATAGCGAGATCGCTTAGCTATCCGTATTGATTACCTAAATAACTATAATCTATTCTCGGTTTCTAGGCTATACCGATTTTAGCTTTCTATGCTTATCTATGCCTATAATAACTATTCCGCTCTGTATTATACCTATTATAAAGCTAGTCTTATTAACGTTATAGATATTATCTAATTGGATGCTATACTTCGCGATTATATTCGCCATAAGCGTAAACTAATTATAGATAATAGTTAGATCTTCGCACTTAGCTCTCTGGTAGTTATATTTCCGAAAAAAATATATCTTAAGGTCTAGGTATCGCTTAACGAAGTTTAAAGCCTAACGCGTGCCGACTAGTGGCGCGTCGCGGTCGGCAAGCAATTAATTAGCTATTTCCTTTATACCACGAAGCTAGGGGGGAAATCCTCGCGAATCTAGGTCGAGAATAAAGTGAATAAGGATCTATTCCTCTAGATTAGATAGTCGGCGTGAATTAGGAATAGTATTAACTCGGGCTTGGATGCTATTATATCGGTTAAAGAGTGTTAAATGCTTAACTTAGTAAAGCTTTGCGGCACCTCTAAGACTTAATTTTAGTGTATTTTGATGGGCTTGAAGTGCAAGAAGGATTCTAGCCTCTTTATTAGACTATGATATGCTGGGTGGTTAAGAATTAATAGATTAAATAGAGAAGGTATAGGTTGAGGGATTTTTTATCCGGTTCGCTTACTATCCGGCTCGCTATATATGTACGTTATAATATAATTAATATATTTATATATACTAAGATTAATAAAGTTATCTATATATAAATACTACCTAATTACTAAGAGCCTAGCATAGTCTTATACTTATAAAAAGTACTTTATAGCCTAAGAAGATTTCCTCTATTATAGTAATATTACCTTAAGATTAGCCTTATAGCAATTAAATTCTAAAGGGTTACTAGCGAGAATTATTATTAATAACTAAAGGGTATTACCTTTTTTTTCTATATTAATAATTATATATTAATATTTCACTAAGAGCTCTACGAGACTATAATAAAGGCTATTAAAGTATTATAGTAATAATATTACCTCGAAGGTAAATAAGACCTATAATAATTCTTAGGTATTAAAGTTATTTAAGACTAAAAGTAATATAAGATTTAGCTATTATAAGTAATATACTATAAGAAAATAGCCCGAGGAATTAAATAATTAAGCTAAGAGCCTAGCAAAGGGCTACTAACCCTAATAATAAAGAAGAGTTACTCTTATATAAAGGGATCGCATTAATATATAAAGTCTATATCTATTAAGTTAAGATTAATAAGATCCTCTATACCGCGGTGATAACTTGGCTAAATATTACCTTTACTATAAGTCGCCTAGCTAGATTTAACTAAAACCTAGGACCTATGTATTAAAAAGCTATAAATTATATATTACGATACCTTAATAGCTCAAAGAACCTTTGCCTAGAGTTCACCGTAGAGCCTAGAAGCCTATAAGATACCCTCGAAGTTATATTAGACTCTAGCTTCACTAATAACTCACTAGACTATTAGAGCTTTTAAGCCTATATAATAAAGCTCTTTAGAGGTATAATTAGATAAAAAGTAAATAAGTAAGTAATAGTTATAATATTAATAATAAAAATAAAGCTTCTTACCCTCTTAAATATAATAAAAAAAGCTATATTTATAAGCTAACTAATCTCTTCTCTCTAAATTACCTTACCCGACGAGCATAATTCCGCCGTAAGCTATATAACTCCTCGCTAAGTAATTCCTATAATCTAAATCTAATATAATAATATATAAACTACTTAGCTTATTACTATAGAGCTTATATAGCTATAGATAAAGCTTTATTATATCGATATTTATAATTATTAGCTTCGGTAAATAATCGCTAATAGCATAGTTATAATTAACTATGCCCTAATTACTAAAATAATAGCTAATAGATTAATAAAGAGCCTAATAAAGGAGCTATTTAGAGCCTTTAGGAAGTAATTAAATATAGTAAATAAGAAAGAGTTATTAGAGGCGAATTATCGCTGAGAGCTTATTAATAATAAGTAGTAATTAAAAAGGATATTAAGTAAAGAAGATCTATAAGATTAATTTATTTATATATCAGAGGGACTATCGAAGTTATTATAAGGTTAGGTCGGCCTTATACGGTAGACCTAAGGGGATATATCGAATATAATAGCCTACTAATTGCCTATAAAGGGTATTACGTAATTATACTAATCCTAATTAAGAAACCGCAGAATTCTGCCCTATTGGCTTCGGCGAGTCTTCCCCGAGGCTATATATACAGAACAACAATACACACGATCACATTTAACATATATCTTCCTGCCCTATAATTAGCTAATGTGGTGGGGTTGGTTTTCTGCCCGGCGTTACCGCCCTCGACTATGTCATGGCCGTGATAATTCCCAGCAGTGCTAAGAGTGAATCTGTATTTACCTTTCGAGAGGGGATAAGAGAGTTATCAGCGACTGGCACGCTGATCTAGTGGTGAGTCACGCCAAAACCTTGGGTCCAGGCTGGTGCGAATTATACATGCACACTCAGACTTTCGTAACGATCTTTAGGCTCAGTTAACCCATCGAGGGCCTTGGGCTGCAACTATAATAAAGGACAGATTTTCAACACATCATAACATCATGACCCGATGTTAACACAGTGGCCTTTTTTAAACTTCTGCAACAGCAGAACAGACTTTCGTAACAGCCTCTATTACATTGATATGTCCGGATTTTAGTTGTGTGAGTCATTGTAAAAGTGTAAATAGATTGTCGCGCCCAGGCAGCGGGTAGAGAGTTTTCGAGGTGCGTTCAATGGCTGATAACTGAACGTAGAGAGGATGTACTGTTACTCAAATCCGTCAGTAGGAGAAATGCGGTTTCAATCACATCGATAATGCGCTGTCAACATAAATACTTGACGTACAAGACACGTTTAGAGTCTAACACTTGATTCAATAAGGGCACTCATTCCGCTTAGCAATGTTGGACGCGTTTTTGTTCTCACTCTAAGTTGCGCAGGGGTATTGATCGTCAAACCAGAGCATCGCGTCATTCTCCCTGTCGATGACGACTGTGCAAGATTGTCTTTCCGACGCCAAACATCGACTCGATTTCATGTTACTCAATGTTATCAATCGCTTTTGGGGCAGTTTGGGATTTTTTGCATGGGCTTCAAAGGCTAGTTATCAAGCACAAATGTCCGTCATAGCCCACACAAGCGACTACCTACGTCTGGTTCATTGACCACGCCGAAGGAGATTTTAATCACTCAAGCCTTGATTCGAATAAAATGCAAAATACTACCATCCTATCTGCACATCGATCGATCGTAAGGCGATGGCGTTGCGCGAGACATGCGAATCATCAGTCCACGGTGTGATTACCTTGAATCTACTAACAATAGCTAAAGTTCTGAAAGTACAATTGATGTGTGAAAAGAACTGGTAGAATAGGGTCTAGATCGTTTTGTTATCTGTTGCAAAGCAGCACGGGGCATCTCCGTTTCTCTCTCCCTATGGTGACATGGGGGAGAGTTTTGTTTGATCCAGAGACAAGGTGAAGATCACGACGGATTGCAGGGAGTCAAGTCTCACACAAGACTTTCCTGGTAGAGAGATATAACTCGCCGCTGTTCACAGCCCATTTTTATCAAATGTCTATCCTTGTATCGTTGGATAACAGCCGCTAAACGTGTTGCAGAGAGCAGCATCTGCAAACGTGGTGGTTGCTACCCTGAACCTTTGCCCAGGAACGGCTGCGGGCCTTCAACGACTCCCGAAAAGAGGGGTTCATCCCGAGGTCCAATCAAAGGCAGGCGCCCCATTGTTATCCGGTGTCTCGGTTAGACTTTGTCCAATCATGATCGGAGACATGGGGCAATGTTGGGAAGGTGTGATTTAGCCCAGATGCGGCTGACCCTCCTTCCGCAGATGCCGGGAAAAGGGAAAGAGAGAAGAACAAAGAATGGGAGAAGGGAAAAGGGGAGGGAACCCTCCATCAGCGGGAGATCCCGTTAGAGTCCAAGGGTAACTTTAATGGTTTTGATTACGAGGTTTGAGCGTTTAATAGACCGTTTCTTTACTCTCTAGCCCTAGTGGGCCAGCTAAAATTGCAATTGGATTAGTGACGATATTCTCCGGGAAATCCCCCACAAAGCGGGAACATCCCGTCTCAGGGACGAGAAATAGCGCCGGCTTGAGTTTATCTCTCAGAGAGAACATCTCTCAATATTAACATTCTGTATCAAATGCAACGTCAATCTTCAGCTCCGACACTTCCGACCAACTTTCACAACCGTAAGCAACGCCCGAGCCCCCCCGCGCATGTGCCTCTCCTGCGCTTTGTCTCCCCTGTTTCCGGGATGCTCCCCGACTGGATGCTCGACCCTCAGGCTAAACCAAGCCCTCGGGAGTCTGCATCCCCCATTGGTTTACCCACTCTGTCAGTCTTGTTTTAAGTGGAGGGTAAAGAGTCTGGGCATAATGTTCGAGTGAGCAGTGGCTTGCGCTCTGGGATTGCTCATGGCCTGATGGATGGTGGGGGTGGGGACATGGACAAAGGAATTAAAAAGACCACAAAAAGAACGTGGCTCCGGCAACGGCCCGCCCTTTTCTCTTTTCTGCATCTCTGTTGGTTTGGCTTTTTATTTTGATCGAAAAGGATCTGATCTGCAAACATGGCGGAACCCACTCAGGAGGATAGTCGACAGTTGCAAGAGACACTGGCTGAGAACCCTCTGCAGGCCGACGTAGGCAGCATGTGTGACTGGTACTGTTCTGATGCTGACACCCACAGGATACTGCCTCTATCGCCGATTCAAGCTTTGGTGGCTCGTGAGTCTTCTGACCAATCTGGATTAGTCCCCGTCTGACGTCCCCCCTTAGAGACTCTTCTAGTTACTATACGTCCATCAACTCTAGTATTCGCAACTACAAGTATGTGATCAAAGCTTCTTTTACCTTGGTGCTCCACTAATAATTCCCCTCTAGATATGAGGTTAGTGGTGTTGATCCCATGTGTCACGTCTCACCAACACTATTCTAGAATGGACGCCGTTATCATGCATTCCGTGAGGGTGCCTATCTTGTGGTACGTATCATTACATGGCGTGTAACTACCCATCTCACATAGTTTTAGCCCAACGATGACGATGAACAAGATCGCATGGATTTAGGTCATCACATCTATCGTCTTCTTCTTGGTGGAAAGCTTTACCTCGCCCCTATCAAGGAGCCTCAGCGGGTACTTGACCTTGGTACCGGAACTGGTATTTGGGCCATGGAGTTTGCAGAGTAAGGCCTCAAAGCTACAATATCTGGTTCCTTTCCTGATTGTTTCTACTAGCGAGTTCCCCTCGGCTCAAGTCCTGGGCACTGATCTTAGCCCTATCCAACCCACATGGTAGGAACCACTCATCCTTCCAAACCGAGAACAGCCCCTCTTATCGTTTTACACATAGGACCCCACCAAACTGCGTCTTTGAAGTCGACGACTTTGAATCACCCTGGCTCTACAAGCAACCATTCGACTACATCCACGCCCGAGAACTAGGAGGTTGTGTAAGTAGCGATAAGCACTTCTTTGACCAAGCTTTCAAGCACCTGAAACCCGGCGGTTATTTGGAAATGCAAGCCGTCTATACAGACTTCAAGTCTGACGATGGAACCAAAGACAAGGCCGAGAACGCAGTTGTATGGATGAAGCACATGGTTGACGGCACAGCCAAGTTTGGAAAACCCCTAGATTGCGCGATTGGATGGAAGAAGGCGATGGAAGATGCAGGTTTTGAAGACGTTCAACAACAAGTCTACAAGGTTTGTGCCCCGACGAGATCTGTCTAAACGGGTATACTGACAGTGTCAAAGTGCCCTATTGGACAGTGGCCAAAGGACCCCAAACTCAAGGAGATTGGCAAGTATCAAGCTGCTCAAGAGTCTCAAGTCATCACTTCATATACTCCAGCCGTCTTCTCACGCGTTCTAGGCTGGCAGGATGATGAGATTCAGGTTTTTATGGCCAAGGTCAAGAAGGATATCACGAGCCCGGCCATCCACCTCTATCTCCCCGTGTACTTTATCTGGGGTAGAAAGCCTGAAGCATAAGTATTGGCCGATGCGAGATGAGCTAGAGGAGGTACTGTCTATGAAGGTTTAAAGTTGGTACATTCTAGAGTTGAGCGCTGAATCACTAATGATTTGTGAGGAGCTTTTATGAAGCAATGGTCAACAATTACATAGATTTCAAATTCGAGCCACGCATCACCAACTTTATCAGAACCTGACGTTCCCCCAACCATCAACAAGTAAAATGCCCTCAAATCACTCGAAACATGTTCGACTTGACTCCCCTCTTCAACCCCTCTGCCTTCCCATCCTCGTACTCAACCCCGGCACTGCCACCTCCACCGGACAACATCTCCAGTTTCTCTCTAAGCTCCTGGTCCAGCTGCGCACTTGTCTTTTTAGGCGCTTTCAACTCGGATGGAGAATGCTGGGTAGTTGTGATGGATGACTTGACTGTTTCGGTGGTTCTTGATCCCGTTGGTGTTGTTTCTGAAAGAGCTGGTTGTGAAGCTGCTCGCACGGTTGTGGCGTGAAGGAGTCTTGAGGAAGCGGCCATTCGCGGCCTCGAGTGTAGAATGGTGCGTTGCATCATCTTGATTGTTGACATACAATGTAGGTGGTTATGCAAATCTTTTAATAAAAGGTAAACGGGAAGAAAAGCGAAGTAGGCTGTGATATCCTGACTTTTGTTTGGGGTAGTCGAGGTACGTCATCAACACGTCAGGATCCATTGTGAGCCGATCCGTTGCAACAATCACGTTGTTTCTTTAGTTCGTTCAACAACACACTCAACTTTGCAGTGGTACCCATACTTGGTAGTGAAAAATTGCTTGTCCAATAAGATGTATTCTCAGAAACTCCTCGCACCACCTATTCTTTCAAGTATGCGCCAAATACCTAGTACAGCTGTAAATACTGCCCGAATCTTGCCCTCGCCCATTTTCTCCTTCATGAGTGGGCCGGTGCTGCTGCTGCTTTAACCTGTGTAGTGGGTGTGCAGTGGGTGTGCGGTGGGTGCGCTTGGTGTGTTGATTGTGGTCGACACACGGACGCCTTGGTCTGCCTAATCTATAGAAGGCTTCAGGATGCCTACAGAGATGGCAAACACACCCTAGAGTTGACCCACCGGCATAAAGGAGGCTTTGAACGCGTTGTCATGACTCTGGGCCAACTCAGGGTGAAGGTGCCGGGGGCGATAAAGGGGTCTGATCTCAGACCCCGTATTTCATGAGATTGACACGACTCAGCCTTTGATGACACCATGAAACTCATAAGCCAAGACGAACTGCCTTGCATCAGAATCTCGTGGTCACAAGGCAGGATTATCTGCGAGTACGGCGGTCGATTATACTCAACGGACCAACAGAAAGTCAGGGTAGTCTGTTGGTGTGGCAGATCTCTGCTGTCTTGCCGCACATAGCTGCCACCTCAAGGGTGATGGCAGGGAGGATTCAGGGACTGCGTCGAGATTTGCTGTGAAGTAATGAATGTGCATTAGTGATGCCCAGAGAGGCGTGCCTGAGCGCCGGCGAATCGGAAGTCCGGCATCTACATCTGCCTCAGGAGCCGGACGGCATCATGTTCTTCGGAGGTATGGCTCGATCAGATCCACCAGCATGACAGGAGCCACCAACGGGTAGGAGATCCGGCTGTGGCGCGATCAAGAAACTAGCAAAACTAGGAGGATGAGCACGAGGTCCGGATACCGCGAGACGTGGTGTTAGGACTATGATTCGCCTTGTAGGTCGCCCAGGAGTAAGCGCTCACAGCCTTCGGAATCCATCTATATGCATCATGACCGGTGCTTCTCTATCTCCGAGCAAGCGGTGCTGTTCCGCTTCTACGACGAAGGCAGCTGGAAGTCCTGTGCCGAATCGAGTGCACCGCCGAGTCGTGCTCCGTGATTTTGGGGAGCCTATCTTCAAGGCGAGCTCTCAGGTGGCTCTGCTCCGTGGACTAGAGGGCTACATAGAGGGACACGAGTCTCTGCATAAGGCCGGTTTCCTTCACAGGGATATCTTAGTCAACATAAAGACAACAAGAATGCATCCTAGCTCTCAATCTTAATCGATCTAGACCTTGCCATCTAAGAACAGCGAGAAGGTGTTTCAGGAGCGAAAGGAAAGACGGTAACTAGGGCTTTCATGGCAATCGGGGCGCTTCTCGGCGAGCAACATTCTTTCATACATGACCTTGAATCATTCTTCTAGGTGCTGTTCTGGATATGCGTTTACTACGAAGGGCCGGGCCAGGAAAGGGTTGTATTACGCCCAGACTCTTACTCTAGTAGGTTAGGGCAAGGGTCTGTTGGTGAAGGGTTTATGTTGGCAGAAAGTCAGGTGCACTGGGCAATAAGGGTGGCGTAAGGCGTGTTGCCCCTTTCTCTGAGAATCAGATAACGACTTGGATTGAAAGCTGTCTAGGTACAGACTGGTGTGAGTAGCGAGGGGAGACTCGCTGCTCCTGAATAATTCTCAAGCAATAGGCTAAGTCTGTTGGGGAGTTGTGTCCAGTGACTCGCTTGAGACACCGCATCATAGGTGCCATCCCATGTGCTATCACCACCTGGCAGTCCATTGTCCTCCTGCCCGTAGGTCTTGTGTCATTTGTCTAGGCTCCATTGCTCCGTGATCCATTGTCTTGTGGTCACAATACCGTGGAGGCACGACGGCCAGCTTTGTTAGGCTGCCGTTCAGCTGGTGACTGACAGGGATTTGTTTGCGGCCTTGGGGGCCTGTTTCAGGCTCCCTTGAGCCAGCGAGCCTAAATCAACCAATGGGTTGATTTTGGGACCCCGGTTAAGGTTTTCTGTTCCCTGCGAGGTGTGTTACAGTACCTGTTTTAGGCCCGGAGAAGCGTCTCTCCTTGCAATTGGCCGGCCCTATGAGAGCCACAGGGAACCCCAGCCCATAAGGTACCTAGTTTAATTCAACCATCTCCGTTACTGTGGGACCACTAGCACACTGCTGCATACCTTAACCAGCATCACCACGAGCACAGCTCGACCAGAGCTTGAAGGCGCCTCGATTACAGACCACAGAGTAACTACCTACCTGAAAGGCTCCGAGATGCGATGCGGCGGTAATCCTACCACCTCATTGGACGGTCACGTGAGCGACCCCTCACGACCGGAATCAGCTGCCTAAAATTCCGTCGCGCCCAACAAAGACCGTACCAAAAACACGAAACCCATTCATTCTGTCGACCACCTCAACACCCAGTCTCAACACCCAGTCTCCCTTCTTCATCATGGACGAGACGCAGACTCACCCACAAGCAGAGCAAGTTCCCGTAATCCCACCGTCACCCAAAAGACAGATCGACAGCGACAGTGACGACGAACCTCTGACAAAACGAGCGCGATTGACACGGAAGAACTTGGCCCTATTCGACAAGATGGGCAAGAAGAAAACTTCAGACCCCACAGACGACTCCAAGTCGACTAGGACTACATCGACAACAATGTCTGGGTTCGCTATCCAAGCCCGACAGAATGGAATCCTCGACCCTCGCAGCTCAAAGCCGCCCCGGAACCTCGAGCATCTCCGCACACGACTCGCCAGGTCCCGTGAAACCGCTTCACCCTCCGAGTCAGCGTACGATGACTATGTTGATCAAGTCGAAAGAGCCAAGAACGAAGCGACTATGGTGGTCAAGACAAGCGGGAGGCTGTTGCAAGAATATCCCAAAGGCTACGACCAAGCCTTCAACCAGGCATTCACGGGTCTTCCAAAAGACGTCGGTTTCAACAATGGCCTGTCTATTCCGCAGCCTGACTTCGTTGAGGGACTTGAGATGGAGAAATACCTTCCGTTCCCGGTCGACAAGCGCACCTGCGGGGCCGTCCTATATAAGGATGACCCTCACTCCTTAATACTGCCGCATATTGCCGGAGAATGGAAGGGATCCGGAAAGGATATGGAAGTAGCGAGAATGCAAGCCGCCTACGACGGCGCGGCTCTGGTCTACGCCAGAAACCAGGCCCTTGATGCCGCGAAGGAACCGTACCTCGCTGGTCACGCAAAAGTCACAACATTCACCACGGATGGCCGCAACCTCAACCTCTTCGCACATTACGCTGCCAAAACGGAGGGCGGCACGCCCGAATACCACCAGTACCCCATCAAGTCGCTAAACCTTGTGGACTCCCACCAAGGATACAAGGAGGGCCGAAAGCAACTCAGAAACGCCCAGGACCTTGCAAGGGAAGAGTCCTATGCACTCAGGGACGAGCTCAAGGATTACTGGAGGCAACCCCGTGACAGCCTCCATCCTATCGCCGAAGGAGTTCCGCCTCTGTCTGTACCCGACCTGGAGCCTCTGGATACGACGCATGTGTTCGAGGACGAGGACGACTATGAAGTCGTCAAACCACGGCCTGTTTACCAGCCCACGCCTCCTACATCGTCCAGACCCAAGCACGACCAGAAGCGAAAGGCCCAAATCTCGCAGGAATCGTCGAGCGTGTCTTCCAGGTACAGGAGCAAGCTCAGGAGCTACTGGAAGAAGGACGTCATGAGCGGACGTCATTACCACAAGCATTCGGATGGTACCGTCTCCTGGCTTGACGACGAGGAAGACGAGCGTGATTAGTATGGTCTCTGGAACATCGACCATGAAGGAGGGGAAACCTGTTACAACCTGCCAAGCCAGTAGGCACGTGACCACTGTTGGTCACGTAATCACGGCAAACCACAAAGTCAGGAGTCCCTACCCTCTGTGGCTCTACAGAGGTCCGAGAGCTACCTAGGTAATTTTGCACGGGAACTCCATAACCTCCGAAAAGCTGTCTCAGCATCAATACGGCCGCGGTATTGCGCCTACCCCTGTGGCTTTACAGAGGTCTCCGTTACGCCTTCCACTGGTTCAGTCTGAAGAGCCGGATCAACCATGTCCATGTGGAGATTGGGGAGACAAGGAAGGACTGCTAGGACCGCTCCTGCACTATCTTCTGGGAATAGTCCCTGCGAACCGCCCATCGCAAGGATGCCTTCCGATGAGATTGTGGAAGAGGGTCCCTCAGCAGAGCAGGACAATCCCTCAAGTCTACCTACCCTCGCCATACTTTTCCTCATAATTCTTAGGTTTTCTGTCCGTAATAAAATCTCAAGTCTATTCTTACCTTGTATCGTAGACCTTTGCCAGTGTTTCTTCGAGCCGAACTCTTGCTCAGCTCGCCTGCCCTGGCCGGCGTGAAAAGGTGACATTTCAATTTTCGCACTGATGAATACTCGGTATGCTTCGTGAACATACTCATAGGGATCGTTCTCCCAGAGTTGCCTCACCAGATACATATAGTTCTCGAGAGTCAGGTAATTCTTCGGTCTTTTCTCCTCATGTAAACCGTACTTCTCTTTTATTCTTGTGTTGATATCCTTGCATTATGTTAGGAAGGCATACTCTAGCAGGGACATGTGTTCTGAAACTTACATTGGTGATCGAATCGCTGAGGTCGCGAGAGATCTGACACCTTGGATTCCGTCGATTCCATATAGACTTGAACAAACGGAAGTGGGACTTTTGTCTTTTTTTGTTTGTGTAAAACTATACGTAGACATGTATCGGTGATTTTTTCGAAAGAAGTCATTGTTCATTAGGAGCAGCTTACTTATACCAAAGGTCCAATTGAACCTGGCCTTTTTCATCAGTGCATTCTTCCACTCGTCGGGAGACGGGATCGTCGTTCACGGCGTTGATATCGTCTGTATAACCATTCTGCTCTGCATTTCTTATCTTCTCCTCTGCCGACCTTGCCTTAGATATGTTGGGTTATGGCTCTCCTAGCAAAGTAGAAGAGGAAGCAACCAAGACAAGGAAAGCGCTGCAAGAACTGAAAGATTCACCACAAGAGCAGGGGAGCAAAGGTCTGAAAGGTACGAGCAATGATACAATTAAGGAAATGTGGTTTAAATGCGGTGCAGGTAAAGGAGGCCGAAAAGAGCGCGCCTGGGCAATATATAGAATTCCCCGCTGTGCGGGCATGCGGTGGCAGAAAGGAGACCCCCTGTGTTTAGTTGTGAGTTGGAGTCGCCCGAAATGACTCCCTGTCACAGCCCTCGCGAAGAGTTGACAACTCTTTGTCGTGGGCCTCTGTTGGTTGCAGAGCACTGCCAACTGGGCTAAACAGCTCTCTCAACACTCTCTAGGAGCCAATCTTCAACAACCAGCCATCCGCCTCGGTCTCTCCCTTGGCATTGACGCCTCCCCACATGATGACTCCCTTACCATCCAAACAAGTATCCGCACCAAAGAAACCACGAGGACCAGGATGCACCTTTCCAGTCGTTTGTGTCAGCTCGGTGGGTGCAATCTCAAGCTCGTGCCAGCTGAATTCCCCAGACTCCACACCTGGGATGGCGTCGCGGATGACGTCTTTGACGCGGGACCCGGTGAAGCCACCCGAGGGGAGTTGCAGGGACCACATGTCGGAGTAGAAGGGGTGATCTTCGGTAAAGGTTTCGTCTGAAGATATATCGACGTCTTTTCGGCTTCCGAATAGGCAGAGAAGGTAGTGTCGTCCGTAGCCTGTCGTCACATGAGACATTGCACCTCCCACACGAGGTCGAGGTCCAGGAGCCAATGGGTTAGTGGGAAAGTCAATGGTGGACCATTCTGGCGCTTCGGTTTGATCTTCAGATGTACCTGGCTTGATGTAGTGGATTGAGCCATGCACGTCTGAATCGCCGCTGATGGAGTAGAGTGTGCTGTCAACATACTGCGCTGCGAGAGACACGGCGGGAGCAGCTGGCAGCTCGTTCCACAAGCGTGTTGTAAAGTTGAAAACCCAAGTATCCCTGGTCGGCTCACCATCCTCGAGGCCGCCGTGGAGGACCAAAAGATCCCGCGCCTGATCATAGAAGATCTGATGCTTCGATCTCGATTCTGGCGCTTTTCCCACGGCCTCAATCTTTTCCCACTTGAGCATATTGGCGTCCCAAAGCCACAAACAAGATCCTTCGTTGGGTGCTTGTCCATCACCTTCCTGTCCTCCATGAATGATGAGAGCGTCACCACGAGCACAGGCGGCATGGTTTACTCTGGGGGCTGGACAAGCATCATCTTCACCCACGGCTGGGTAGCATGCATACTCTCCATTGCCCTGTTGCTCGCCTGGAAGAGATACAGCGTGAACTTCGTTGGAGCATAGTTGGCCGTCTTCTCTGTTACCGCCAAAGATGTAGGCTCTGTTGTTGATGACGGTGACGGTGTGATGGGATCGAGCCAATGCGAGTCTGCGATTTGTCAGCTTTGTTTTGAATCTCCAGTTCGAGCATCCTACGAGTCATCTTCTGCTGGAGTCGACGCAATCTGGGTCAAAACGACCGTCAATGGCTGCGACGGTCGCGCAACAACAGCAGCGGCGCCAGCCTCGACACCCGTCGAGATGATTTGCTCGGCGACGATAGCTCCAGCTGCGACTTCTGCCATTGTGAGTGTGTGGAATGAGATTATCGTGGTGGAAGATGTAGATGAAGGAGAGAAGAGTCCAAGAGTAAACAGTGAAAAGGTGACGTAGGGAGGGAGAAAGGGTCGTCTTCCATGACGTAGCTGTGCGAGTTAAAAGTGGCACTGGAATGTCAGCTTGGCAGGATCGAGCCACAATGTCCCTGATTGGAACCACGGCATGTGAATGTTGGAATTGATTCAAGAATTGAATTCTTGATCAAGGTTAGAATTAGCTCCAACTCTGTCGTTTCTGGGGATATACGAGGGAATGGTTGGGTGACTATTCTCCGAGTTCCGCCTTGAGAGGCCATGGCCGTATCAGAACTGCCACCGTGCCACGCTGTGAATGGCCAAGGACAGGGCCAAGAAGTGACAGCCAAGAAGTGGCAGGGCAGGGCAGGGCAGGGCAGCTGTGTTGCTATGGGGTGGGAGCTGTCCGAGACACGCCCCCCTGAAGCAAGGCAATTTCCGGCTACAAAGTTCGTGATACTGATAACCGGACAACACAGGGTCCCTGGCACCTCCAACGTGGCTGCTACGATTAGATACTCCCTCGCCCGTCTGGATATGTTAACAAGCCTTGGCTATCCTGGGGGACAACGGCCCCTGGTGTCTCGTCCGGAGTTCCAGTTCGCATTAAACACTGGGCTTTGCTTGCTTACTCCAAAATTCCTGGGCTTTTCTCAAATTTAAATCTTTCTCCACCAAGCCTTGTCTGATATCAGACCGACAATAGCATTTCTCTCCGCCTGCCTTCAAAAATAATGTGCCCGGGTGTAGCCGTGCCTAGGTCGCATATCGGGCTGACTTGGCACACCCACTCCAATTCTAGACCGTTCGAATACCTGCTCCAGTGAATCAACATGGTCTTTTCGGAATCCTCTCCTGCCAAGGGAGGAATCGGTATAAAACCAACCATTCCGCATCCCGTCCAGCTTCCCCGCGTCTGCGGCTCCGTGGCCCGCCCCCGCATCCCGTCGGAACGTTCCCGCGGTGTGTGTTACACTTGGAGAAAAACATGTGCCGGCTTCGGCAGTCGGAGGCTAGCAGCGGATATCAAGGAACATGGCTCAGGGATAGTTGAGGACGTTGTGATGACATAAGAAGGGCGTGGCTGTCAGGACGATGAGGAGAAGAGTTAGTGTATAATCTGTTCTCATCAAAGCAATTGACTATCAAACAGCGACAAGATCAAGCATTCATCATGTCCGACTCTGATTACACCCTCTACTCTTACTTCAGGTCTTCTTGTTCCGCGCGTCTTCGAATCGCTCTGAATATCAAGTCGATCAAATATGACATGGTCTATGTCAATCTCCTCAAAAACGAACAACTTTCAGATGAACACAAAGCTCTCAACCCATCCGCCTCGGTGCCCATTCTCATCAACAAGGCGTCAAAAGGCACTCCATTCAAGTTTGGCCAGTCGGTGGCTGCTCTAGAGTATCTGGAAGAGAAGCATCCCGATGTCCCAATGCTTCCACCAACTTCTGACCCCGAGGCTCGAGCCATGGTGCGCACACTCGTCGACATCGTCTGTGTAGACATTCAACCACCCACAAACCTTCGAATCATGCGTCGAGTTAGAGAACTCGGAGGCAGTGCCGAAGATTGGAATCTCCAGCTCATGACGCAAGGAATGGCAGCTTACGAGAATGTGGCAGCGGGGACAGCGGGCAAGTATTCTTTTGGGGACGAGCTGACTCTGGCGGATGCTTGTCTCATCCCGGCTATTTGGAACGCGGAGAGGTTTGGTGTTGACTTGAATGCCTTCCCTACAATCACCAAGATTGTGGAGAATTTGAAGGATCATCCGGCTGTTGTCAAGGCGCATTGGCAAAACCAGCCAGACACTCCTGAGAATTTGAGGGCGTAGATAGTTCTAGTAGAGGCAATGAAGAGCAGAGTCTGGCTAAGAATGAAATTTTGATTGTATCATGTCATCATTGACCTTTCTTTTCTAAAGTAAACTCGCCTACCGTCACTTGAACAAAGGCAACGGAGGCTGAATAGTGCCAGCAACCTCACCGAATCCTACCACGGAATCACCACTTCCGAAAGAACCTCGAATGACTAGGGTATCGCCATCTTGCAAGAACTTGCGTTCCTCGCCACCGCTGAGTTGAATAGGAACCTTGCCGCCCTGGGTCTGCTCCAAGATGCTTCCTTCAGTACCAGACTCGGTTCCAGAGATTGTGCCTGAGCCAAACAAGTCACCCGGGCGGAGGTTGCAGCCTGTGATGGTGTGGTGGGCAATCATTTGTGGCCATGACCAGAGAAGGTTCTTGGAGTTGGTTCGGCTGATTGTCGTCTTGTTTCCAGCGGCAGCTAAATGAAGTGTTGGCGGTAATCTTGCATTGTCATAGGATTGGCCACTTACTGATAAGATCCACCTCAAGATCGATGCCCAGCACATTATCCTGGACCTTTTGCTTCAGATAAGGCAGAAGCTCATTGTCGTTCTTGATACCAGGTCCCTTGGCTCCCTCAAGAGCATCAGCCAGCACAACCCAAGGACTGATGCTTGTGCCTAGGTTCTTGGCCGTAAAGGGTCCAAGTGGCACATACTCCCAGGCCTGAATGTCTCGTGCACTCCAGTCGTTCATGAGAACGAACCCAAAAATGTGCTCTTCGGCCTCATCAACTGGAACAGGGCTTCCGAGCGTGTTTTCCCGGCAGATAAACATTCCCATCTCCAGCTCAAGATCGAGCTTCTCGCAAGGGGCCAGATCGGGGGTCTTGTTCCCGGGTTTAAGGATTTGGCCCCATGGACGCCGGATCGGCGTACCGGACGGGACCACACTGCTGGCTCTGCCGTGATAAGCGACAGGAAGATGCGTATAGTTCGGCTGAAGAGCGTTGGCAGGTCCACGGAAGAGAACACCGACATTGTAGGCGTGGTTCTTGCCAGCATAGAAATCGGTGTAGTCGCCAATCGTCAGCGGGAGATGATTCGTCACGTCTGATCGCTTCAGAAGGGACGCATCCTGAAGCTTCTGGTTGTCCTTCAACGCTGCCGCATGCTTGCTATCCTTGGCAAACACTTCCTGGAGGTAGCTGCGAACAGCGCGATGAAACGGGCGACCTAGAGCGGCAAAGGCATTGAGGGCAGGTTGCGAGAAGACGTCGACGTGCTTCTGAATGTCCGAGCTTGCCTCGAAACCTCCCCCGCGGGCAAAAGCATCAAGATCTAGCACATGATCACCGATTGCGATGGCTGGTCTGGGGGATGCGTTTGAAGAGGTGGAGATGACGCCAAAGGGGATGTTGGCGATTGAGAAGTGAGAGCCAGAAGGGATCGATAGCCACGACATCGTAACAGCGTTATGAAGAAGAATACAGCAAGAGTCTCACAAAAAATTACTGCATCAAAGAAGACGACATCAATTGAACTTGTATTATATCATCAAGCCGCCGCAAGCCGATGACGCAGGGCCGAAGCCAGTGCGGGGCCGGGCGGAATGGAGCCGCCTCGGCTAAGCTCGCCCCGGCCGACCAATGCCGCTTCCTACAGGCGGAAACGGGAGCCTCATCGGAATTTTTGGGCGGAATCGGTTTCAATAATAACGGCCAAGATATCTAGGATCACTCGGCGGCCCAGCAGGTTTCCGAAACAATTCAGCCGTCAATGCGATCCCAGCGGCATCCATTATATGATCGACAGCTTCATCCAGTTTGTGTAGAACTACAAGATGAAGCTGCACAAGACGTGGAAACATTTCGGGTTGGGCTTTCTTCATATCGCCGAGTCCTATGAGTCCTTCTTGAACGCGCTCAGGTTGTATGGTTGCGGCGTCGAGCAGATGGAGAGAGACAATCGAAGACGGTATACGAGACCAGATACGATCACGGTCCTTTTCGGGGGTTCGAGTATATAAGTCGCCAGGTGGTGAGGAGAATATAGCCGGCGTAGAAACATGTAGACGTTGTAGCGAGGAAAAGTCGTTGAGACCGAAAAAGGTAGGGTTTGGGGGATTTTTGTAGTCAATTTTCCGATTATGGAGGTGAAGTGTTTCCAGTGTTTCACGATGAGGCTTCAACGCATCGACCACTTGCGAGGGGGTGAAATTGTAAAGGTCACGGCCATCCACCGCCAAGTGTTTCTCTTCGTACAAAAAGGCACTGAGGCCTCCGGTGCACCTGGATATGATGGGTAGGACTCCCAAGAGGTTGTACTTTTTGCAGGCCATGCCAGCGAGGCGAAGGGTTTTGAGATTGGGTAGGTCGAAGTCTTGGTTCGGGGAGGGCAGATACTCGCGGATGTTGAGCGTCTCCAAGCCAGGTGACAAGGCCAATAGAGTATGGGGATTGGCGTCTGTCTCGAACGTTTTCAACTTGGGCAGGCCAGTGATCCCCAGAGACCGAAATGCCTCCGGACGTAAGTATAGTGGAGCCAGTCGGTGTTGCCAGAGACTGAGGTGATCCATGTTTGGGAGGAGAGCAATAAACATGGAGATGAGTTCGCCGCCGAGGAACCTGAAGTCAATAGGGCTCCCCGAACCCAGTCGACCCCGTAGGCGGGCGTTGGCCCGGGGTTTCAAAAAGTTTCGGAGGATTTTATCGCGCGTCTGAAACGATCGATCCCGCCGCCCAGTTCCGATAGCCGCCGAGGCCTCCTCTGCGCGACGCTTCCAAGCCTGAACCAGATCGATCCCGAGAACTGTTGCCGACTCGAGCAGCAGGTCCCGGAGTTGATCGACGTTGATACTCATCCCGGGCAAGGGATGAATGGTAACCTTGCGAACTCTAGCTGCTAGGTCTCTTCGCCGCACAACGGTGCGCATAAACGGCGCGAGCCGGTTGTCAAAGTCATCGGCCCTCAACCAAATTGCGTCGACGGATCCAAGTAAAAACTCGTGGTGCAAAATACCCTGCGCTAAAGGACGCAGGGCCTTGCAGGAGATGCTGAGAGACGAGAGTGCAACCCTATCCAACGCGAACCAAGACCTTTCGGCGCGGTCCAGCCTGGGGCCTGGGTTCTCGCGTTTGAACGCGACGCCGACGAGTTCTTGGGACTCACCACGGCAGTGGGGGCAAAAGTGGCCCAAGATTTCCGACAAGACCTCGACGGGCAGATTCTGAAGTGAAGCCTTCATGTTTGCATGTCTTGAGATGAGTGTCAATGAAAATGTCGCGTCAATTAGAGGAGGTCGACAGGACGCGTGACACGTGTGTTAGGCAACAATGAAGCAACCAACAGTCCTGTCTGTCGTACGACATCTATCTGAAACATTGTAGCCCATAATAGAATTTCATTCAAGACATTGTTCAGAAAACAAAGGATTGCGCAGAATCTAGCTTATTTCTTCCTCCAGGCGTTGAGCCAGTATATCTAAACCTTGACAACGCTTCAGATGTTTAACATCTCATGCTACGGGCTTGAGTATATGCAATAGGGAAAGCAGCAAATCCGTTCTTTATTATGATTACACCCCGACCCTCGATGACTTAACTGAGCCCAGAGATCACGGAAAATAGCGAAAATCACACCAACCTTTTCACATGAGGGGACAAGACGTGTGGCGCGGGAGATGGGAGACTGCACCTACGGTCCAGCGCATCGCATTGCGGGAACACTCAACCATGGTCGATAAGCCCGACTAGAGAATTATTTCTGGTAGTGGTTTTCAGTCTCATATTTAATGAAATGCGAATCGGGGCATTGAGTAAATTGGCCGGCGATTGTCGGTATTTAGCTATCTGATAACGTTGACACCGGCCCAGAATGGAAACTCGCTATGAGTCATTCTGATTCAGCTTGTATACTCACTCACTCACACTAACTACTCAATCAACCCCGGAAACTTCTCCACCAAGGAAACATCGGCTAGATCACTCTAAAGGCCCACTATGAGATCTGGATATTGGCAGATCTTCTCGGGGTCTCGGACGTTGCTGTTAGGAGGGATACTGGGGTTGGTCAAGTTGGCCGACACCCTTGTCGCTACAACCACTAAAACAACCTGTCAATGGCGCATTGCATCAGTCCCAGGGTCATGAGCCGTCTTACATCGCATCAAGTCGGCATTCTCTTGAAACAAGCCCACATTCAAACCCCGTATCAGGGCCAAAGCCCAGCTATGGGATATACACGTTGGCCCTTGTCGCACACTACATTAGAGCTAGAGGATTCTTCAGAAGCCTGTGAGTGACAGTTATGTAGTGGCTGCCCCGTTTATTAGCTCTTCCGCCGGTCGTTGCTTAGGCACGGTGAGCTTTGTAATGCCGCCGAGGCTACGGTTCCTCTGGGTCAACTCGTTAAACACACACCTATAGCATCTCCAAGACCCTATGAATAGTTAGATTAGTTTCGCAAGCAGAATTTGCCTCAATGAGCTTGTTCCCAGTGAAACCGAAGATTGCAAGCCCATCTTCCGGTCAATGACTTGTAACGCGTCCCATCAGAGAAACAGTCGTCAAGAACGAGCTCTGAGCAAGGTATGAAGCTTGAAAGAGCTACCCAATGGACCACGCTACGGAGAGTAACCAGACATGACACGTGGGGCCTCGACACCGACATGTCATAACCAGGTTTTGTGGAGGTTGGAACCGAAGCCATCCATGTCAGGTCAAGGTAGCATTATGATGCCAGCCGCAGATGGCATCGATATCCCTCAGAGTGACTCATAATGAGCAAACTAGTATCCATCATTTCTCATTCTTGCTCAATTGTACGGCCTGAGTCTCGTTGCGGTGAGCCGTAATGTCCACGGAGCAGAACAGGAGACCGTCCGTTGAAGGCATCTTGATCACAAAGTCTCCTGTATTAAATATCAAGAACTCTTCTCTGTCATTAAAAGTTTATTCTCCAGACATGAGTCGGTCATCAATGCTTGCCTCTCCAGTTCTCTGCTGAGGCATCCTCTGAGCCAGGTAAGATTCCCCCTTTCACCAGAATCACCAGTCTCTATCATGATGCACAACAATATTTTGCCGATCTGAATATCACTGCACATATTGCGTTTTTGAGGACCTATAGAACCGACATCGCCTGAAATATCGAGATTCATTTCCCTTTCTTCTTCGTCACTTTCTTGGTGGATGGTTGCTAACATTGGCATCGTTGCATCAGTTCTCGTCCAAGGGGAGCCACCCCCAGGGGCGCACCGATTATCTACTCCGCCGTTTATCCCCGCTCCGGACTCTTGACACAACCCGACGGCGTCCTTCCGGCAGGATGGTTGGTTGACACTTCGGGTACTCGGAGTCTTTGCTACTCCACTTGAGTGGTGGCGTCCTATCCTCCAAGTCAGAGAGCCGGTGTCGAGGAAGGGATTAATAGTGAGTTGAATACCGAGAGTGTCTGAAGTTCACTCACGACCAGATGATTCTCCATGCCTAGTCAGCACTTTGCGGAAGAAGCCGCGGTTATTCATCTCGCGCTGGTTTCGAGTCCTCAGATTGCCCATCTCCTCCAAGGGCCCAGCCAATATGCCACAATGAACATTGGTGTTCTTCCATTATTGTGTTAATTGCGCTGCTGATTTGGTAATGAGTTTTTGCGGTGCCACCTCTACGCAAGGACACCCTGTCTCACTAGCTGGTTCCAATCTTCTTGAAGCCATCGTCACTTTTGATATTTGGTGGAAACCTCTTAGCTTCCAATGCCCTTGCCATGCTTAAAGCTTCTAAAGGTTTGCTTGACAGGGCCGGCCAGTCTGGCGCTAGTGACGGAGACACATGTGTTTATATGATCAGTTCGGTTGACTTCGAGGGTACGCCCTTCGTTCCCATCGTCAACAAGCGCTGTCATACCCCTCTACACATTACCTCTATTTTTTCCATTGACATCGCTGTCAGCCACATGACCAAAAAACACACTTAAAGACACACGGCAGCATTAAAACCCAATGCTGACCCATTACCCCCGATATCTGCTTTGGCTGAAAATCCAAAGTAAACCCGTGTTCTTTTGTGCTCCTGTCCAATATCTCCAGCAACCTGTGAGACAATGGGTGTATGATGCCGCATTTTCAGGTCACCTAGATCCAATTTGACGTGTTTCTTGGCCAAGTCTTGGTAGATTCTTCTTCCTCTAAGCAAGTAGGATTATTCCTGGTGGCATCAGCATTGTTGGAGCAGCTTGTCCTTTAGGCATCTCAGAAATAGACGCCTTGCAAAGGGCGAGCATTTAAGAGACATCCGGCTGCAAGAGAATATTCTCGGTTTTAGCATTAACTATTCTTTTTTTGTATGGGTATTTTCAATACTTTGCAAAAGCCCGAAATGCATTCTATAATCAATCCACCATCCAACGCAATAAATCGACACGCTATGTCGGCCGAGGACCTTCGGGAAGCTCCTCCCGCCGTATCTCCTTTCCAGCCAGCTCTTGCGGTGGACTCTGGGGGGTGTCCAACTCTGTCGGAGGATATCCTCCAGCAGCATAACGGTTGGCATTTTCCTCGCCGTATTCAACGTTCGAATAGGGCGCTTTCTGTTCTCCGTTTTGGCCCTTTGCTCGTCGTCTGAAGAGCCAAAATGCAGCTGCAGCGATCAATGCGACACCTGCGACGCTGCCTATTACAATCCCAGCAATGGCCCCTCCACTGATGGAAGAGTCATCGTCTGTATCTGTATCCGCTTCAGACTCGGCCGAGGTTATCTGCGCCGCTTCGCTCGTCGTTGTGTCGGCGCTATTCGTACTCGCAATCGTGGTCGAAGTGTCGACGCATGTCGCATCAGGCTCGAACCGACTCGCTCTTGTCTCGCCCTTGCTCATTGACGAACCTTGGGAGCAAGCAGCGCCCACGCCGTCGGCTCGTATTACTCCTCGGTAGCCAGAGTCACAACAGAAGGATTGTTTAACCTCGCCGCCCCCTCCCACCCAGATCGTTCGATTGCCATACGCGCACTAGATAACGAGGTCAGTACGGGAGATCCGGACCTTGGTGTATTGTACGGAAACTATCTACAAGGGTAAAGACCTACCTGAGGATAATCCAAAATGTCGTTTAGACAATCGCTGTTCTCTGGGCAACAATACGCGTTCCCCCCTTTGTCAGGTTTTGTGTAAAAACACCAAGATCCCTGAGGACAACATCTCGAGCTGGCGCCAGCTTTACAGCTCACCGTGTCGTCTCCGCACCGATTCGACCGACGAACGGAAAACCCGCCATCAAAATCGCAGCTCGTCGCCAAACATTGTGAAGTCGCTGCGATGAGGGCGAGAAATATTGAAGAGGAGCGCATTATTTCACTGGTGATGATGGTGATGAGGAAAGATGAAGCTTTTGGAAAGAAGAAGGGATCGAGAGGATGGAACCGGGCGCGTTTCAGATTATTAGGGCTGGCGTCTCTACCTGCATAGCCTCCGTGTTGGTCAAAGGATCTTTAGCTCATGGCATGATCCCTTGGAGGCTGTGGAGTCATCTCGCCATGTCTGGATGTGTATTGGACACTCAGTACCCTTGGCGTAATCACGGGATCGCCCGTTGTCAAGGCCAAGGAGGTAAACTGCCTGGAGGATCATCCTGCCAGGCGCATTTTCTTATTTCCAGGGTCCTGATTTGAATGAGGAGGATGTCGACGTGCATGGGAACCTTGTCGTTTGGCTGTGAAATTCAAGGCGCAGTTTCAGCCCCCAATGGCCCTGGCATCTGAGAGGTTGGTTGGTGCAAGGTTGGTTTCGAATAAGGTTGGGGTTGTACGAGTTGAGCAGGGGTAAATTGATAACGATAAGAGGTTGCGAACTCGCCAACGTTCATTGCCCGAAGTTGCTGGTTCGTCTCGTTTCCAGGCGCTTGTACGCCCAAACCTGCCATTTGTTTTACTGGGCAGCCAAGCTTCAGTGGAAGATAATACGAGAATAGGCATTGCCGCCTTGTCTTACGCTGTGTTATGTGTACAATAAGGTAGCTAGCCGATCAAGGCACCGTTGGACCCTCGAATACCAGTGAAGAACCCCATTCAAGAGTCTCCACAGAACATGCTTCCAATGTCGCTGTTGGGGCCGTCGCAAAGGTTGCCCAAAACGATCGTCGCGTCTCCACAAGGGTCCTGGTCTGCCCTACCGAGTTAAAGGCTGGGGTAGCCCTCGCAATAATCTGAGTGGACATTGTTCGGACACTCGAGACTATAAAGAACAGGTCAGACGTCTAAATTTTGCTGAATTTTTTTAACTATATGAAAGTGACAGAAAAAGAGTCATGTATCACAGTAGTCAACCCCAGCCGAACCGCTCTCAGCATCTCCCTCTTCGGAGATAGCTCTAACCCGAGAATAACCTCTGTGTGGCCAGGTCACGACATCGCTCCTCTATTCTTACAATCCCTCATAATAATATAAACCCCTTAAAGCTTCGGCTCAACACCCTTCTGGAGCCGTAGAATAGACTGCTGACTCTCAGACGCGATCAAGTTGCCATGCTCATCCCAAAGCTTTCCCTCAGCAAACGTCCTCCCATTTCCAGCTCTATAAGTCCTCCGCTCCTTGAGACTCCATTCATTCAACTTGAGGTCGGGGACAAATATCCGCAGAGCAAAGTCCAGACTGGAACAAACCGTCACGTCGTCGAACCAGAGGTGGTTATGGGTTAGCGGGAGGAATGAAAGGCCGCCATCCATGAGGAAGGCGAGGGCGGCCATGTTGTCGGCGTGTGTTGTGAGGGGATCTCTAGCGCGTTGCCATTCTGCTGAGGTCTTGTCGGTGACATGACGATCATCTTGACTTGTGATCTTGTCCTTGATTGATCCGCCCATGTTTTGGCCGGCTACACCGTCAAGGCAGTACTGGGCATCGAAAAATGTCTCGAAAGCCGAAAAGGATTCAAGAAACGCGTCGGCTTGCTCCTTTTCAACAGCTCCGTCGGCGATTAGCTTGTTGACGTGTTCAGCCATGTTTTCGCACTTGTCACTCCCCGGCTTGGGCCAGTTGGGGTTTGGTGGTTCCGTGTATGTGAGAGTAGATGGCTCTATCACGTGGAAGTCGGCGATAAGTTCCAAACAGACGCGAAACTTGCCATCCGGCTGCTGTTGTTTAACCTGGACGCGTCGTGTAGCGAAAGATCTGGTGTCTCTGGTGTGTGTAACGCTGCAGTGCAACTTTCTATCGGTTGAAGCAGGGCCGAGAAAGTGTCCGAGGACGGAATACAACGCCATGGTGGGAGGTGCAGTTGCACAGGCAGCGCTCACTGCAACGCCTGCAGTGCAACCTCCGTACGCGATGGGCATGGAGTTACCCATTCGAATGGGGAGCGCCTTGGAGACATATTCTCCCTTTTCCAGCTGCTCTACGGCAACTTGTTCAGCAAGAGTCGGAGCCATGATGAGATGAGATGATGGAAAGAGACAGTTCAATGAAGATAAAGATGAGATCGCAGGTGACATTCCTCGGCTCCTTATCCAAAGGAGACCCTGGTTTTGATGACGTCTCAGCCGAGGTGGAGATGCCTCGGTTGGGGTGGAGCACTATTCACCATTTCTATTGGACAATCTCCGGAAATGCAAACTCCGACGGAGAATATCTCCAGTCTCCACGTGAAAGACGATGTCAGCCAAAGTTCTGTGTGAGATGGAGGGGAGATCCACGACAGTTGAGACTTATCCATTGTGTAATGGTTCGTTAGGAAGCTGAACTATTAAATAGTTACTCTTAAATGGTCAATATAGAACAGGTCGCCGAGACCAAACACAAGTGCAGCATCTGGAGGTGGATATCGGTGGGACACATGCAAGAAATGCAAGAAAAGTCGATAAGGCTGATGAGATCTTACAGCGTATCTATTTGACTGGCCGGAGATGTATTAAGCTTTGATCTCAGGTGGATGCCATGGGTTAGGTAATTGCCGTCCTAGTCAACAACTCCATGTAACCCACGGGCCAGTTGTGTGTAGTGCAAGGGACCTTGTGATGCCACTCAAACCACCCCTTACGGGCTTGAATTAATAACTCCTTTGGCGTAAATCAATCACATGGACATGTCTAAATACGCCCTAGAGAGATATTCTACTGGTTCCCGGGTGCTTTTGCTAATGTTTTATGCCAGAGCAGTCTTCCCAGCTTAAACCACTCACTTACCCTGTAGCTCTGGCCATGTTTCACAATTTTTCACTGACTCAGAATTGAACAAAAGGCAATCGTCCGTTGATTCAGTTAAACAAGGCAACCAATTTAACTATCAAGGGATGAGTTGGCTTCATAAAGGGCCAAGGGTTGTTGCTAAGAGGTTGCAGCTGTGAACCACGCCACATGTTATCACATTTCAGCCGTAAGGTGGTGTTGAACCCAGTTGCGCGAAGCCAAAGAGACCTTAGCCATGACTGATAAAGAGCTGTACAGTAACGTGATCTTGTAAACTATGCCCGTGACTCTGGGTGGCCAGGTGATGTGGTTGTGAGGTGATGGGCAAGAAAGCCTGCAAGCGTTGAGCAACATCAACAACAGCCATATTGGGATCAAAGTCGCGCCTTGTGCATATTTCGAAAAAATTGAGGCACATAAAGCATGAGATTCTTCATAAACTGCAAGGTATATGATAGGCGACCTGACACCGGGTTCCGGCTGACGGGAGAGTGGCGTGACTGGTCGGTCCCCGACAACGGCACAGCAACAAGCAACGAAGCTTGAATGTCGATGAAAACAGACCATTTGACGATACTCTACGTCATTCAGCAACACTTCAGACCCCTCATTATGCAAATACGTCACTGAGTTTTGTAGAACTCGTTGCAGAGTGATGCCAGGTGACGACGGCAGTGAAGCAGGCAGTCTCGACAGTCAAACCCGACCTCACCAATCAATGCCAATGAAATGAATCCCCTTTCTTAAGCGAACCCGTCAGCCTGCTTGAGACTTGGCCCAAAACGAACCCCCTCAATCGCGAAACGAGTGCGAAAATAGCCCCCGTGGACCCCCGGGCTCGGGCCTCCGCGGGCTCCTTGTGGGGACCCGGTCCACACACATTTATTCATATCCCCCGACTCCGTCGGTTCGGGGCGACTCAGCTTCGAGAGCCAAGAAAGGTGACTCTGCAAGGGATTTGCCTCTGCGGATTTGCGGCGCGTGCTGATTCACCCGCGGGTCCCGTTGGCTTTATACGATTTCGCTTGTCCGCACAGGAAACTTTTCTCGGGTCCGGAGCCCCGGTCCTTTCTTGTGAACCTTATTTCTTTGCCAGACTTGACTTTGCAGATCTTTTGGATTACAGGTTTGAGGGTAGAGGCTTGTTGATGGTTCTTATACTTAAGACCTGTGCTCCCTGATCTGATCTGATTCTGAACTCGACAAGCTTCTGGACATCATATCATCTAGAACAAAAGTCTCGACCATTGATTGATCCTTGGCGCCTTCAACATGGCCCCTGAAGACGAAAAAACACCCGGAGGTCTGACCCCAGACGAAAAAGCCGACCACCACGAAGATGGTACATCGACATCAACAGCCGCTAGCGTCAAGGATGACACTGCAGTTAGCAGCTCCCATTCAGATGAAGGTCCTTCGAGGGTTATGAACCACGAGATTGAGGCTCTTGCACGACAACTCACCAGAGCTTCTACCACAGTCGGCGCCGAACTTCACGCTTTCTGTCCTCAGCCCGGAACGAGACTTGACCCCGGTTCGCCCAACTTTGATGCACGAGCATGGGTCAAGGCCTTTGTCAAACTCGACGAGTCCGAAGATGGCGCTGCGCCTCCTCGCAGTCTCGGTGTCGCCTTTCGAGACCTGAATGTCTTTGGATGGGGTACCGGTGCTGAACACCAAAAGAGTGTTGTCGATTACCCATTGGATCTTGTCAAGTCTTTGGTTGATCTCTTGAGTCCTCGAAGAAAGAGACGTGTTGATATTCTTCGCAACTTTGAGGGTGTTGTGGAAGAGGGTGAATTGCTTCTTGTGCTTGGACCTCCTGGATCTGGTTGTTCGACTCTTCTCAAGACCATTGCGGGTGAAACTGCTGGTCTTGAAGTTGACCCCCAGTCGTACATGAACTTCCGAGGTAAGAAGCAATTGGTTTTTACGCAATGATCTTTCTAACAATTGCCAAGGTATCGAAGAAAGCCACATGCGAACCTCGTTCCGCGGCGATGTCCTCTACAACGCAGAAGTCGACACCCATCTCGCCCACCTCACAGTCGGCGAGACCCTCTCCTTCGCCGCAAGCGCCCACTCCCGCCGTCACGTCCCCGGCGGTGTGACCCGTGCGCAGGCGGATACAATGATGCGCGACGTCATGATGGCCATCTTTGGTATCAGCCACACTGTCGACACACGAGTTGGTGACGATTTTGTTCGAGGTGTTAGTGGTGGCGAGAGGAAGCGTGTTAGTATTGCCGAGGCTGCTCTTACGGGTGCCAAGTTGCAGTGTTGGGATAACACTACGCGTGGATTGGACAGTGGGAATGCTATCAACTTTTGCAAGACTTTGAGGCTTCAAGCTGATCTTGTGGGAGTTGCTGGTGCTGTTGCTATCTACCAGGCACCTCAGTCAGCTTACGATGTAAGTCTACGCGAAGAAAAAATTGGTGAGTTGACTAACGAATAATAGTTGTTCGATCGCGTCACTGTCCTTTACGAGGGAAGGCAGATCTTCTTTGGCAAGATTACCGAAGCAAAGCAATACTTTGAAAGCCTCGGCTTCGAGTGTAAGTTGGCCTCCAAACCATTTTACTTTACAAAAGACTGACAAGACAGGCCCTGATCGACAAACAACTCCCGACTTTCTCACTTCAATGACCAGCCCCCAAGAGCGACGAGTAAAGCCCGGCTATGAACACACAGCCCCCCGAACCCCCGATGAATTCGCCGAACGCTGGCAAGCCAGTGAACCCCGCAAGCACCTCCTCCGCGAACTCTCAGAATACGAGCAAAACCATCCTCGTGAGGAGCGTCTGGCTGAATATCAAACTTCTCGCCGTGCGGAGCAGTTCAAGAGCCAGCGCGCCAAGTCTCCCTACACCATCTCATATGCGCACCAGGTTAGGCTCACACTTTGGCGTGGCTGGCGTAGGTTGCTTGCTGATCCTGGATTCACGATTGCTTCGCTCTTGTTTAACTTGATCATGGCTTTGGTTTTGGGAAGTATGTTTTATAACCTCAAAAATGATTCTTCGACATTCTACTATCGAGGTGGACTCATCTTTTTCTCGCTGCTTTTCAACGCTTTTGCTAGTCAGCTCGAGGTAAGCAACCAGATAATTCAAAGAATGGCTGATAATGACTGAATAACAGGTTTTGACTGTGTACGTCGAGCGTCCTGTGGTTGAAAAGCACAACCGCTACGCATTCTACCACCAGTCAACCCAGGCCATCGCCAGCTACCTCATCGACATTCCTTACAAGACGCTCAACATGTTTGTTTTCAACATCACGGTGTACTTCATGGCCCACCTACGAAGAGAAGCAGGCAACTTCTTCTTCTTCTGCCTCGCCTCGTACCTCACCACGCTGGTCATGTCAAGCATCTACCGCACGCTAGCCTGTCTCACTCGCACCTCGCACCAAGCCATGGTTCCCTCTGCGCTTCTGAGTCTCGGGTTGATGATCTACACCGGCTTCACCATCCCCACCGACTATATGCTCGGATGGTCTCGCTGGATGAACTACATCAACCCTCTAGCTTATGCGTTCGAGGCTCTCATGGCGAATGAGTTTCACAACAGAGAGTTCCCTTGTGCCCAGATGGTTCCTCGTGGCCCTGGCTACGATGATCTCCCTCCTGAGTCGAGGATTTGCGCTGTTGTGGGTGCTGAGCCTGGATCAAACGTTGTCAGCGGCGATAGGTACATCAACATGTCGTTTGACTACAGCAACGCTCACAAGTGGCGGTAAGTTTAAAACCTCTCACATAATACTCAACATTACTAATATCGCTATAGAAACGTCGGTATTCTCTGCGGTTTCCTCGTCGCCTTCTTCCTCGCCTACATCGTCTCTGCCGAATACGCCAAGCCTCCCCGGAGCAAGGGTGAAGTCCTCGTCTTCCGCAAGGGCAAGATGCCTCCTTCTCTCAAGGAGAGTAGCAAGGGTGATTCCGAAGCTCAAAAGACTGAGCGTCCTGTTGTTGCTGAAAAGGTTGCCAACAATGGATCGAGCGGCCTCGCTGCTGGTGCATCTGTCTTTCACTGGGAGGATCTCTGCTATGATATTCAGATCAAGGGTAATGAGCGACGTCTTTTGGATCATGTTGATGGTTGGGTCAAGCCTGGCATGTCCACAGCATTGATGGTATGTGAGCTCTTTGATATTAAGAACACTCAACTAACAGTTTCAGGGTGTTTCTGGCGCTGGAAAAACGACTCTTCTTGACGTCCTCGCTACCCGTGTCACCATGGGTGTCGTCAGCGGAGACACACGCATTGACGGCAAGCCAACCGACTCTTCCTTCCAACACCGTGTCGGCTACGTTCAGCAACAGGATGTCCACTTGAACACCATGACAGTCCGCGAAGCTCTCGAGTTCAGCGCCCTCCTCCGTCAATCCGCAGAAATCTCCCGTGAAGAGAAGATCAAGTACGTCGAACAGGTCATCGAAATGCTCGACATGCAGGAATTCTCCGACGCTGTCATTGGAACGCCTGGTGAGGGTCTCAACGTCGAGCAAAGGAAGCGTCTTACTATCGGCGTCGAATTGGCTGCTCGTCCACAACTGCTTGTCTTCCTTGATGAACCTACTTCGGGTCTTGACTCTCAGACTTCTTGGGCTATTTGCGATCTTATTGAAAAGTTGACTGCTAGTGGCCAAGCTGTTCTCTGCACTATTCATCAACCTTCGGCTATCCTGTTCCAGCGATTTGATAGGCTGCTTTTGCTCGCACCTGGAGGAAAGACTGTCTACTTTGGAGGTAAGTCTACTCTCAAACGAGTTTCACGCAAATTTACTAACAACTCCAGACCTCGGAATCGAATCCAAGACCCTCCTCGAGTACTTTGAACGCAACGGTGCCCCTCCCTGCCCCCCTGACGCCAACCCCGCCGAGTACATGCTTCAAATCATCAAGCCTGCTCACGATGACGAGGAGACCATCGACTGGCACCAGGTCTGGAGAGACTCCCCTGAGTTCAAGGACGTCAAGAAGGAGCTTGTGCGACTCAACTCTCTTGCATCTACCCAGCCTGAAGGTTCCTCTGCATTTGCCGACGGTGATCAGTCTCAGCACAATGAATTTGTGGCTTCCTTCATGACGCAATTCCGGGAGGTTCTTATCCGCACTTGGAAGCACTTCTGGAGGTCGCCTACCTACATCTGGTCCAAGACTAGCCTGATTGTTCTTGCTGTAAGTTGTTCACACCAACGAGAGATTTCATCACTGACAGTTGAAATAGTCCCTGTATCTCGGCTTCAGTTTCAACGCCAATAACAGTATCCAAGGTCTCCAAAACCAGCTCTTCGCCATCTTTATGTACCTCGTCCTGTTTGGAAACATCAACGAGCAAATCATGCCCATGTTTGTTCCCCAGCGCGCCCTCTACGAAGTCCGCGAGAGACCCTCCAAGATCTACCGATGGAACAGTGAGTCATTCCCCATCCTCAGATCAGAAACATCAAGCTGACTCTTGTAGCCTACATCTTGGCCAACATCCTTGTCGAAGTCGTATGGAACAGCTTCATGGCTGTCATCATGTACTTCTGCTGGTACTACCCCGTGGGCTTTGTGCAAAACACCACATCAGACGACGTCAGCATTCGTGGATTCCTCGTCTTCCTCTTCCTCCTCATGTTTATGCTCTTCACAAGCACCTTTTCTCACTTTGCCATTGTGTGGATTGAGACTGCTGAGGAAGCTGGTGTTCTCGCCTCGCTTTTGTGGATGCTTTGCATTTCTTTCTGCGGGTAAGCTGCTCCCTACCCCCTATTTTGTCGACAGTTAGTAACGTTTATGCAGTGTTGGTGTCCCTTATCAGGACATCCCCAAATTCTGGACCTTCATGTACCGCGCATCTCCTGGCACATACCTAATCAGCGGCATCATGTCAACCGCTGTGTATGGCTCCAACGTCACATGCGCCGACAACGAGGTTCTTCACATGGCGGCCCCTGCCAACTTGACTTGTGAAATCTTCATGGGTCCCTTCGTCCAGGAGGCAGGTGGATATCTTCTCAACCCTCTGTCTTCCGATACCTGCCAGTACTGCGCCCTCGCTTCGACGGAACAGTATCTGCAAAACTTCAAGATCAACTATAGCGACAGATGGTGGCACTTTGGTCTTCTTTGGGTCTACATCGCCTTCAACGTTGCTGCTACTCTCGGTCTTTACTGGTACTTCCGAGTGCCCAAGGGCGCCGGAGTCAAGCGAAAGTAAGAGAAGGTGAACAGGAGGAGAGAAGTGGTTTACATTCAATTATGCACTAATGGCCTAGATCGAGATTGATCATATTGCATATTAATTGGCTTATAGACTTTGGGTTCGGTTACAATTTACATAGACTGTCGTCCACATTTCCTTCGTGTCATAGAGGGACTGGGTAGATCTCATCTATTCATTTTATACTATCAAGACAATAAACTCGCGTTTCTTTACCCTCATCTTCGCCAATATTCATCTTGATACCTCAACCTTTTGACAATCTTGTGTACCCAGCTCGCCGATGAATAACCCTTACCAATTTGGGCTATAGTCAAATCCAGTCAGATACTCAATGTCTTTGGAGGCTAGGAACTCCTGATATGTGGGTGTTTTGACCGGGTTCTTTAGGTGCTTTGGCTCAATGACTCCTTCAAGTCCGGCACAGAATTCGAACTCTCCAAGGAAAGCAGGCCCCTCAAGGACCTCGAGAGGCAGACCAGTCAACTCCTGCATCTCCGCCAATGTGACCTGCTTAAAATCTGCCTTCTTGCCAGTGACAGCGCTCCAAGCATCTATGGCCTCACTGATGGTCATGTTGCTGTCATAAGCCAGGAGCTTGGTTCCGGCAGGCTCGTCTTCAATGAGAGCACGGACGAAAGAACCAGTGGAGTTCAGAGGGTCGATGATGGGGAACCTTGTGGTCTTGGGGCCGGGTAGAGTCACAGTGTACTCTCCAGTCTTGGTGTTGCGCTTGGGAAAGAGAAGGAGGTTGGAGCTATAAGCACCAAGGTAGATGTAAGATGCCTTGTCGGCGAGCTCAGGGACCTCTTTCTCGATGTAGTTGACAGCCTCGGCCTTGCTGTCCCAGTGGTAACAGTGAGGGTACTTGCCGCCAGACGCGACCTTCATGGGACCCAGAGCCGAGTAGATGAACTTTTCAAGGGTAGGAGTCTTGGTGGCGGCGATAGCGGCGTTCTTGACGTGCTGCAATTCCGTCTTAAAGCCCATAGCGCTGCTAGTGGGCTGGTCGTTTCCAGCGGTGAGGGCAGCTTGGTAGGGTGCCCAGAAATCTGTGTTGACAAAGATGGCCTGAACACCCTTGAAAGCAGCGATCAGAGAATCGAGGTTATCGAGATCCGCCTCGACTACCTCGGCACCGAGAGCCTTGAGGGCTTCAGCTTTCTCAGAGGTTGGTCGACGGGTAAGGCATCGGACATTCCAGCCAGGGAGGTTGAGGAAGGTCTTTGCGACTGAGGAGCCCTGATTTCCAGTAGCTCCGACGACGGCGATGGTCTTTGAAGTAGACATGATGATCACGTGAAAGTGTGTTGGTGTTGTGAAATGATTGCTGTAGAGGAATGATGGTGAAGATGATGTTGCTACTTGGGAAATGGAGATGGAGTCTTGATGAATATTTATGTTTCGTTCTGTCTCGGCCTTAAACTTCTTTTTTCCATCTTTCCAAAACATTTACTAATTCCTTCATATTCCATGTCGTGATACTCAGAATTGACTGGACTCGGTGGTAGTAAGCCAGAGCCAGTGACACAGCGTGATTCCGCATCTTGGCGGCTTACCCATTTTCTTGCTCCTGATTGGACAAAAAGGAGTAAGCCAGGTGGCGATACGAGACGGACTTCGGACTTTAGAGATGGTGTGGAGATGATCCTCGTCTTCAATGACCTCGACCTTCATCCCCTTGACCGCCCGCTAGCGAAGGTGCGACTTTAATGACAAGCAGCTCAATATGGAAGATAGAGACGGTAGTGGTTGGGCAACAAGAGATAAGCCAACGGAGTCGGTCGGGCGAACTCCCGGGGCCGAACCGCCTTCCAAGCGCCGGGTCTTGACGGAGGCTCGGCGAGAACAGAACCGGCTCGCTCAGAGGGCGTATCGTGAGTTACCCCTGCAAATTAGTGGATTGTACTCTAATATGTCATCATAGGCCAGCGGCAAAAAGAGCATCGTAAACAGCTCAAAGAGGCAGAGTCGCGCCGCTATCAAGCACGACGACCACGACCGCTGCTGAAGCGAAGCGATATTACTTCCAAGCCCACGAAGTGCTCTCATGATGCACCAAGCAGTGTTGAAGAGCCATTGAAAGCGGAGATTTCATTGATGCAGGGCACTCCGCATAGCGATATCAGCACATGTGATGGCCCCATCTCATCAGTCCAACCACATCACTCAAGTCCTCATGAAACGGGCGAGAGCAATCTCCCATCGTCCGATGCACTGATTCAAGAAGATAAGGGCGTCATTGAAGAGAACAGAAACGCACCCTCTGAGCTTCAAGATGACGACTTACAACTGATCCCGGCTCGGTATCGGCCAGGCAGGTCCAGAACCTCGCAACAAGCGACAAACACCCAGGAAGACGAATTGGTCTTACCAGACATGTACCTCAACATGCTTCGATTCGAGCAAGTAACAATTTCCCACGCCGTTTTCCAAAATGCCCTATCTATGGGCCTCGACCTACAATTCATCGCCAACTGTGGCGCTTATTGCATCTCACCATTTTACCAGCCCAGCCTCGCTTCAACTACCGATCCAACAGCGCTTTTACAACAAGGTGCTGCATCAACGGCTTCTTTCAAAAACACGAGCATTCCAATCCATCTTCGCCCAACACTAGCACAAGTCCTCATCCCACACCACGCCAGCCTGGATCTCATCCCGATTCCATTCCTCCGTGAAAGGGCGATTATGCTGTCAGCTGCAATGCCCAACACTTTTAACAGTTGGGAGCTCAAGTTTGATATATATGGAAGAGGCGGTTTGACTATTTGGAGACGGAACCAATCTGGAACAGAGAGGCGCTCTAATACCACTTATCAGCCTTGGGATATGAAGAGCTGGGAGGCTGCACCATGGTTTTTGAAGAAGTGGACCATGATTATCGGGGATGAAGAGAGCGAGTTTTACAAGCAGAGTATTGGGTGGCAGTTGATTAGAGATTTGATACTCTCGCAAGGTGATTTGCAACTTGGAAATGGGGACACTTGAAAGAGTGGGTTTTGGTCTTGGACGAGCAGTAATCGCCATGAGGATAATGTAAGATAAATATAAATAAGTTTTAGTATAATTGATAGCTAAGATGTTCTAGCTGTAAGCTAGCTGTTCTAACGGGTGATGCTTCTGCTGGGGAAAATTGCAGATTGCCTGAAGCCGTCCTCGAAAATTGGCCCCAGTAAAAGTCGTGATGGACAGATGGACACTCTTTGAATGGAGACTTTCTCGCCGACAAGAAGAACTGGAGCAGTCGGCGGATCTTTATTCCACAAATCAGACCAAGATCTCAGTGAATAGCTCCAGTGCAGCACTTACCTTGTTATACCCCGCAAAGACAGTTTTCAAACGATAAAACAAAGCCAATGAAAGCTATTCTGTGCAGTACTGCCTAGTCTCGGAAGCCATGGCGTCGGAACTATGTTCAGCTTGCAGTAAAGTAACCTTGTCGATGCTAATAGATGGCTTCCAGCATCCTCTAGACTACTACCAGGTCCATCAGTCCAAGGAACACTGCCGCCTTTGCGAAATCGTCAGCAACGCCTACAAGTCTCAAGCCTGTGTCAAGAATGAAAAGTTAAAGGTCTTCAGGGGTGACAAAGCAAAAGCCTGCAATGCGGATCATCATGGTCGACTCCTGTGGAGGATACAACAATCGGAGCCTGGGGCGCGTTGGGGCATGTTCAAAATCGACTCTCAGCATTATGGAGGCCTACATCGGCTGTCTGTGTCAGAGGGTACTATTATTCCTCTTCTCTCATAACTAGTCAGTGTGAAAACTAATTGCTGGCAGACTCGAGTATCTTTAAGAACCGAATCATCACGCACAGGGAGCTACAAGTTGCCAACTCTCCGCGAAACATGCGTCTCCTTCGTGAATGGCTTGCAGAATGTCAGCTACATCACGACGAGTGCGGGCGAGGTACATACTCTGGCAACAAATACCACGATGGCTCTTCCCCCACGACCCTCCCGTTCAGGGTCATCGACGTTGGTTTCGCTGGTGATGGGAGAGTGAGGGAAGAGAAGAAGCCACACGTCTATACGACTGATGGAAAAGAAACCGGGCGGTACATGACTCTTAGTCACTGCTGGGGAAAGGTTATCCCGCCAAGAATGACCAAGGATACTGTCGATGCCTGGCAGGTGGAACTCCCATTAGCAGATTTACCCAAGACGTTTCGAGATGCGATATGGCTCACAAGGGAATTGGGCGAGCGATTTCTCTGGATTGATTCCATCTGCATCGTCCAAGACGATCCCACTGAGCTCATGACACAGATAGGGCTCATGGGAGTGATATTTGAGGAATCCTTCTGCACTATAGCTGCGGTGGATGCAAAAGGCCCAGACGGGTCTCAGATGGTCGACTCGGGCTTGTTCGTTAGTGGGCCAGCGGTTGCCAGGACTGCCAAGTTTCAAGTGAAAACTGCTGGGACGAATAATGATGGACTTGCAGAGAGCATCATGGAACCGAGTCAGAGTTCATCACAACAAGAAGTGGATGAACTGTGCGAAGTCATTATGCAAGAAGCTTCTGATACCGCCGATCCCTTCCCCCTCCGACTCCAGTTCAAGGCATGGCACTCCCGCGGCTGGGTATTCCAGGAACGAGAACTCTCCCGTCGATGTATCTTCTTCACCGAGTACGACCTCGGCTGGAGATGCAACCGATACTGGGAGACGGAGCAGACAGGTATCCCCGAGTGCCGACGTCCCCGTGGCGAGTATACCATGGACGGCACGACAGCATACGGCGGCGTGTCTTACGATGCCGAGTACAACCTGAGGAAGACGTGGCAGAACACGGTGCAGCAGTACAGCGTCACAAAGCTGACGTACAACTCGGATAAGCACAATGCGTTGATGGGGTTTGAAGAGCGGCTGGCTACGCGCTTCGGGTACAAATTCTATCACGGCATTGTTGATTTTGGACATTGCGAGCACCTCCATTCCCAGCTGCTATGGGTTCCAGCCATTAGCCGTGGCGGGCTCAACGATATCCCATTCCCATCCTGGAGCTGGATGAATGTGAAAGGCGCGGTGAAGTGGGCTCATGATGAGTACCTCGTCTACCCAGAGATCCTGGCGCAGGTCGCGTTTGGCCACCCAAAGGCAAATGAAGCAGCCCAAGAGTTGCACATCTCTGGGGCCTTTCAGAAAATTAGAGTTGGTGCTCGGATAGGTGACATTCCTCACCATACGGAACGTGAAAGATGGGCCCCCGACCTTCATTTTGGATGGTCAGAGTTGGGCATGCATGCTGACACCAATACGCTTCTGTCATCAAATGGCGATCAGATTATCGGATGGGTAGCTCTGGATACCGATCTTGAGTCTGAGGATGTGTTTGCGTTTCCTCTACTCAAATACTTGAGGCAGGACGATGAGGAGGAGCCAATGTGTGTTGATTTCTTGACCGTATCTGGAAATGTCACAGGGCCTGATTTGAATGGTCCGGAGAAGGAAGAGCAGTGTCGTCGAGTTGGCCGAGGGCGAGTACTCAATAGTGCATTTGAATGGTTGGATGGTTGCCAGAACGGCAGTATTGTGCTGAACTGAATCGGATTAAGCCTGATCTGAAATTGGCCATATTACAAGAGATGCTGTCGGTATAGTGGATAAGATTGAAAATGGGTGCTCTTTCGTCAGTCTAGCCTCATGATATCAGCACAAAGATGGGCAAAGCTTGGCCAACAGAGCATCTTTATTGCAAGGATCAAGCTGTTGCATCCACTTTCCATCATCGGTTACCTATCTTATGTGACGCGTGGATTAAACTCGGTATGAGTCAATTGTGCCAAATCGACACGAAAACTAATCATATAGTGATAACGTAGGCCAAAAGAAGAAACCGGTTTGTACAACAGAGAGGAGTTGTGTAGTGCGTTGACGGAAACTGCGACGAAATTGGGTATAGTGCTGATAATCAGGACGGATGACAGCTTTAGCCTCTGCAGGCGACTGAAACTGCGGCCTATTCAGGAATAGCATCGTGGATCCCAGCATAGGGTCTGACATCCACTAACAGGAAGTGATCTAGGATGACTGTGTAGAACTCAAGTATAAGAGCTCCCCGAATCGCCCTCAATTCTCCTCTTCTCTCTGAATTGTTAACAAACAGAAGCTTCCCTTCATCGCAATCAGTAAAAACCAAAATCCCTTTACCCAACTGCAACACCCTCGCCTCCTGTACAACACGATGGAGCGCGCTATGCCCCTCGAAGAACGCCTGGCCTTGCGGCAGGAACTCCTGGATGCCAACGATCAGTTCGTGCTCGACCTTCCAAAGGTGGAATTACACGTCCATATCGAAGGCACCTTGACTCCTGAGCTGAGGTGGAATCTCGCTCAGAGAAACAATCAGACCCTGAAGCTTGAGCGGACTGGTACCGTGTACACCAGTCTTGAGCAGCTCAAGGCGTCGTACAACATCATCCCAGCCCGCGAAGGCCACTCCGTCGACAACGCTGAAGAGACTTTTACCTTCTTCGAGGCTTACTATGGAGGGTTTGAAGTCCTAGTCACTGAGCGAGACTTTTACGACTTGGCCATGAGCTACTTTGAGCATGCTGCCTCGATGAACGTTCGCTACTGTGAGCCATTCTTTGATCCTCAGGGCCACACTCGCCATGGTGTCTCCTGGGATACCATGATGGGGGGATTTCGAGCAGCTCAGGAGGAGGCAGAAAAGCGCTTAGGCGTAAGTGAGAGGCTCATCATCATTTTGCACATATGCTGACCTCGAGAGTAGATCAAGTCTAGGTGGATCATGTGTTTCCTGCGCGATCTATCGCCCGAGTCGGCTATGGAGCACTTTAAAGCTGCTCTTCCCTACCGAGACATGGTTATTGGCATTGGCCTTGACTCAAACGAAGACAACCGTCCTCCTTCTTTGTTCTCAGAGGTCTTTACCCTGGCCAAGCAGGCCGGCTTTCACCTCACTGCACACTGCGATGTTGGTCAAAAGGACACTCACGAGCATATTCGCCAAGTTGCGGCGGAAGTTGGGGGTTCAGGCGCGGAACGCATAGATCACGGCCTGAATGCTGTTCAAGACGAGGGTCTTGTGAATCTCATCAAGGAGAAGGGCATCGGCATGACGATCACTCCATGGGGCTATCTCCGCCACGAGCCAGTCGATGAGATCTTTCCGAGAATACGCACCCTTTATCACGCGGGGATTCCGATTGCGATTTCGAGCGACGATCCTGCGTACATGGAGGATTGCTGGATCCTACACGACTTGCTACTGGCCAAGAAGATGTGCGGCTTTAGTAATCAGGACATGGTAACTTTGACGGGACATGCTATTGATATGTGCTGGGCGACCGAGACGTGCAAGAAGGAGATTAGGAATGAGCTGGAGGCTGTAGCAGCTAGATACCTGGGCTAGACGTATTTTTGTGGGATCCCTCAAGATAGATTAGAGTCTAAAAACGCTATAGTGTGCAAGGTCCATATGATTGTGCGTGCGTCAGTGTATTGCTACCACTATTGGGCAAACTATGCCAACATTATGGTGCGTCCGTTCATGCTAGTAGTGAGAGGGTCATATGGCACATCGCTGTCCCAGACAAAACGCAGTGTCTCGAGCGCGTTACTGAAATGCCGACATCCAACGGCCTCCAGGGCAATGTTGAGACGCTTTTCCACCCACGCTCTGTCATCCAGTGCCTCATTACCCAAAGTTACCCCGATCTGGAAGATGGGCCACAGCAATGAGTAGCTCCAAGACGAAGCCGGTGGGATGAGCCCCGCGTGATAAAGAACCTGACTTGTCAGATCTGCTGCACCCGAGGAGTTGGTGGATGGGAATAGTCGTCCGAGGTACGCCATGATGCCGAGACACCAAACTTTAACCATGTGCTTCCGTGGGCCAGAAGTTTCCCCAGGCCATTCCCACGCCGCCAGACGGCGTTTTATGCAATCAACCTCCTCCAAAGGCTCCTCGCTTGGACTCGCCACGCCCACTTGGGCCTTGTAAAGCATAGTAATGTCTGCGAGTATCTCAAACAGATCGATTGGGCACGGGAAAACATCATAGCTCCATTGCCTCTGTCCATGATTCGAGCAGCGTCCGAGAGCCGTCTTTAGTTCTGCGGCGGATAAATTTGGTAGTCGGGCAGAGGTTGTAGATGCCATCATGTCGAGCCTAAAGCCTTGTCAGAAGAGAATTCCTGCTGCGAGGATAGAAAACTCACCACGCAAGCCGCTGCTCAAAGTAGTGCTTGTTTGATGCGTGGTCATAATTCTGGGCCCGAACGATGACGACTGCAGCTTTTAGATGCGTCTCAAACTCGAGACAATCTCCAGAACACATCTAGATCTTGGTGAGGCAAGATCTCGACAGAACGTGTATGTAGCTTACGTCAAGCTGTGCCAGCATCAACATGCTGGCTAGTATGCTTTGATCTGTTGCTGAGCATGGATCTCGGAGCATCTCCCCCAAGAGATGCGTAGCATGGACGCGCAGATACAGGCTTTTCTTCTCGAGGTCTTTATCTGAGGTTCGAGCCGCAAGGTGACAAGATGCCGACGCAGCGATGGCATAGCGTATAGGAGGCACAGTGTCTATAAGTGGAAGCACATAACGAAACATTGGATTGTCGCTGGGTCCAGTTCCCAAATAAAAGATGCTGCTGAGGTCTTGGATGTCTGTGTGAACACCGAGGTTAGTCGTGACATTCGATGGCTAAGAGGGTGTCTTGCAATGTTTAACTAGACTCTCCAACTCATCATCTCCAACAGATGTTATGGCACCGAGATGCGAGTCGTTAGAGTTGTGTCCAAGCCCCCTCTCGATCATGTCCCTCGATCCAGTTGATAGGGGAACATTCCCCCGTTTAGGTCTGTGCTTTGAGGACTTTGCCGAGCTGTCGCAAACTGGTATAGACTTTCCCGCAAGCTTCCCCCTCGACGCAACGCCAGGCCATCTTGTAATGTATCCTTCGCACTCGACTCCTCGGCGCCGACAGCTTAGACAGGCTGGTAGTGTTCGATCACATTTGCGGCCTCTTCGGCGACACCCTTTGCAAGCGGTGGCGTGATGTGCAACCTGACTCATTATTTCAGCCGTAGGTAGTGGAAGTTGTTTCTGAGGGTAAGAGGATATATCCAAGTTACTTCAGCTTGTGTAGTCGACGTTTGAGTCAGACTTGAATTGGTGGGGTCGCCATGGATCTGGGGGATCACATGACCTTTTCGGTTGTCGGTAAAGCTAGGCTAGATTCGAGGTCAAGGATGAGGTCGAGATGCTACATGAGCCTTTGCCATTGAGAGCAACTGCAACGCCGACATGATGGCTTCCGATCTGTATAAAACAGGTATTCAACACTTGCTAGTTACTTAAGATGATAGCCGGACTGTCAAGTTAGTGGCACGGCTGGGCCCATGCTTTGATGATCTGTCCTTTCGAGGAAGAAAGAGTTCTAATTAATATTCTAGACCCTTGGCAATAAACAAGTCACACAAATTATCAGCGACTATTTTATCAAAAATACAGGGCGCTTGCTGTGTGTGGCGTTTTGACTTTCATTATTAATCTGGCCCGACCCACATTATTTCTTTAGGAAGATCTCATCTCAGCTCAGCTCAGACTTCACTCATCGTCCAACATCAACATCATGATCACAAACGGAGAAAAGTACGCCTGCGAGAGTTGCATTCGCGGCCATCGTGTCGCTCAGTGTCAACATACGGGTAACTACATCATCTATGGCTTTTCAAGACTGATACTGACGCATTCAGATCGCCCGCTCCAACATGTCGGAAAAAAGGGCCGTCCGGTATCGCAGTGCAATCACTGTCGCACTCTTCGAACCTCGAGATCAGTTCATACCAAGTGCAAGTGCGGCTCAACTTCTCGTCAGGTCACCCTCAAGCTGTTCGGTGAAGGTATGTATCCGTGCTACATTCACTCAAGAACCCCGGCTGATCGCGTATTCACAGAGCGATGCCTTTGCCGTGAGGGAGGCGACTGCACGTGCGCGTACAAGACTGGCCAGAAGCATTGCGGGTCATCTACTTCCTCACCCTCAGTAATTTCCGGCGAAAAAAGTCCCGAGATACCTGAGACGGCCGGCATCAGTCCTCATCTAGCGTACGCAACACCGTTTATGACGATAGGTGAGGATAGTCGTGGTAGCGAATCCTCTTATGCCCTCAGCAGTCATCCAGAATACGCAACACCGTTTATGGCGATGGATCCGGATGTTCCTGTTCGCGCCGGCACACAGCCTGGATTCATCCCTGATCACCTGAACGGCGAACATACCCCGCCAGTCAGCTTTACCCCGAGCGAACCTGTCCATGAGAAGGACCCCCGGGCGCCACCCGACAATGTCACCCATCTCACCACATCTCAAACACCAGATTGGCTCGGGGATTTGGATTCAGTTCTGGGGCCAATGCCAGACGAACCGGCGAAATTCCTTATGCCGGAATTCGATGATCCATTAGTATCAATGGACCCTTCCCATCTGGCTCAAGTCTGGGACGATCTGACACTACCCGAACAGCCCGAGAATCTAGATGAGGTTCTTGCACTTGGCACAGACTTGCCCTCGATTCCTTTTGAACATGAGGACCATCTAGAGAGTTTTGAGTACGGATCATGAGCCCGTATCTTAGCCGTCAATGGAGCGAACGATAAACAGGGGGCGGGGAAGCCTCGCATGGAGTGGGAGACGAGTCTCGAGCGGGCTTTATGGTCCCCTCTCTGGGATGCTCTCTGTATTTGCCAAGAAGAATAACATGTTAATTAGTAAACTGCCCAAGACTGGTTGGTGGAAATCTCTCCTCCCCTTCACTTCAGGGCCCAGGCCTACGTCTAGCTCCTTGCATACGATCCAGGGGTAACTCTTGTCTGTCGTCATTTACTATAATCTCACCGAGAATTCATCCTGATTCTGGGGCTCCGTCAAATTTGCCGACATGTACTCCATCAACTATTGTCCCGACACCGGCGCGGTCCGCGGAGACCCGAGCGATTTGTGCGTCCTCTCCGCATCTCCGAACGCCTCCTGCAAGGTTTGCATGCGGAGTTCTGTTTGCGGCATTTGTGCGATCGCTTGGTAAGGCCCGCGGGTGCCACCTAAGCTTGTGTCACTTCGTATACGAGCATGGGTACTGTAGTTATCTATGGGTACCCGAGGCATGTATTCGGAGCGAGGAGGAAACCAGATATCCGCTCGTGGGAAAAGAAAAGGTGGCATTTTGCACTGCAAAATTCACCTTTATACTATCGAGTTTTTATGGCTATTGCCATAGAATCTTAATTTTATCTCTGTTTCGGCGTTTCTCAGCATTGGGTTTTAATGCTGTCATAGATCTATTCTTTGTCTCCTTGACATCATGGCCCACGGAGAACTCTGAACAGCGCGGTTGGTGTCACCTAGCTTCAGCTCCAACTTACTGTGCATAGTATCACGGTGTATTATGTATGCCTTGCCGCCGTAAAGGGTCGAGGGAGAACTGGGGATATTTACCAACCACCACCTACCCGCCAGTACACTCCGCACCTAACCCTACACCAATATAAGCATTACTACGCAGTACCTCCGTCGAGTTAAACTTACCGTAGAAAGGGGACTAAGGTGTCCAATCGAGTCGCTAGGCTCCATACCGCGGTATTGGAGGATTTGATTCGAGTCCTCCCAAGTCAAGGCTCCTCCAAGCATTCCACCGGTTTAGGAGACGTTCTTTCTTCAGCGCTCGCGATGGGCGCCTAGGACGTGGCCCACCAGAATTGAAAGCAGGAGACACTATTTGTTGTTTTCACGGGGCAGCGCCGCTTTTCATTCTTCGTTTTCCTGAGCAAGGAAACGACGTTGCACAGTTTATAGGGGATGCATTCGTTCATGGCTGCGTGGACTTTGATAGCTTGAAAACACCTTGGAAAAACCACCCCAAAGATTTTTCTATTGAATAGGGAGGTAATATCACATGACCTGTTGGTTTTCAAATGCTGAGAATTTTAGAATAAACTGTAGACTAGCTACGTGTGAAGATGCACATAACAATCGGTGCAAGATAAGCCCCACTGTGGAAGTGATGAACACTCCCTTGTCATTTCATCCGACTCATATCCGATACCTGCATCCTTTGACAATGATGGAGTATTTAAAAGATCAGATAATCGTGAGTTTCCATAATGTCTTTCTTTGATAGCTGTTCAACGTGTCAGTACGATTCATGAAACTTGTCACCAAAAAACCCAGCAGTACTCACATAGTCCGTCCATAGTCTCGTGTCGCTGCCACTTTCAGCCCCTTTCCTACGCTCCTTCCAGATATGCTCCAGGATAGTCGTAGATGCCAGATTTCGAAACCCTGTATCGTTCAAGATGGCCTTGACCCGAAGAAGCACGTAATCTTGCTGATACGCCATCAAGCTCTCAGTACCCGCCATGAACAATGGCCAGAGTAGTCTTGATGAGCCTTTGAAACCGGTCGGAACTTTGGACACCGCGTTGAGGATCTCTTGAATGTGTCTTTGAATCTCGGAGTTGTCAGCTGTCATATCCTTGTCTGAGAATCTGAGAGAGTGGAGGAGGAAGCTATGTCGGAAGGCGTTGGCAAGATGATCTGAGCCATCTTCAGGGGCTGCATCGCTGTTTGTATCTCTCTTCCACGTGGCGAGATATTGCTGAATAGATCGGATGGATTCCATGTCAGCCTTGTCAGGCGATGTGCCGGAAGTTGTCATCAGTTCATCTTTGGAGAGCTTCAGTAGGCGGGAGAATGCTAAAAAGAGTTCCAATGGACATCCTGAGAAGCACTCAAAAAGTCTATCATCCATTTCTTGGAAGACGTGTTCCTGGACCCCGTCGGTGAGTAACTCTTCGTATCTCCTTGGGACGCAACGAAGCATGTGAAGCCTGGACTAGTGAGCGACACCCTTCCCTTGTAGACCCTGTTCTCTTAACTCACCATGATAAAGCGCCAAACAGAAACTTCATACACGGCCTATCACGGATCGACCTCTCAAGAAGTTTCGAGTGTCGTTGACAGATACTCGTCACCCCATTCAAATGAATGCCCCCTGCCGAAACACCCGTTTCACAGACCTGTATAAATGTGAGCTACGCACAACAAACAGTGACTAATTCTCACGTCGTGTATCAACAAGATCAGTATTATGGCAAGTCCGGCTTCTACAAGGCAAGGATCAGTAGACGTGCCTTGCAACCCTTCCAGCCAGTCAATCACCTGCCTGATCGCTCTGAAGCGGTACTGCAGTGATTCCTGCTCGTTGAAGGGATTATCGCAGTGATTGATGGATAGATGGCCTAGTGAGAGACCCAGAACCGCGTAAAGTACGCCTGAGAATTGGAGGGACATTGGGAGGAGGTATTGCTGGAAGGGATTAGACCAGGCTGCTGCTCCATCGATGACGAGTTTTGGGCAGACGGTTTCGTCAACTGCTCAAGTGTCAGTATAGAGAGTCCTCTTTTTCCTATTCCTCTTTGTTGTCTCCTTACAGTACTGTAGTAGAAACTGCACCCGATCTTGGTCCAGATTTGTAGGGAAAGGCGTCTTGTCCAACGGTGAAGATAAACTCGGCAGGGCATCAAACTTGACGGCTGCTATCCTAGAAGCCCAGGGAATCCTAGAAAAGGAAGCAGCTAGTGAAGCAGCGACTGCATCCTCCTGTACGTTCCCACTGCTGGACAAGGAAAACTTGTTCATTCCAACCAGAATGCGCTGACCCTCTGCCTCTGTAGTACCGCAGATAGCATCTAACGGAAGCAAGAGCTCATCGTCGCGGGAGAGTGTGCTCGTCGCTGGGCTGACACCGGTAATCTGGTCCTCCAAGGCGCTCTCTCTCAGAATTGAAGCCATCTCCATGAAGGCCTCGCGACTAGACCAATCAAATTCGGGAGATCCGGGGAGCATAGCCCCTCCGGGCATCGTTATCGTCGCATCCTGGTCCAGGGGGTTGGGATCCACGACAGCTCCTACAGGGGAAATGGCGAGGGTAGGTCCGGTAGGAGGGGAGACGGCTGTGACTGTGGTTGTCTCCGGTGGGGATGGCCTAACATCCCTGGGAGTCGAGGTTGGTGCAACAGCCTCTGTGCTCCCGGTGGTTGACTGAGCCCGAACGCGTCTCTTCTTGACAGGCCTGGGAGAGGTGTCGGCAAAGGGGTGAGGCTTGCCAGAGAGTTTTCCGCGGCTGGCGACTCCACAGAACTTGAGAGGGTATCCCTCGCAGTTGTCGCCCTTGGTCACGACGGTTAGTAGACTGTGAGTTGCTGTGATCGGAAGGTATTCACCTTGTTTGTGCATTGGGCACAAGCCGGCTTCTGGCGGTCGCATTTCCTGCATTTTCTCCGACAAGTAGCACAGGCAGGGCCTTTGATGAAGACTGTATCAGTTTCTATTTGCATGGGACATATCAAGCAGGGCAAGGTACCTACCGGCAACTCCGGGCATGGTTGTGTCGTTGTTGTGTGCTGAGTGCGTACGCCTCGCGTGGTTGCTTCGAAATGAAGGGCCAGGGCCGATTTGGTCTGGTCTGGGGTGCAATATGTACGAAAATCTGATGCGGGGTACAGTAAACGCTAGAGATTAGCGTGGCGATACCGAGATAGCGGCTGGCTTGTCATTTGTTTGGTGCGTGACTCGCTAACGAATGCTAAAGATACAGGCCCTGTTGGAGGACGCCCGCTGTGACATGTTCGCATCACAATGGACATCGCAATGGACAAGACGAGTTGATGGGAGTATTTATTTCAATTCTGGTCTTGGTTTCTTAATTATAGAGGCCTCCATTTGCAGACAAGACAGATCCAGTCACCCAGCGTGCCTCTTCAGTACACAAAAACGAAACCAGAGGCGCAATATCCTCCACCTCTCCAACTCTCGGGGCCGCGGGAGTCGACTGGATAATCGGCTGCATGGCCTCGATAAAGTCGTTTGTACTCGCGCGCCATTGATCTAAACACGTAAACATTGGCACAAAACAAGGCCTGGATTCAAACTCACCTGTTGCTACAGGACCTGGGTTGACACAGTTGACAGTGATGCCGTGCTCGTGTCCAAGCTCCTTAGCCCAGACGCGCGCCAGGGCTTCGCCGGCTGCCTTTGTGGCAGAGTAAATGCCTTGAGTTTCAACACCTAGTCGAGCCGCGACGGAGGAGACGATGACGATGCGACCGCCGTGGGCTAGATGAGGTAGGGCCTTCTGGGTCAGAAAAAAGAGCCCTCGGATGTTGCAGTCGACGTGATCATTGTAGAAATCGACCGTTGTGTCCTTCAAGAGGGCATCTCGTCCAACAGCAGCGCTACTCTGTGTCAGTGCCAATACGAGGGCAAGAAACAGCAGCAGAGGCATACTTGTGAACCAAAATCTCAATCTTTCCACTATCGCTAATATTCTTAACCGCAGCATCAATAATGCTTTGATGTTGGTCCAGATCTGTAAGGTCCGCCTTGCAGATGGCCGACTTCCTCCCCAGGTCTCGGATTTGTTTGGCGATAGCCTCGGCCGCGTCGACGCTGTTGGGGCTCGTGTAATGGACCAAGACGTTGGCTCCTTTTCGGGCGAGATCTAACGCAATGCCAGCACCAATGCCTCTGTAATTCGAGACAGTGCATTATTAGTATTTCTTTTTCTCAGTGTCGGAATGGTGGTGTAAGAATAGCCCACGTACCTGGAAGATCCAGTAACGATGGCGGCCTTCCCTTGCAGTTGCAGATTGCTCATCTTGTCGAAAGGATCTTGCTTGCTGTCTTGGAGTATAGTGGATGTTGACGGATAGGATCTTGACCGATGCTCAAGCTAAGATATCAAGCATGATAAGGGTCGGCATCCATCGTTTGCTTAATAATTAATGATGCTCGGTATCTGAGCCGCATCTCCAGTTCTCCATCCAGTGGAAACTTGGTCTGTGGAATGAGCAGGGATGCTGGTTAGAGTGCGCGATTAGCTGGTTGAACTTCCTTTTTAGGTAAAGCCAACAGAAGAAGGTCTAGTCCCACTTGGAGGGATGGTGGTATCTCGGCTGCGACCTTGAGATTTGGTTGCTTAGTTTTGAAGAAGAGTCATGAGATGACTTTTATCTCTATCAATGACACTCCAGAAACACAACCGTGTCGTTGATGGCCTGTGTGACGATACCCTGATGTGGTGGCGATAGAGCCAGTCCCATGTCACGGACTGAGTCCGGCTTTGCTCTAGGGTAGCTTGCTGTCGCTACGGTTGAAGGAATCATGACCTCGCCATTGACATCCATCACTTGGTTTCTCTGTTGCTCTGTTGCTCTGTTGCTTTTACATGTTGGGTGAAGCGCATTGTATAAGATGTAGCTGTAATTTTACCCTTGGCCATTTAATTGCTTCATCTAGGCATTAGGCATTCAACGTGAAAATAGGTAGGTGTAGTTGTCGAGCATCAAGACCCAATGGCATATTCCCGGAGCTGTCCATTGCCAACTGAGATAAGCCACACACGCATCCAGAATCACGACACTGGCGTTATCTTGAGAACAAAGGAAGTTACACAAAAACCTTGATATCTCAAGAAGCAGCTGGGCCAGGCACGAACACAAACATGCCACTTCAAGTGTCAAACCGTGTGAAGCGAGGCGAAGCGGGGGAGACTAGCTGGCCGATTTTCCCCTCATGGTCAAAAGATTGCATTTTCCTCGAAAAGCAAACCCAGCCTCGCCAATTTGTCCATCATGATTTGCCACATGCTCGAGCCCCTAGTTCCTGATAAGATGTAGACCATGAGGGGCTGGATCGTCCATCCCCGCGATTGACTCCCCCGCAGAATTGATGGATGGCAATGATTGGAGCATCCGGAAGGTCAACTGCTTCAACTGCTGAATGTGGGATTAGCGTGGACCGGTGAGCTACGAACACTGAGCCGGAGCTGATGGGGCCTGCGGAATATATATCATGGGAGCTCCAATTGCTTCCATATCTCATCATCAATCAGCATCTTGAATAAAAAGCAACAGCAGCAAGACAAATCTTACTGCCAGCAAGAAACACAATTGCAAAGTCTCTTTACACCCCCACGAGTCAACAATGGCCCGACACCCTCTCGACCCCCTGCACGCCGACGAGATCGCGCAGGTCGTCAAGATCTTGAACCACTCTCAGAGGAGCAAGCTCCGATTCAAGGTCATCACTCTCGACGAGCCCCGAAAGCAAGATCTCATTCCCTTCCTTGAAGCTGAGAGGTTGGGCGATCTTCTGCCCACTCCTCCCAACCGAAAGGCTTATGTCTACTTCCACACCCTTGACGATCACAAGTTCCACCGTGGAGTTGTCAACATTACAACCAACTCTGTCGAGGTGGATCAGATTCTTGAGGGTATCCAGGGTCCTGCGGATGCCGACGAGCAGATTGAGATTGAAGAAGTTTGCAATGTTCATCCCGTTGTCTTGGCCGAGATTGAGAAGCTCAAGCTTCCTCCCAAGTAAGTACCACTAAGCCCCCAACTGACACACGCACGTGACTAACCTGTTATAGTGCACGCGTGTTGAACGACCCCTGGGGCTACGGCACCGACGACGAGAGCATCAAGAGTGACCGCCGTCTTATCCAATGCTACATGTACGCCGCCCTCTCCGATGACCCCGAGGCCAACCACTACTCGATCCCCCTGCCATTCTCCCCCGTCTTCGACTCCAACACAAAGGAACTCGTCCGCATCGACCGACTCCCCCTGAACCAAGACGACGAGCGCGTCGACACACAGGCATGGATCCCTCGCAAGGCTGTCGAGTATAGCACCGCTCTTCTGGAGCAGGGTGGTCTGCGACAAGACCTCAAGCCCCTTCAGGTTCAGCAGCCTGAGGGTCCTTCATTCAGTGTCGATGGACACCTCGTTGAGTGGCAGAAGTGGCGATTCCGTCTCGGCTGGAACGTCCGAGAGGGTCCTCTCCTTCACAACGTCACCTACGATGGCCGAAACGTCCTGTACCGTCTCTCCCTGAGCGAGATGACTGTTCCTTATGCCGACCCTCGACAGCCCTATATCCGCAAGCAGGCGTTTGATCTGGGCGACATTGGTCTGGGAATGACTTCCAACTGTCTGACGCTCGGCTGTGACTGCTTGGGTGTGATCCGTTACTTTGATGGTTTCCGTGTCAATGCCAAGGGAGAGACTGTCAAGATGAAGAATGTCGTCTGCATGCACGAGATTGACAACGGCATCGGCTGGAAGCACACCAACTACCGCAATGCTACATCCTCTGTCGTCCGTGATCGACGCCTGGTGATTCAGTGTAAGTTGATCTCTGAATCCTGACGACTGTTACAAAGTGCTAACATTTCGCTCAACAGGTACCGCTACCGTGTCCAACTACGAGTACATCTTGATGTGGACCCTCGACCAAGCCGCCAACATCCACTGCGAAGTCCGAGCAACCGGCATCGTTTCAACCATGCCTGTCAACGACGGGGTCAAACTGCCCTGGATGACCCGCGTGGCCGACGGCGTGGGTGCCGCCTACCACCAGCATCTCTTCAACCTCCGAATCGACCCAGCCATCGACGGCTTCTCCAACACCATCGCATACGAAGATTCCGAGCGCACACCCGAGGATCCCGTGTTGGATCCATATGGCGTCGGCTACTACGCCAAGGTCACCGAGATTGAGAGACCCGGAGGTTACGACTTGGACGTCAACAAGTCGAGAGTCTACAAGATGATCAACCCCTCCTCCATCAACCCCATCTCTGGAAAGCCAGCCGGCTACAAGCTCCACGCGCACCCCTCGCAGATGATGCTCATGCGTCCCCACGCCCCAGGCGCTAAGCGAGCTCTCTTTGGCAGCAAGCCCATCTGGGTGACAAAGTACCAAGACGGCGAGCTCTACGCCGCAGGCGAGTTCACGAACCAGAGCGCTGCCGACTCTGGCCTCTCAGTATGGGCCAAGCGCGACGAGAACGTCAAGGACACCGACGTCGTGCTCTGGCACTCGTTCGGTCTCACACACAACCCTCGACCTGAGGATTTCCCTGTCATGCCCATGGAGATGATCAAGGTTGAGCTGCGACCAACGAGCTTCTTCACCATGAACCCTAGCAACGATGTTCCTAGGTCCAACCAGAAGGTCAACAAGTCAGTTCTTGTGCCTAGCTGCTGTGATGGACCCGCGACGTCTAGCCGGCTGTGAGCATGAATGGTGTTTTGAGCGTCGCGTGTAAAGAATAGTAGACTCAAGCTGAACAGCAGATGGAGATGGAAATTGTATTGTAGCCATGAAGATTGAATAAACTGTCGCTTAGATTATGCTTTGGCTTTCCGAATGACGAGATATTTGCTTGACCACTGACGTATTGGGCATAACTCCGTCTCCTCGTCCTAATTGCCTTGCGAATCGGCCATGAAAATGAGGACATGCACGATGGGAAGAACGTGGATCCATAGCCCGTGTTTTCTTATGCATTATCCGGTTTCTTCAAAGCGGAGATCAGTGTGTGCACAATGTCTTGTGTGCCAATGCACCTTGACTCCAGAGAAGAGGCCACCCTAGTTACGACATTGACGAGGATGACATGATCAACCAAGGTCCAGCAATTAGCCACTGGCTAGATAACCAAATTTATCTTGATCACGATAGTTGGGCCGAAGTAAGACAGATTATCAAGACTTTCTTCTGGGTCGGGTCAGCCATTCCTTCGGACTGGGAAACATATCATGATGGGACACCCGTTCAGATGGACCTAAGATTATAGACAGGTAGGAACACAGGCCTTTGCCCAATCTTTCACCAGACAGAACGAAAGATAACCGAACAGCCAAACCGAAACAATCCTCCACTGACCCGCTTTGAAGGAGCCTGCAATCCCCGGAGTCATCGGTTGCAACACGTCCCGCCACGGTCTCCCTCCGGGCCGAAGGGACAGAAGCGGTTCAAGAGAATCTCGTATCCCTGGAGACCTGGTCCAGCCTCCGCTTAAAGTCTAAAGCCACCATTTCTTGCTACCGCTTCTTATCAGCAGGGACATTAGCGGATTTCCCCAATAGCAAGATTCTGGGAACTGGGAGAACTGCCTATTCGGGCAATATCTTCAGGACCCACACCGCTTCGCCCCCTGGTTGAAGGTTCAAGAGGAGGCGATTCGAGACTAAAAGATGCAGCTGATGGACGACAGTGATCCTTTAGAGACGCCAGAGCTAGCAGAGATACGACTCAAAAAGATACAGAAACTTGTTTAGTCATTACCACACCCTTTTGCAGAGACAATGATCCCAAACACTTCAGAGGGCTACGTTTGGACCGCCGAGTCTGGCGTTGTCCAGGGCTCGTTGCCTTGCAAAGGCGTCATTCAACCTCCCACATCGATCCGCAATAGTCGTGGGGTCTACGACTGTATTGTTATTGGTGCTGGATTTGCTGGTCTCACTGCAGCAAGAGACTTGGCTCTGGCCAGTAAGTGTTTCTCAACATAGGTGTTCTGAATAGTGACTGACATGATGCAGAGAGAAAGGTTCTTCTGATTGAGGCCCGTGATCGCATTGGAGGACGAACGTACAGTATTGAGAAGGATGGTATGAGGGATCCATGATATCTGCACCACTCGTAAGCTGACTTCAACTATTAGGTTACACGTATGAGATGGGAGGCACATGGGTATCCCATTTCCAGCCCAATCTCTTTAGAGAGATGCAGCGGTACGACATGGATCGCGATCTTGTCACCACCAGACAAGGCATGTATGAGAACAACTACTACACCATGAATCTCACCGGTAAGTCTTAATAAATAGCCGTTCCTGAATATTTGGCACTAACTAGCGCAATAGGTGATGCCCGCAAGCTTGCCCACGAAGAGGCCGGGAAGCTCCAGGCCAAGGCATGGGACCTATTCGTCAACGTAGACGGTGCCGGATGCCGCAAGATCTGCCCCCTGCCTCATCAACAGCTAGGAAATGTCATGGTCAAAAGAGAGGATATTGAGCGCGTCGACGCCATGTCGTGCAGAGAGCGCTTCGAGCAGATCAAGGACCAACTCACCGAAGAAGAGTCAGCTCTGCTTCTGTCTCTGATCCTGCACATCTCGGGCGGTAACCTCGACAACTCGAGTCTTTGGGATATGATTCGCTCGCATGCTTTGGCTGCGCACTCTTCCGACAACTTTGAGGATGTCTGGCTTCTGTATAAGCTTCGAGAGGGTCAGTCGGTCCTGGCCAAGCGCATGTTTGACGAGGCAGTCAATGACGGCCTCGACTACGCCTTTTCTACCGAGGTGGCATCTATCTCAGACTGGGGCCAGCAGGTAGAAGTCACTACGCCAAGTGGCGAGCGATTCCGGGCATCTCAGGTCATCTCGACCATTCCTCTCAACGTGCTCCGACACATCAGGTTCGAGCCCCCTCTGTCCCCTCTTCGACAGGAGGCCGTCAACATTGGCCACGTCAACTTCATGAACAAGATCCACGCCGAGGTGAAGGGATCTGGTCTCGCCTCGTGGAACGGCATGTCGTTCCCCAACATTCTCATGTACGGCTACGGAGACGGCGTGCTGAACAACGGAAACGCGCACATTGTTGCGTTTGGTACTGATGAGCGTGCCACGGGTTATGTAGCTGAGAAGTGCCCTGAGCAAACCATCGAGGCTTTCCAGAAGCTCCATCCCATGAAGGTCGAGAAGATGGTATGTTGACCTATTGGATCGCAAAGTACCTATTGCTGACTTTACTTACAGATCTTCCACAACTGGAACACCGACCCTTACTCTCAGGGAGGACCGGCCTGGTGGGCTCCTGGGTACATGAGCCGTTTCCAGGATGAGCTTCAAAGCCCTCACGGAAATGTCAGATTTGCCTCTGCCGACTGGGCTCACGGATGGAGGGCCTTTATCGACGGTGCCATCGAACAGGGTCACTTGAACGCCAAGGCTGTCCTGTCTAGCCTTGGTCCGATCTCGGCCAGGACCCTCAGCCAGCTCTGAAGAGTTCCAAGTAGTACTGCAGTACAAAGGGCCTGAAACTTGGATATGTTTCGAACATTTGTGTATAATTAGTGACAGTTTCAGTTCTACTATAATTAGTGACAGTTTCAGTTCTACGGCATTCATGTCGATAAGAAGTTAGAAAGCAATTCAAAGGACCTTTTTAAAACCGAAATCGCTTCTGCTATGAATGTAGTCGCTGAGATTAGTCATCTGTCTCTGTGAAAGAAGAAGTGATTCATTAATATTCTTTCTATGATGAAAGGGTTGATCTTTGTTTTTGAAAGTGTGTTCCATTGAACCTGAGGAGATCAGTTGCTGTTAATAGTAAAATCAAGATGTATCAGTTGGATGAGGGAGTTTATTCAGCTTCGAGAGCGAACTCTGATAGCTGTGAACGAGGATTTCTCCATCCCGCATTCCCCTGTAAGGATCCGCATCATACCCAAGTATAAAGTATGTTAGACAGCCAGGCTAGGTGTGCAAGTTGCCATATTACACCCTAACCCGTAATTCATAATCAGATTATTATCTGCAATACCTCAAACAAAAAACAATCACGACAGAGTTCGCCCTGTGAAGTCAAGAGATCATTCTTTCAAAGCACTACTTGAAATCCATCACTTTACATAGCGGCCCATGTGACAAAGACCTGGCTTGCCAAAACCTCCAGGTCCTTCTCTCAAGTTTACTCTTCGTCTTCCACAGTATTGAGAGCATTGAGGGTATCCCAGTCAATATTAGGACCTTCAAAAGTACGCCTCTGAACCCACCAAAGACCTAAAATCAAAAGCAAAAGGATAAACAACACAACCGAAGTGTAGTTCATGGAGCCAGCCTCAACAGGTAAGGCTCCAGGGAAGCAAAAGAAGGTGCCAATGATGGTAACCCACACAGGGGCGAAGAAGTTGGGAATGTAGCCCCATTTTCCGAGATTTAGGTATCGCTTGGGAAGACGAGATCTGCCGTAGGTGGCGCAGATGCCCTGAGGGACGCAGTACGTGATGTTCAGGGCGAGAACTGCTGTCGTGATGATCGAGTTGAAGGCTGCTGTGGAGGCAATGTATAGAAGTCCGTAAATGGTACAGAAGCCGGCTGACAGGATGGTCGCTCTGAGAGGCAGCTGGAAGCGTTCGTTGATTTCAGTCCAGTACTCGTGGTAGGGCAGGCCCTTCTAAAAGGGTGTTAGCAAAAGAGCCATGCAAGCCTGGCATTTAGAATGAGCAACTCACGTCACGAGCAAATGCCCAAGTCATTCTGCCACAAGTAATCCACTGGCTGGGCAGGGCAGCTGTAGATGAAATGTCAGATTATCCAGCACCAGGTTCAAGAAGCTGGGCACACTTACAGTAGTAGACGGCAATGGTCCAGGCCTGCAGAAAGGTAGCCATGACCTTGCTCCCAGTGGCTTGGTAGTACAGCTCCATACTCGGGAGAGGCGAGTTGAGAACGGCATCCATGTCCTTGATGGTAAACATGTAGGCAATCGCCAGAGGCACAGTAGTGACGATTCCGATAAGCATTGTCACGTTCCTTTGTTGTCTCGATTAGCTCAAAAGATCTCGCAGATTGGGCTCGAGAACTTACATGACTTGAGGAAGACGCTTTCCAGGGTGTGTGACTTCTTCAGCGATGTGAATGACTGCGTCTGTTCCACCATAGGCATACAGAGCGTTGCCAATTCCCAAAATCCAGGCAATTCCAGAAGGCCAGCCAGTTCTGTTACCGCCCGTCTCAGTGATGGTGTGTCCGGGCTGGAAGTAGTCACACATGGCGAGAATAGACACAAAGACGATGATGCAGCCAACAATGGATAGATGCAGGGCGAATTGTGTCATCTTGCCCATATGCCTATTGGGGACGATGAAGATGGGAATCACTAGAACTCACGTCAGCACCAGAATTCCAGAGCGTTATTAACATTACTTACTCGTAATGATAATTCCAAGGTCAAAGAGGAGATAGGTTTGCCACTGGGTCGCTTGGAAGCTGGGGTTCCACCACGAGACGAGACCCATGGTGGAAACTGTGCCTAGGGAAATACCGGAGCAAGTCACGATCCACCATCCAACGACATTGAGCGTGCCTACGGAAAAGGCAGCAAAGTTTCTGTGCTTCTCGGGTGCGAGGATGTAGGTGAAGTGATATTGGCCCTGCTTCGGTTAGCACTGAAACGAATGAGAGGGAATGGAAAACGTACTCCGGATGAGGGAAAGGCCGAGGCGAGCTCAGAGAGTCCAAGGGTGACTGTCCACTGAATGAAACCCGCCACAATGACGGCAAAGACAACGGCTTGAGGACCTCCAGCTGCGAGGGTGACTCCGAAGCAGCTGGTGTATGACATCCACGAGTTGGTGATACTGGCAATCACGCAATTGTTAGTCATGAAGACATAAGAGTGAATCCAGGTTCGTCAAGCTGTACCTGTATCCCAAGCCGATGGCTCCTCCCCAGGAAAAGGATCGAGGCAGCGCGGCCTCATGACCCTGGGCTCGCAGAATGGCATTGTCCAGGTCGTCTCCATGCTGGTCGGGGATCAGAATGGTCTCCCCTTGGTTGTTGCTGCTGGCCCTCTTCAGCTCCCTGTGCTTGTTGTCGGTTCTATCGGAGTCCATGGTCTCCATTGTGTTTATTGTTGTTGAGAAGATAGTCTGTTCAGGGTAGTTGCAGAGCGTGACTCGTTGCAAGACCAACTTGGATCAAGAAGGCGATATTGCCCTTCCTTTATCCTCGTAGGTCGGTCTTCGGCTTCCCGTACCTAGGTAGCCAGGTAGAAACTTGATAGAGGCTTATCTGCGGGCTTTTCACTCCAGCCCCTCTCTGCACCTTGCAAGGACCAGGATCATGGTTGAGTTAAGTTCGTCCGGGGGTCGTTTACCCCACGATCTTGTGATGGATGCCGGTGGCGGCTCGTTAGCCTATCTCTCCCCGCATTCTGAACATCATGGCCGATCTGGCCGGGCCACCCAATACAGAAGGTCACCCAGCACTTGCCCAAGGCTAGCAGGTCTAGCCTTATCTACATGGTTCGCTACGGGCTATATCTTGAGGGCGGGTTGCTTCCAACCGGCTACAGACCAACGTCACGCACAACACCAACATCCAACCACAACCTATTATCTTATTTGGCTTCGAACCCTTGCCACTCTTTGAAAAAATGCCGCCGGTAACCTTTTCCCAAACGCCCGGTCCGCTTGGAGACCTCTTCCACTCCTCGGGTTGCTCTCACGCCGCCAAGATCCCGTTGTCCGGATCCCTCGTCACAACCGCGGGTCAGCCAGGATTCGATCTCAAGACCTGTCAGCTTGTCACTTCGTCTCTGCGTGATGAGGTCAACGCCTGCTTCGACTGCGTGGAGGCTGCATTGAAATCTGCTGGGGTCTCACAGGGTCTGAGTGCTGTTCACAAGTTTACAGCATTTCTCATCGACATGAAGGTGGAGGAGACGATGATGGAGGTCTGGAGGAGCAGGGTTCCGGGGCATCGCCCAACTTGGGTAACTGTTGGAGTGGCTGAACTAGCTGTGTCAGGCATGCACCTCGAGTTACAGGCCGAGGCAGTTTTGTTGGAGTAGACGGATCGTGGGCTACGGGAGGACGAGGAGGTGAATGACTAGACCGTGTGTTACCTTGGAGAACTATGCCAAGATACTGCAGAACATGCAAGATTTACAAACCCTCACAACTTGCCCCTCGCTTAATCGATGATCTACAATTGTGTCATGGGATAACTGCCCGACCAGGTAGTCCAGCCCTTGTCCTGGGGATCTTGCTTCGCAACTTGGACTTGATATCCGTCTGCGGCCTTTCCGATGGGGTCTATGGTGTAATTTTTGATCAGTAATAGCACAAATATTCGTAAAAAGCGGCATGATATTAGTGTTGACTTTGGTTGTAGTCACTGCACACTGCATATCCGGAGAGATCTTCGCCTGGCGAGTATACTTGATGCAGTTGTTTATTCAGCTGTTTGATGATATCATCAGTTGCAAACGACTCTATTCTCCTTTTCTCCAAAAGAGGTCTCTCGTCAAGATGTACACTCGTCAGTCAACAGCCATCTCATCCCATCAACCATATCCTTCCAATAATCCTTGCTTCTCCCAATCTGCGGCCAGTTGGTCCAAAACATGTGGCCATGCCTCTCGTAGAGATTCAACCGGGTGGGGACATTCCACTCTTCCTCCAACACCTTCTGGTACACGAGTGCATGGTCCCGCAGAGGATCAAGCCCGGCAACCTGGAAGAAGGTCTTGGGAGGTCTTCGTGCACCCTCGGGACCGGGATACCACTCTTCGGCAAAAGGGGAGAAAAGTGGCGAATAAACATCCGCCTTTAGCATCGTCGAGATGAAACCGGTTGTCTTATCGCTTGGTCCATCAAGCAGTGGAGGAAGTACGGGATCGACTCGGTTGGTCCGCATGCTGTAGTAGGAGTCTCGATACCGCGCAGGGACCAGTTCAGGGGGTAGAAGATAAGGGACACAGAGCCATTGACCAGTAATAGGGGGCTGAAGGTTCTCCTTGATGGCGAGGTGGGCCAGAACGGCAGTGATGTTGGCCCCTGCGGATGAGCCACCGATAATGAATCCCTTGCTCGGGCCCGCACCGAGGGGAGCCTGGGCGGCCCATCTCAGCACGTCCCAGCAGTCCAAGACGCCGGTTGGAAATGGAAACTCTGGTGCCAGTCTGTATTCCGGATTTAGAATGACACAGCCGATATCCCTGGCAAAGACTCTGGCGTTAGAGTCTTCATCCGTCGAGTCACCCATGACCCATCCACCCTCATGGAATAACACCAATAGCGGCCTACTCTCCTCACCACCGGATGCAGGCCTGTAGAATTTGGTCTTGATCTTGTATCCATCTCGAGCCTGGATAAAGAGCTCGCCTTCGATTACCTCTGGTATCGGTCTAGGCGCTGGAAGGAGGTGGCTTACGCCGTCCAGGTGTCGTCGCCTATCCCCTCGGTTCTCAGGCTCGAATGGAAAGCCCGGGAACGGTCGCTGATCAATGGCGGCCTGTAGTATCGGATCTCTCTCGTCTGAAGTTTTGTTGTCCATGTTGGTGTTCGTGCAGTAACTGATGGATGATGATGTAATGTGAAGTCTTTTTTCTGTACTTCACGATACCAACAACTGGTTACTTATCCATCTCGTCTAGATGACCTCCATCTCCAACCCCTGTCTCTTTCAAACACACCAAAACGATGACGATGTCGGTTTCGGCAGTCTACCGAGCTGCTCTAACCACGATAGGAAGTTCAGCCAGCCGCTAGATTAGCGCCCTTGACATGAGGGGAACTGCAGGGACTGCCGTTTTGGCGCCCTCCAAGCACCACAATGGTACCAGGATCCTCCCTTCTGATAGGTGTCTTGCTTACATGCCCCAGATCCTCCTACATATCGCCGTTCAGATCACAATCTTGATATCGATCATCCACGAAAAAAAGAAATCTGAAATCTGAAATCTTCCCATCTATTCTTCCTCCTTGTCTAGCTCCCCACCGCCAAAATGGTTCCCCCTGTCCGCACCGAGAAGAACCAAGAGGCCATCGCCTTCTCCAAGACTCTCTCGCACATCCCATGGTGCGATGACTACGAGAAGATGGTCTCGAGCATGCTCTACAGCTGCGAAGCGCCTGAGCTGCTCGAGGCCAGAAACCACGCTCGAAGGCTTGCACAGAAGTTCAACACCTATGTGCCAGATGACAGCGCAACGGCTGCCCAGGTCACTGAGACGAGGGTCAACATGATCAAGGAGATTTTTGGCAAGGTTGGTTCCGATGTCTACGTCGAGCCCAGTCTGCAGGTGGATTATGGGTGCAACATTACTGTTGGCGACAGATTCTATGCCAACTTCAAGTAAGTCAACTGACACTCTCTGCTGGAAGACACAAGCTAACGTGAGGCGTCTAGCACCGTTATCCTCGACTGCGCTCACGTCACGATTGGCGACCGAGTCTTCTTTGGCAACGGCGTCAGCCTGATCACGGCCACACACGAAACGAGTCTCCAATCCCGACGAGACAACATCGAGTACGCCGAGCCCATCACGATCGGTAACGACTGCTGGCTTGGAGCCAACGTCACAGTCTTGCCTGGTGTCACGATTGGCAAGGGATGCACCATCGGTGCTGGCGCTGTTGTGTCCAAGAACATTCCTGACTACTCGGTCGCGGTGGGAGTTCCTGCCAAGGTTATAAAGAAAGTTGAGCCTCTGGATGATTAGAAAGGACTCTAAGAATATTAGATCATAGGTAAATAGACGGCTGCAGGTGAAAAGGCGCATGTTCCATGTTTATGCTCACGATGTTAAGGGATGCTCTCAGTAAGGGAGTGCTGGTTGACCCTTTGGTAATGGCCTGTCGGTGACCTGTCAAGACAATCACATCTTCCTGTGTGTTTCTAAGATCTTTATTCTCGTGCTATCATCTAAAGATCGTGTTCATGACTAATAGTTGTCGTCCATAGTCCGGTAACGCAAAGCAGAATAACAAGAACACAGGACCCAAATTAACAGGCAATAAGACTTCAGCATAACCATTACTCCTTCTAACACATTACATAAACTTTGAGGCTCTTGCGCTTGCTATGGCAAAAAACGAAGACAGGATCGACCGACCAAACCCGGAGAATCTCCTCCCACTAGCCTGCTTGCCAACATCGGGTTCAGAATCTCGATGTGACAGAGACGCATTGCTTGAGTCCGAGGGATATGTGGACTCTTTTGAGTCTAGGATATCTTCTTAGTAAATAGAGGAAGCGATATAAACCTTGAATGCTAACCTGAGCCATTTGTTCCTTGCGACATGGTGAGTCGATCTGAAGGGTCGAGCTTTGTAGGGTATTGCTGGTGTTACTAATGCCGTAGCTCCAGACAAGCGATGACGAGAGAGATACCGAAGGGATCATTGTGTCTCGGCCGCCCCATATCTATATCGCAGGCTTGAAGCCCTGCCATGTCAGGGGTTTCCCGTTACAGTAATGCAATGTGCGGGCTGAGCTTCCTGACAAGGAAATTGCGCCCACTGGATCAGTTGACAGAGGGATGCCCCCGGAAATCTCTCATTCTGTATCGCGGGAAACTGCGGGGTTGGCATGCATGACTCTTGAGGGTGTTGTCATTGTAGGATATTGACAGGGTTCCCCGCCAACCTGAATAACCTCATGTGATTCCGGCACACGGCTCAGTACTGCGCCACTGCCTACATAGCGACACGTGAGCCAAGATACACAGAGGTGACTCGACTTATGTACCTACAGTGGTGGCTTTATTCATGACCAGAAGAAGGGAGTGTTGAATCATGGTCGACATGATTCCTAAGCAGAGCGTAAAACATGCCTTGTCGGTCTCGTGTCAACGGGAAACCTTCTTCTCATTGATACAGGGCAATCGACTACTAGTTCCCTTGAACTATTCAAATACTCTGAAGATGAACGTAAGCATCCGAGTTTGGAATTGATAGACAAATAGATATCTAAGAAAACTGCTTGTCGTAGTCAACCAGGGTGAATCTGTACCGAACATCCCCATTGTGCAGCCTCTCAAGCGCCTGGCCAACTCCCTCTTCGCTAACAGAAATTGTCTCAACCCAACTCTTGATGTCCTTGTCCGCAGCGAGCTGAAGCATCTCAAGCACCTCTCGTCGGTTGCCCAGATGGCTACTTCCGATCAAACATCCATTCCAGATCAGACTCTGCGGAGCAACCTGCCAACCTGTTCCCTCGGGCAGACCGACAGCTACAAACTTGCCGTGGACCTTGAGGAGGGAGAGGTAATCGCCTAGCTCAAAGCCTTCGGCTGAGGAAGCGGTGCTCAGAATGAAGTCGAGCTTTCTGGCATAGGGCTTGTTCCAGTCTTTTTCCTTGGTGGCCAGGAAATCATCAGCACCCAGTTGTCGTGCGTCAGCTTCCTTGGCCCTTGAGCGAGAAATAGCTATGGTCTTTGCTCCCAGGGCCTTGGCAAAGAGGATTCCAAAGTGGCCGATGCCTCCGCTAGAGAATGATTAGTTCTGAATTCTCCAATAAAAGGGTTCATCCTGTCACTCACATGCCAATCACGCCAACCGTCTTTCCGGGCCCGACACCGTTCCGAACCAAGGGTGAGTAAGCTGTCAGACCAGCGCAAAGCATAGGAGCGGCAAGTTCAGTTTGCAGCTTCTCTGGGACGGGATAAACATAGTGCTCGTGAGCACGGATATGGGAAGAGTATCCTCCCTGTGCGAGGGTGCCATCGGCGTACACCGAACCGTAAGTATCTGAACTCAAGGCATGAACATAACGAGTACTAATGTGAGATAAGAGATGACTTACCCTTCCACTCGGGGCAATAGTTTTCATTCTCGCTATTACAGGCGTCGCAGTCTCTGCAAGAGTCGATCTGTGCTCCTACACCAACACGCTGGCCAACCTTGACACTGGTGACTTTGCTCCCAGTCTTGACAACATGACCGATGATTTCTTCACTGATGTCAGTATCAAAGCGTTCAGGAACTCAAAAGGGGAGACATACCATGGCCGGGAACAATCGGCCAGTTCTTGTTTCCCCAACCGCCAGTAGCCGTGTGAAGGTCGGAGCCGCAAACTCCACAGGCAACGATCTTGACGTCGATATCATAGTCCTCTAGAGGCTTGGGTTTGAACTGGGGTAGGTCAGTCTCTATTTGCCGACCAAACAAAGGCGACAAGGATCTACTGTAATTCGTTTGGGGTTGTTCCACTCCTCGGCCGAGGGAATGCCGAAGCCTTCGAAAGAGTCTGGGCACATGGTTGCTTGGTGTATAAAACGGGCCTCAATAGGTGTAGTTGACTGTTCTATCAGGGTTGCTTTACTCAATGCGCTTCCCTGTTAAATATGGCAGCAAGTGCACCAGACGACCCTGTGTGGCTTGTTGCTTGGGTGGCTGTCTTGGTAGTGGAGAATCGTGAATATTGTCCGTTCTGGGAATAGCCTCATGATGATTAGTTAGTGCATGTGAAGAAAGCGGGCATCAGACGCAATTTCCATAGACAGAGAATACCCCAGTTCTTGACTCGGCCTCAAGAAATAATCAGCGAAAGGCTAAGAGAGATAGTCGGGGCCAAGATCAAGAAGCTCGGATAGGCTGAAGTCGCAATCTCTGAGACTGTCAAAGCGCACCATATTGTCTGAATCCAGTCTCTGCTTCTGACAATGCAACGTTGACAGGCAAAGGAATGTCTATCGGTTGATCACGAGCATGATTTTGGTAGCTCTCGGATAGACTGCCAGGCCAAATATTTAGTCGAGTTTGCGGAAACATCGCAAATAAAGAGCGGCGGTCCTGTTATACTGAGTCTGCTCATTGTCATCAACATGTCCTGTAGTACCTTAACCAAAACTCTGAGCTGGGTCCCAAAACTGGTAGTTTACCTTTAAATGAAAGGCCGAGTACCAAGCCAAGTGAGAATATTTATTGAGATCTTGAGACCACGACCTTTATGGCTAATCAATCTTCAGGGCCGTCCCTTTATACCTGTTTCTCCAGCGTATCTAGTGCAAGTCGCTATACATAAGACTATGCGATACTTTACATAACCCAACACCAAAAATTTCTTATCAGCAAGATTAGCCCTTCAGCCGCCCTTATCTAGACTGGCGAAGCTTGATAGCACGGTCTAATAAGCAAAGACATGTGCCAGGAAAGGTGAAGAACTATGTTTCCTCGTGTATTTAACGTGTCCGTTCAGAGTTTCTCCAATGCCACAGGCAGCCACTGAGCAATCTCTTGTCCAATAGCATGAGGATGGTCTTCTTGAACAAAATGAATTCCTTGCCCAAGGTGAACGCTCTTTGTATTCCGCAATTGTCGTATGTATTCTTTCGCCTTGTCCTCCGTGATTGTGCCACCTGGTGAGACCCAAAAGTACAGCTTAGGAAGGCCTGTTTGGAACAGCTATGTCATGTACTTTTGAGCCTTTTCCCACATAAAAAGCAGTATACGCGTAAACGGCATCGGCTCAAGGATCAATACCGAGGTACGATCGACACTGACAAGCTTCAAATGAAGTGTGGTGCGTGAAGTTTAGCAAAGCCTACTGTCTCTCTGACTTCTCGAGCGAAAGAAGCTACGACAAAGGGAGGGGATCCCTGAATACAAACAGGTTCTTCGAGTAGATCGGCAACACTTTAGTGTGCAATCTAACTGATCCCTGTATTCTTGTGAGCACTACTTGACCGGGAACCTCAGAGTCCCCCGTTTCGTGTAGGTTTGACTGACAACCGCGTTACACCTTTTTATGAGCTTCCGGAAGCGAAGTCTTTGGAGTATTTATTCTTCAGCCATCGTCTCTGCCTTGGCCTGTTCGTTATGGCGTTGCAGAAAGCTACGAAGTCGGCACTGAGGCACTCGTTCATTCGTGAGCATTTGGCGCCATGTGCAGATACAGTAGTTGCCAATCTTCAAGTTGAGTGGCTGTAGGACTGGGAATGGTCTCGAGCCTTGTTTGAAAAGGCCAGCTGGGTTTACAGTTCATGCTCCGCTTCCTCCAGAGGTACAAGGTAAAACAGACCCATTCCAAGTAGCATCTTCCGGCTATGACGCAAGGGCGCCGAGATCTAGTCAGCTGATCAAGTATAGCAACTGCCAGAGTTCATCTTATTTCTACAGCTGAGGCCATCGTACTGGGCTCCTTGTGAACCTCATGACGATCTTCTGGCTTAGTTCACGAATCCAGGGCTAGGCTTCAACTATAATAAAGAACACCTTAGTGAGCTTCATGACGCTTCCACCATAAGCTATCAGCCATCCTTAACGGTGATACGTAGCATTGACAACGGCTCTGCAGGTCTCAACTTGCACTATTTGACCTCACATATTTTCGTCTTGATGTCCCATCAACCATCACGGCAAAGAACAAAGTTGCGTCCATGTCCAAGGCAAGCGTTACACAGGGTAACCGGGCCATTCCGTATAAGACCATCATGCTGTGACGAACTTCTTCAGGCGCCACTAATAAGATCCGCTCGTGATCTTTAGGAACATACGTCTCATGTGTCAAGGAGTTTGCCCCCGATTACGCGTTCTAATAACATATTAAGATCCTTGTGGCTCTGTTTGTGTCTGTCCACTATTCAGCCGTGTTTCCCATAAACAATGAGCCTGCTCGCTGCCACATCGATATGACCGAGATTGCTTTATGGAAATGTCTTCTGAATAGAGCTGAGGCTGATCTGATTCGGCGGTTCGGGGTGAACTAGAACGCCGTCTCCGCTTACAAAGGCGACGGAATTGGATCACGGGTCGGGACAAGGCCAGGCTTGGCATCTGCTCCGTTTTCCTCACGTGAGCTCAAACCACCTCCTGTGCCCTGAGGCCTCTTCCTTTACCTTACAGATTGAACTACAGTGCTCGATAATGTCTGAAGTTCCGAGAACCTCCAATGTCTTCTCCCCACATTGATCAATTTCCGAAAGTGCATCTTGCACCGAACTTCTCCTACCATCCCATCGGCCAGCAATACGCAGTGCAGCCTTTGACCACCACCACAACAACAAGAGCAACAACAACCACGAAAGTCAGGAAAAGGTGTAAGTGTTACTAGACACACCAAAGACTTTCATAATGTGCTTCGCCACCTTAGTCCTGGGGTATGTAGAACTTTAAGGACCTTGACGAGATAATGCCCACCCACGTCAAGGACGCCAATATTGGTCTGCCTTACGTGGAAGGCCCTTTGATCGAAACAGTAGCCCATGTTGAGGCGCTGGGTACAATTGGAAATCACAGAGACCGTCTTCCGCTTCCGAATCAAGAGAGTCCCGTGGGTGCTTGTCTCGTTCTCCGCTCCTAGGGCGACAGTCAGCATAGCCACCGGTGAAAAGCCCAACATCAAGTTGTTGACCCACAAAGACGCAGGTGTCACTAACCCGGAGCAGTCTGCAACTCCAGTAGTCTTCATCTGCAAGAAAGGGGCCGTCGACAATTACATCAGGGCTTTCATTGTGACGCCTCGGATGCGCTTCATGGCCCATACCACTCTAAGTTTACGCTTAGTTGAAGCAGGAGGCCACTTCAAAGTCCTGTTCACTTTAATCTACCGAGCCTTCATGGTAGTGTATGCATGTTTTAAGGCATAGATCCTCATTTCCGGCTGCGACGACGCGGCGGCGGACTCCTTCAGCGGTCCGTGGCCTGATCGTGATCCGCCCCAGTAGTTCACCCTGTGGAACCCCTGCATCGGAACTTCTCAGCTAGTCCGGCTCAACCGACTGACAATACCTTTAAATCTGTATAAAATGTGGCGTCTTGGACACAAGAATGAAAGAGGTTCTGAACCACAAGGCACACCTCCTCAATAGCATTCCTATTACCACTCATCCTACTAAGATTACCGTTTTGAGAACTTCCCAACAGCACAACCATGGTTACGAAGTTGGCAACACTTGGAGCATTGCTCCAACTCGCTACTACCACGCTTGGTGCCGCCACTCGCAAGAAGTACACCTTCAAGCCAGAGAACGAGGTCACTTACCAGAACGTAAGAGTGCCCTCCCTGTGATAGATGAGTTGAAGCTGACGTATCATAGGTTCACATTCCCGCTCTCATTAACATCACCAAGTCCCAGTACGACTATGAAGGAGGATCCTCTTGGTGGATGAGCTCCTTCATCACCAGCACCCGTGGAAAGCAGTATCTTGCTATAGACCACATCTTGACTGCCCCCAAGAACGTCTGTCGATCCTCTGTTCTGGATCTGGACACCCTCGACTACTGGGTTGATCTCGTCTACTGCTCTGCTAAGAGCGACAGAACGATTAATTCAGGCGGGCCCATTAATGCCGACTTTGGAACTCACGGATTCGTATCCACCTCGGAGGATAGCGTCACCGAGATGTACGCATACGCCGACACCAACGCGTCCTTTGCCTTCAATATCAGCTGGCAGGCGACATCCAAGCTTCTTCTTAACGGTGGAGCAGGCACCATTGCTTTTGGCCCCGGCCCTACCAACGCGACTGAGTGGGGACTTCCCGCTGGCAAGACGACCGGAAGTCTCACGCTCAACGGGACAGACGTCAAGATTGATCCCAAGAACTCATTCACCTGGTACGACCGTCAGATTTCCTATGGAGCCCCTCGAAACTGGACCTGGTTCCAGTTGCATTTTCCCGGATCTGAAATCAAGGCTAGTATCTGGGCCTGGAAGATGCCTGACGATACCATCTATCAATTCGCAACTGTCCGCGTGGGTGACTCGCAGCTTGTCCTTGCCTATGACCTGATTCCCGACATGACAAATACGTGGACATCCCCCAACTCAGGACTGGTTTACCCTCTCTCGTGGAGACTTGAATTTGAGAATGGTGATTACATCAATGTCAAGTCTGTTCGGCCTGACCAGGAGATGTATGGGCCTGATGACCTGGTTGACTCGGCTTACGAAGGCTTCATCACAGCGTCTGGAAAGTTCCTTGGGCAGAAGAAGGGTTTTGGAGTTGTTGAACTCGTTACAATCTACTAGTTGTCCTAGTATGCGAGGACTCAAGGCAAGCAATGGGGCTCATTGTGGTTGAGGTTATGTTGCAAACACAACAGCTACAAGGCCTTGTAAGATAAAGAATCCGGAACGTGCGATAATCCCTCTGATTCACATGGACCTATACAACTCCTCTCTTTAGCAATCAGTGCGCTCCCAAACCAGTGTCAGATATTTTTTACTTCAAATACTACTTTCTAACTATGTTTGGCCATCAAGCAATGCTCCTCTGACACATTTATCGAGCTGTACACGCCACAGCCTGTGTTCATTCAGTGCAAGGATTTGTCCCTCAGATCCGAAGCAGAAGTTAGCCACGCCGCCTGGAATAATAATCTTGCCCAAAAGAACACCTCCAGGCGACCATATGTTGATGCCGTCGCCACACCCACTGTAAACGTTTCCCCTCGTGTCGCACTTGATGCCGTCTGGGATCCCTGTGGAGGCGAGAGCGAACAAGCGCTTGTTGGTCAGGAACGGCTGCCCATGTCGCTGTATTACGTCAAATGCATATCAATGGAGAGTTAGCATATCGAGAAGAAGTATCACAGGCAAGCAAAGATGCCACACGGTTGCTCAGGTGAAACTCACATGGAAGCTGCCCTACCATAATCGACCGACTGACCACGCACTTGGTCCGTATCAGTGATGTATACGGTCGAATAGTCGGGTGAGAAGCAGATGCCATTTGGCCTCCCCAGTCCATCAGCTACAGCCCTGATACTCTCAGTAACAGGATCATAGCGATACACGGCGTTGGGAAGGCTGGGCCTGGGTCTATAGCCCTGGTCATGGCCGTACGACGGATCTGTAAACCAGATACTTCCGTCGCTATGCACTACAACATCATTGACGGCATTGAAAGGCCTCCCCATGTAACTTGTGATGACAGGCTTTGCCTCATAGGGGTAAGTGGTCTGCAGCTTGAAGAGACCACTTGGATGTGTCGCAGAGCCTTGGGCGCAAATGAGGATCCCATCCTGATAGTTGACGCCCCCGTTTGCCATGTGAATGAGTTCGCAACTGATCTTTTGCAACTTGACCGAGTCGGAATCGCTGCTCAGTGAAATCTTGGAGATCTGGACTGTCTTCTCGCCGGCATGGTCCTTGAACTGGTTGCTCGTGATAAAGAGCTCATTCGCCTTGGGGAGGAAGACACCGGCCTCATGCGCAAAGGGGAACTCGTCAATTTGAAGAAGCAATTGGAGTGACGGCTCCTCTCCAAGGATGTCCCTGAATTCATCTTGGAAGATCCGCCAGATGTTGGCAGGGTCCGTCATTGGAGTGAGATGGGTGGCGACTGGCGACTGGCGACTGGCGACTAGCAAAGGGCGAGCTTCAATGTGACTTGGGGAAGGACGATGAGGGATGGAAAATCAACGCCGTTAAAGCGTATGGCAAAAGAAAAGGCTTGTCAAGCTCGTATGAGAACAAAGCTCAACTATGTCATGCACAATCCAGCCTGGCAAAGATCTCCTTGACCTCTTCGGACCCACCAATGGTGGCTTGAGACGGCATTTTGCCCTCGAGACGAGCAGCAACAGAGCACGGCCTGGTCAAAAATTCCCAGAGACTTCCCTTCTCGAGGCGAGTGAGGAAGTTCTAGCTAAAAATAGGAGTTTTTTTTATGAAATCTCCTATAAACTGCCCAGAGACCCTTGTAAATGCAGAATTGCCAGAGAACTCTTTGGCTACCCGTTCGACACCGTGCCTCAGTCCTGTATCAATCTCCTCGCTTCCTCCACAAAGCTCCCAACTTTTCAAAATGACCCCAAAAAGCGATTGGAAGGCCTCAAACTGCCATCTTCAAATCTTAAAAGCCGCCGAGGAAGGCCACTACGGTGTCATCGCTGCCATCGCCTACAACATTGAGCAGATCCTCGGTCTCGTCCGTGCCGCCGAAAAGGCTCGATCTCCCCTCATCCTTCAGTTCTTCCCATGGGCCATCCGGTTCTCAGATGGACTCTTGATACGGACGGCCGCGGACGCTGCTAAGCGAGCCAGTGTGCCAGTGTCTGTCCATCTTGACCACGCACAAGATGAGGCCGTCATCAAGCTTGCGGCGGATACGCTACCGTTCGATAGCATCATGGTCGATATGTCTCATTACGAAAAGGAGGATAATCTAAGAAAGACGGCCAAGTGGGTGTTGTATTGCAATGACAGGCAGATTGCGACCGAGGCCGAGCCTGGCAGGATTGAGGGTGGCGAAGACGGCGTTACTGATACGGCAGGGCTCGAGGCCAGTAAGACGACTCCAGAAGAGGTTGAACAATTCATCGCGACGGGTGTCGACGTGCTGGCTCCCGCATTTGGCAACGTGCACGGCGAATACGGGCCGCAGGGGCCTCAGCTGGACTTTGAGAGGTTAGTGACGCAACGAAAGACAGCAGAGTGAGAGCTGGACAAGTTACTCACTGGTTTCCAGGTTCAATTCTGTCAAGGCACAGCTCAACAAGAGAGCACATGTGGCTCTCCATGGCACCAACGGCTTTCCGCCCGACTTGATGCGCCAATGCATCAAAGCCGGGGCAACCAAGATCAACGTCAATAGGGCCGTCCTCGACGACTACTACGCCCACTTCCGAGCCGATAATTCCAGGGCCAAGCTTCATACAGTTCTTATGGAGGAGGGCGTGGAGAAGGTGATGAACCAGACGATCGAGTGGATGGAGATTGTTGGTTCAGCGGGTAAAGTGCCTTCTACGTAGACGGGTAGATGAAGACAGCTTGCGTTAGCCCCCCATCAACGTCAACTAGCAAGATCGCAACCAACCGAGGTGTCTAGTCCGCTCGCCATATGTCGCTCAACTCACGGCCTAGTGAGTAGCCCGGCCACCCTGCGCGCTTGTTGCACGTATCGAGGTATTCGAGAACCGCGGCTCGTTGGGTGTCGTCTTCGATCACCATTCCCGCTGCTCATTCAACATGGTCAGTCACATCAAAGCTGTAAGCGAGACAAGGGTTGCCATGTTACCTATAAAGACACACTGCGAGGACATCACACTGGCTGCATAGTCGGTGCAGGTCATTGCAATACCACACACCATCCTCGCCCATTTCTTCAAAGTTTTTTGCCTCTCCAGATACTCTTTGAAGCCCCCGTAGCACGGTTGATGTAGGTGCAGTAGTATTAACGAACAGTAGTACAGTTGCATAGCAATCCCTGCCAGATGCTGGTCAGCCAGACGATTTGTCTAACCCGAGACTTGCAGAGGGCGATAATGTACTTACCGAATGCGGCAGGCTGGATCCAAAGAAGTGGAAAGTCCTTGTTATCTTCGGAATCTGGGCCTGGAAGGGGATTGAACTCTACGGTTAGATACGACTTCCAGGTTTCCAGTCGTTGCAAGAGAAGGGCTGCTTTTTGAGTGTTGAGAGTGGCATTTCCAGGCTCACTCTCTTCAGCACAGAAGCCGACAATGTGAGCAAAGTTGTAGACAGCTCTAGCTGCCAGATGATTTGGATCCAGCTCTGCGAGGGAGCGAGTGGGCTGCCAGAAGGTGAATGGCTTCCTCTTCTCCCGGAACGCCGCCCACACGTCCTGGCATAGCCATGCCCACCACACAGCCTGCCGCAAGCCGCCAGAGTCGCCATGTATAACCTGTGAGCGTTGGATCCAAAAGACGCCCTTGAGATGCTTCTCCCAGTCCGTACTCGCGCCGTCTAGCATCTCATATGAGGAAATGATGATGGCACTCGCCAAGAGTTCCAGGCTGGTCTGATAGGTCTCATACTTCATGGCCTTCTGGCTGTAGTGGAGCGTCTTCCAGTAATAACGAATGGTGTCGTTAGGATCAGGCCGATATCCTGCGGCGTGGCATGGGGAATCGCTGTTTACAATACGCAGATGACGAGCCGACAAGGCCAAGACGGCGTTCATCAGCCCAATGTTGTAGAGCTTTTTTGCTTGTTAGGCTTGAGAGAGAAATCATCAGGAGCGAAACGTACAGCGAGGTGAGGGACTAAAGTTCCGAACGGTCTCTGCGGCTCAAAGAGGTCCATCTAAAGCGGAGGGAGAAGTCAGTAAAATGGCATCCTAGGGTCACGTCTCGAAGCAAATTAAGGCTGTGACCTGTCAGGCTAGGCGACACGTACCCATCGGCTGATGTGTTCTGTAAAGTGTCGGAACAAGATATGCTCCTGCGGCTGTAAGGCTATCGCCTCCGAGGCCTGCCAAAACTGCTTATCACTAGAGGGACCTCTTCTGTCGGGAAGCCGCTCCTGCAGGTAAGCACTCTGTGTTGTGACACCGGAGCTGTCGTTGGTGGCCGGCGTAGCCGCTTCGTCGAGGCTGGTTGGCGTCTGGGTGACAGTGTTGCCGAATACGTCCGGTCCGCTGAGACCAATGTCAAGCTCCGGGAGCGGCCCGTAGTTGAGAGTTGCGTCTCCAATGAGTAGATCGAGCCACCTAAGCGTCAGTGACCCATTCTGGTTGACCCCCGAGTCTGGGGTGCTGTGGTATGCCAGAGCGGCCGTTTGGAAGGCAGCCTGAGTTGGCGACAGCATTTCCGAGTGCCCCTGCGGGAAGGTGTAGCAGTTCTGAGGGTTAAGGCTTGTTCCTGACGATACTATCGCCTCACACCCTATCTGCCAGCTCGTTGCGTCCCCTTGAGTAGTAGAGGAAAGTCCAGGGTCTCTTGCGGTAAGATCAAGGACGTCCTCTAGAACAGAATAACCCGGACAGTCATCAAGTTCATGTTCTTCCGCCTCGCGTGGCACTGATTCAGTCACAGGTGCTTGTTCTTCCTCTTGGGCCCTCTCGGAGGGTTGAAGGTCTTCCTCATTATCACCAGAGGGGGGAGACGATGCTTGGGTAGCACTGGTGCTGTCTTGATTGGCTTGGTCACCCTCGGTCTGCGTGATGTCTTCGGCCAGGGCTGGCTGAGAGATTGAAGTCTCATCTTGATCACTGAGCTCCAACGAGTGTCTCGCTGTCCTCCGTGTAGCCTTTCTAGGACCTGAATAGGCACAAACGGCGCTGATGCGGTCGCATGGTCCACAACGCGGCTTGTTCTCGTCGCACTTGATATGTCGCCGACGGCAGGTCAAACTACAGAGTCTTATCAGTGATAGCTCCGGTACGTCATTGCCCTGAACACGATTCATCTTACCAGCCTGTAGTCCTGCGCAAACCTTTCCCACGTGACAGCCGGCCTCTGGTGAAGCGACGAGGTTCCTGGCTGTCGTCCATGCATAAGGGGGGAAATTACAAGTCGCAGCTGAGCCAATGATCTCACTGGTATCTGCAATTGTGCTTGTCTGCCCTTTGCCAGTGTCGATGGGGAAATCCGAGGATGGAACAATGAAGAGCCTTGAGGGCCGAGTCATTGGCCCTGGTTCTATTAATGTGCGGCTTCTCCGCACGGAGCAAAACTGCCTAGAGCGAAATCGGACTAGTTAAGTTCCCCAGTGGGTTGGCTGGGAGTTCCCCGCAGAGTGAGCATCCAAGTCCTGGGCCCCGGGCTACCCTACGCTCCCTTGTCTTCCACACATAGCGATAGCTATCCTCTGCATTGTTCTGGGGTAAATGGCGTTATTCAAGACTAAGTACGCGTATGGCGCGATAAATTCCTTTGGCAATAACTTCCTAAAAAGAAAATCATCTTTATGACGCGTCCTACGCGGTCAGGTACGCGTTTTCACTCAAGGATCCGAAAGACGAAGCTTTGTTATCACCACCACGGACAAGATTGTTGGATATTCAAGCCACTTCACAAAGGCTCACTGAATGAAATATAGTAGACCCCACTCTATGTTTATTTCAAAGTCCAGTAACACTCTCCCGACACTCCCTTATTCCCGTTGGTCTTACTTGTGTTGCAATTCCGTTATTGAAGATGTACATACATTCCGCCATCTACAAGTAGTTGTGCCCCGGTAACAAAACCACTCATCTTATCACAAGCCAAAAACACAGCCGGCCCGGCCAAATCCTCGGGCTTGCCAACGCGACCCCACGGAATGCGATGCTCTAAGTACTTGCGCTTCTCCTCGTTGGCCATATCGGCATCAGCCAATTGTGTGTGGATCGTGCCAGGAAGGAGGGCATTGACTCTGATCTTGTCCTTGGCTAGAGCAATGGCCATGGACTGGGTCATGGACAAGAGAGCAGCCTTGGTCGGTGTGTAATGGACTTGGAGCCCACCGCCGACAAGTGCGCTGATGGACGAGATGCCGATGATGGAACCCCCTTTGCCCTGCTTGACCATTTGTCGAGCTGCGGCCTGGCACGCGTAAAAGGCACCGTTGACGTTGACTTTCATGGAATTATCAAACGTATCCTTCTCGATGCTGCGATGAGACACGGATGATGAGCATTAGGCCATTGGCCATGTCGTATGAAAGAGGTGTGAAGAAAACTTACTCGAGAAACTCGCTGGCCTTGAAGATGCCAGCATTCGCAACAAACACGTCCAAAGCTCCCCATTTCTTGACTGCCTCTGTAACCAGAGCCTTCCCCGTCGCTGGATCCGTCACGTCTCCAGCAATTTCTAGAAGCTCCCCAGTTGGTGCTCCTTCAGGCGCCTCCCTGCTCAGACGCTTGGCCTCGTCGAGAAGACTTTGGCGAAATGGTTCATCCTTGGCGAGACCAAGATGGTTGACGGCTACATTTGCGCCTTGGCGGAGGTACTCAAGGGTGATGGCTCGTCCGATTCCTGTGGTACCGCCTGTGATTGCAGCCGTCTTGCCGGCGAGTAATCGGACGACTGCACTCATGTTTGTCAAACAGGGTGGTGAGCAAAGAACGGATGTCTGATGACAAGAGATGGTTGAGCGGGAGGATAGATGCCACCCATTGATTGGTGATTAGAAGCAGCTTTTCGTATGGCCTTGTATCTGGTAGTCATGAATCGTGCGGGCACCCATGGATCATGTGGAGTCGCGGGGTTGTGGAGGCGTGGAGACATGATGGTGGCTTTTCCCTCGAGACGAGGGTAAGCCCATCGTGTTTCAACGTTCATGGGTCCATGTCAACTTCTTCGCCGATTCAAGGTTAGCTGCAGTAGCTCAAAGCACACCTCCGAAGCAGGAATGGCCAGAATGACCGTCTTGAGTCCCATAGTATTGTACCCTGCAGCCGCGGAATGCATCTCCCGATCCTACCTACGTATTGGAATTATGGGGATTCGATATATATTTACATGACAGAACATAAGTCACCTTGCACCATTTCACCCTAGCCTGTACCAAAGATCACAGCAACAGCAACAATGAGTCCATCAGCCGAGCAAACAGCCACCACGGCCCCAGCCACAACAGCTGCCCAACAGCACCAGACCAAGGTCGCCTTGACCGGCAAGATCATTGCGGGTACGCCCATCTTACAGAATCACTTGTTACAACTGTCTCTAATAGAAACGTGTCACAGTCACTGGTGCTAACCGGGGCATCGGCCTCGGTGTAGCAGAGTCCTGTCTCGACAACGACGCTGCTCTCGTCTACTCGATCGACTACGCTGAGCCTGGAGAGGAGTTTGCTGCTGCTCAAAAAAGATGGCCAGGAAAGCTCAAGGCTATTCAAGCCGACGTCACAAAGGAGGCTACCGTCACTGCCGCCGTTGATCGCATCATGGAAGAAAGCGGGGCTTTGCACGGCATGGTTGTCAACGCGGGTCGGACGAACCACAAGGCTGCGTTGGACTTCACCGAGGAGGAAATCCACGCCCTCTTTAATATCAACGTGCGTATAACAACACAGTTCTTACCTTGCGTACGATTCTCACTGACCCCATCAGCTCTTTGGTGCCTTTTACTGTGCTCGAGCCGCCGCCCGGGCTTACATCAAGCTCGATATCAAGGGTGCCGTTGTTTTCACAGCCTCGATGGCTTCCTACCGCCCCAACAAGGTCTGTTACATCCCCTCGTCTGTAGGCACGTCTGGAATAGTTGCTGACCACTGTCTGATCTCCAGCGCGTTCCCTCAGCCCCGTACGGCGCGACCAAGGCCGGTGTTCGTAACATGACCCACACGCTCGCCATGGAGTGGGCGAAGTATGGTATCCGCGTCAACTCAGTGTCTCCTGGTCTAGTCGAGACGGCCATGACATACTGGGTCCCGCAGCAGCCTGACTGGGAGCAGCAGCTCAAGTACTATGGTGGCATGCCGCGTCTGGCACAGATCCAGGAGCTTGGCGGCGCATACGTATACCTGCTGAGTGACGCTGCAAGCTATACTACATCGATTGACATCCCCGTTAATGGCGTCATTGGAAGTAAGTTCCCAGTTCAATCACTGGATTATCCAGGAATACTTGACCAGCAGCAACTAACAATTTCTCAGTTTGCTGATCAAGAAATGTCCAAGAATATGTGTCGTTGTGGTAGATAGTACAGTGGAAGTACAATGGAAGAAATTTGATAGATGCCTAGGCAAATGAGAATATGCCTTATTTCTACAGTGCAATCTATTATCATTTGACGACCCATGTTGGCTTCTAGTAGACTTCTCTCGTCTTCCACCTATTTTCGTGCACGGGTAAAGCTACGCTCATGTAGACTAAACCCAGGAGAGACGGTCCAAAAACATGGCTTGCCATGTCTGTTAACTTCCTGGCTGCTTCTAACTAAAAGCGTCTACCACAGCTCTCATTTGGTCTGCAATCGTAATGTCTCTTGTGCTATCACAGAAATGATGCTACCATACGCTATGACTGAGTTCAAGTGTTTGCACCCTTGTTTCCCAGCTCGTGGGTTTCGGCCCCGATTGACTGGGAAAGTATGACTGTGTTTTTCTCTAGAGTTCGGCAGCGACGCTAACTTGTCACGATGTAGCAGACAACGGGAAGAACGCGATTCAACAGGGTGATGCAGATTATTAAATATGTAGTCTGTTTCTCATCTCAAGTGCTATCTCTTTATCCGCAGTGAAAATGCATCTATGGTAAAGTAAATCCTCCGTCGATTATCACATTCGAACCCGTCATGTACGTCGAAGCATCACTTGCCAAGAACGTGTACAACTGGATCGATTTTGTTAGTTTCACCAAAAGCTCCAGGTCGGGAGAGGAATCTTACGCCTTTCAGCTCCTGGGGCAGACAAGTGCGGCCTCCTGGAATCATGCTTAGCCATTTCGCCATCAACTCCTCTGGCTGGGTCGTAATCACTGGCTGACGTCAGTAACATGCAAGGCGGAGCTGAACTAGATCCATCAAACTTGGCCACTTACTCTCCGTGTGCACGTATCCTGGGGAGACACAGTTAACGCGGGCAAAGTCAGCCCACTCGACAGCTAGCGACTTGGCGAGTAGCAAAGCCCCTGCCTTGGATGCGTTGTAGGCAGCCTGTGTCTGAGGGACATTGACCAGCCCTGCGCTCACCGACACCGTGATGATGAGGTTGCCTCTGCCCTGCTGCTTGAAGATCTTGCCCGCAGGAATGGCCGTCCACATGACTCCGTCGTAGTTGACCTTGTTGATGTAGTCCCAGGTTTCTTCCCTGTACTCGAGTGACTTGACGTTTTGGCAGACACCGGCGTTGGCGACCATGATGTCAAGCCTGCCTCCCCCAAAAGAAGTGACAATCTCCTGGATCGTGTCTGCTATCCTTGCTCGATCTGTCACGTCAGACTGGTAGGCTTGGACCCTCTGACCAGTCTTTGCGCTAATCTCGAAGGCCACCTCATGCGCATTGGTGCTGGTGTGATAAATGAAGGCAACATCTGCTCCAGCTTCGGCGAGCGCCGTGACAACTTGGAGGCCGATGCCCCGGGAGCCCCCTGTTACGATGGCGATCTTGCCGGCCAAGGAAAACTGGGAGAGGACTGGAGCGTCCAGGTTCTCGGGTAGATTGAGAGGCATGTTTATGGTTGCTGCGAGAGATTTTAATGTCGTGTTAAGGTGGTATGATGGTCAAGATTGCACGGCTGGCTAAATTACCGACATTGTTTAAAATCTTCCCCATTGGAGTTATTTATGTTGAGCTCTTGATACAACATGGGTAGTCGATAATCTTCCACGGCAACAATCCTGCCTAAGGCTGTTGAGACTTTCCATCTCATGCCACCCGAGCCTGCACTGCGGAGCGAATTCAACATCATGTGGTGGTTATTGTCCATCGGCAAGAGGGAATAGTCTTGGCAAGTACAATAACCTTTCCTTCGAGCTAACCTCCCCACAATCTTCTAGCCTAGCCTTGGAACTCCGGGGCTAGTTCATGTTGCTCGTCTCGAGGGAATGACTGCCCAATGCACGGACAAGACCAGGCTTCGGATGGCGAGCCGGCGTGAACCGTGCTGTTGTGTCTGGAGGCATCCACCCAGCGCTAGGTGGTGACTCGGAAATGCCCTCCGCATCCAAGTCCCAGACCCCAGCTTTGGATACCTATAGCGTGACATCAATCCGGGGACCCCGGATCACAAGAAACATCGCACCAATTCCCCTGTATCCTCAGAATCCTAGCCTCGAGGGGTGGCGCGGGGTCTCGTTCATGATTACACGAGCACTATATATGTCTGTGATCCAACTTCCTCTCCTTCAAGGTTAATGCATATTCGCCAATATCAACGCTTCAAACCATCTCATTTTCTACAAAGACACGCTCCAATGGTATTTTTCACAGTAGACCAGACTCGGTCATGGATGGTAGCAGCCCATCTGCAGAAGCGATCGCTTCTGGTGGCTGTCAACGCACTTGCTGGCATGTCCATTTTCTTCTTCGGTATGTTTGAATCGTCAATCGGCATCCGCCAGATGTGAATCAACACTTAGTAACATCTTTGAACTGCACAGGTTACGATCAGGGACTTATGGGAGGTGTGAACCAGAGCACCGACTATATCCGTCGCATGGGTCTGGGTCATCTCGCTGAAGATGGAAGCCCTGTGATAACCAAAACTCTCCTTCAGGGAGGCATCATGGCCATCTTCTATCTTGGTACACTCGTCGGCTGTCTCGCTGGTGGCTCCTTTGGTGACCGGTACGGCCGAATTGGAACCATTGGCCTTGGAGCAGCTTGGGCCATCTTCGGCGCTGCTCTTCAGTCGTCCGCCATGAACCCATCCTGGATGCTCGGTTCTCGGTTTGTCAATGGCATCGGGACTGGTATCTTGAACGGCATTGTTCCAGCCTGGGCCTCGGAACTGTCCGACTATACCAGCAGAGGAACCTTTATCGCTATGGAGTTTACGCTCAACATCTTTGGTGTCGTCGTGGCTTATTGGCTTGCCTACGGCGTGAGCTTCATTGACAACGGCGAGTCTGAGATCCGTTGGCGCTTTCCAATTGCATTCCAGATCCTTCCATTGTTGTGCCTCCTTGCGGGTTGCTGGGCCTTTCCCGAGTCTCCTCGATGGCTCGTTAAAGTTGGCCGCAACGAGGAAGCGCTTTACATCCTGGGACGCCTTCGAGGTACCGAGGGTGAAGATGCGGGCGTTGCCGAAACCGAGTGTAACGATATTCGGAGGGCTATTGAACTCGAGAGGAGCTCCGAATCCACGTCCTACATCCATATGCTGTTTGGCTGGAAGTCTGGAAGACTTCATACCGGTCGCCGGGTGCAGTTGGTCATTTGGCTCCAAATCATCCAGTGCTGGACTGGCATCGCCGGTGTGACCATGTACGGGCCTAGTAAGTTCTCGAGGAACTCCCCGCTTCTGTCCCGGTTGCTGACATTAAGCTCTTAGCGATTTTCCACATTGCCGGCTTTGGTCCCAGCAAGACGCAGTGGGTTGCCGGTCTCAACAACATCTTTTACATGTTCGCCACCTTGATCTGCGTGTACACCATCGATCGCATCGGGCGCCGATGGACTCTCTACTGGGGCTCAGTCGGACAAGGAGTCGCCATGTTCCTCGTCGGCGGGCTATCCCGTGGAGGCCTTAACGCGAGAGCAGATGGCAATATCGGCACCGCGAACCAATGGGGCGCTGCCGCTGCGTCAATGGTTTATCTGTATACCTTCATCTTTGGTGCTACCTGGCTTACGGTTCCCTGGCTCTACCCGGCCGAGATCTTCCCCATCCATATTAGAGCAAAGGGAAACTCGTGGGGTGTTGTTGGATGGAGTATTGGAAACGGGTGAGTAATTCAACATGCATCTCCCTACTTGGCCCGGTGTTCTGTGGCTCACAACTCCTTAGGACGCTTACTCTCCTACTACCGTATATCGTAAGTGCCATCAACGAGAAGATGATGTACATCTTTGCCGTTGTCAACGTCCTCAGCATCCCCATCGGTATGTACCAATCATTGAAATGTAGGAGCTTCCATGTGCTAATGAAACAATAGTCTATGCCCTGTATCCCGAGTCCAATCAGCGTACACTTGAAGAGATGGATCTCCTGTTTGCAGCTCCCACTCCTTGGGCATGGGACGCCGAGAAGACTTTTGCGAGACTCAAGGAGGAGAGGGATGCGGCTGGCGAAATGGTCAAAGGCAAGAACAGCGAAACTCCTGCCGTGTTTGTAGAGAGTGTCTGAAGGATTCATGAGAGTAGCCAAGTTGGTCAGGCGGCTACCTAGCAAACGATGGCCAACCGATGTCAAAGGAGAAGGGCGAGACGGAGTGATCTGATGCTTACTTTCAACTCTACCCTTTTCTTGTAAATATGACTGAATCTTGTCTCCACGTTACTCGTGAACCAATTCTCTCCGTGTTGCCACTACCCGTCTCTTAAGACTCTCAGGACGTAAAAGTGGTTTCCTCCTCTTTTTGTAACTTCGGTTGTAGATTTGCGCCTTAATAACCGTGTTATATGTGATAAATAAACAGGTCGCCTGAAATGCTCTTCTCCCCCAATGTCAACGCAGTTGTCTTTCATCGTTTCAGTTCTGGCCTGCTTTGCAATATCTCGGAAGATACCTACCTCGTCGACCTTGGGTTCTCTGCGAGATGATAAAACTTCACAAGTGCTAAGAGACAATATCACCGGCTTACCTCTCTTTGGCCGCTTTTGTTCATTCTCCTAGAACGTTGCGCATGAGTTGGCTCCATGCCAAGGTCAAATTTTCCCCAGACACGTGGGCACTGCTTCATGGCCTTCATGTAACATGTATATTGCTAACAATAATTCGAGGCCAGTCGAGCTTCCCGTCATACCTAGCCTCCAATGCTCCCATTACCAAATCAATGAGTTCGCCCGTCCTTTGTTCCCTCAATGCCTTCAAGGTCCGCGTACAGCCTCCACTGGTAGTCGAGACTAGGGTCATTGAACCGCGCCTTGATATCCAGCTCCTCAATCGCCTTGATGTCCTCGGCGTCCAGCTGGAAGTCAGCCTCGACATTTTCCTTGATCTGCCAGTCGATGGTGCTCTTCGGAATAACGGAGCGTCCGTTGCTAACACCCCACGCCAACACGATTTGGACTGCGCTCTTGCCGTACTTGCGCCCAAGGTCCTGGAGAAGAGGCTGATCAATGACCCTCTTCATGTGAGAGACTTCCTTACTCCATCCCGTGGCGCGATAGAAGTCATTCATGTTACCCAGAGGACTGAACTGCACGACATGAATACCCTGCGAGCGAAGCCACTGGTTGAAACTCTTCTGCTGCAGGTAAGGATGGACCTCCATTTGGTGAACAGCCGGCACCTGCGCACCTAAGTTAGCCAAGGATCTTAGCATTGAGTTGCTGTAAACTTACAACCGAGCACTCTCCAATGATTGTCTCAAGCTCTGCTTTGCTAAAGTTGGAGACGCCAATAGCTCTTGTCTTGCCTGTCTTGACAAGCTTCTCCATAGCCTTCCAAGTATCCACAAACGTCGTTTTGCCATGGATCATTTTACCGTTGGCGTCTCTGGGAAACCGCTCTTCGCCCCTCGCGAAAGTACAGGGGTAGTGCATCATGAGAAGGTCGACATACGGCGTATCAAGATCCGTCAGTGATGCATCCAGAGTCCTTTCTACATCATCGGGATGAAAATCATTGCACCACAGCTTTGTTCCGAGGAAGATGTCTTCGCGTGAAATCCCACTTTTCTTGATACCTCTTCCAACCTGCTTTTCCACATCGTACACCCGTGCAGTGTCGATGAGGCGCAGGCCAGCTTTGAGAGCTCGCGATACGGCTTCCTCCTGGGCATCTGGATCCTGAAACGTTCCGAAGCCAATGGCGGGAATTGAGGCACCTGTGTTAAGCTTAAATCGTGTCGGTTGAGTCACGATACTTCTGGTTTGCTGATGGTGTGGGCAAGCAAGGCCAGTCCAGGTGGCCTGTCGTAGGGGGCCGGCTGTGAAGCGCCGAAGGAGAGAGGTGGTGGAATGCATGGTGGTGCCTGGCTGATTATTCCCGGTTCGAATGGTGACTCAATGGAGGCGTAGTCGTTTGATTCCCAACCAAGCACGAGGGAGCGTCTTATGGACTCAGCTTATGCTGCGGGGGGAGTCATGCCAACAATCTCGTAACCTCGCAAGCTCATACTCCCTCGACACGATCGCTTTCACAATCTGTGGGGTAGACTAGCCACCCGTGTCAGGGTTTGGACTGAGCGTTTGTCCCTCGTGGCGAGGGATAAGCTGTGTTTAGTGGGTAAGGTCTTGGCGCCTGAATAAGGGATGGTCGTTTGGCTCATCCCGTGGCGGGCCAGGCTCCAACTGTAATAAAGAATACATTATCAATTCATCGTTAACTTGGTGAAGTGGAATTTGATTCTGGTTTCCACACGTAAGTGGTATGGCTGATTGTGGTTTGAGGGAATGGTTTCAATGATGTTATGTATCGACCTAAATTGAACAAATATTTACAATCCCTATGTACCTAACTAATTTCACGTCTATTGATACAGTGAATTTCAATATTTACTTCACGAAATTTGCATGTCGCTGGTGGAGGAAGTCAAGCTTGGCTGGCTCACCCTTTTCCTACCAGTGACGGTGTCGGAGTCCTCGACGACGCCTGCGACCTCCGCAGCCAGACGTCTTGGTCGCAGCGGCAGGAGTTGTGACAGCGGAAGCAGTTCCACCAACAGTGCCAGATGAAGCAGTGCCGTTTGTAGGAACGGTAGGTGTGACAACTGTTCCTCCTCGGTTGATGATCTTGTCCGCAGCGTGCTCGGCGACCACCATGACCATGGCCTGGGTGTTACCCGTGGGCAGATCAGGGTGAATACTAGCGTCGACGACGAAGAGGTTGTCGGTACCCCAGACCTTGGTGTCGACATCCACGACACTGGAGCCGTCGTTCTCGGTGCCCATCTTGGCAGTTCCAACAAAGTGAGAGCCAGTGGTGTAGTCGGAGATGATGGACTCGGCAGTCGTGTTTGAGGCGATGGTCAAGGTGCTGTTGGGCTTCTGGGCGTAAGAGATAAGCTGGTTGAGGAAGGTGATAATAGCTTCCTTGTCACCCTCGGTCTTGAGATACGGCTCCGAGATAAGCTTGGTAGCTCCAGCACTGGTCATGCCCAAGGATCCAGTCGAAGTGGCACCATGGGTAAGGTAAATCTTCATCTTGACGGTGTCGTTGGAAGGAGAGTTGCAAGTTCCCTGAACATATCGCTCGATTCCGTCGGCCTCGCTCTTGACGGAAGACCAGAAGATGAGTCGCTGGCCAGACTGTGCCATCAGACCTGTTCCCTGGGCGTAGAGGTCAATGTTGGTCTGGCTAGGGTCGGTGAACTCGGTGCTAGGCAGAGCCGCGAGGGACTGCTTGGTCTTGAACGTGGCAGTGAAGATGGGGTGGTCCATGAGATGCTTTCCAACGGGGAGGTTGATCCAGTCATTCTTGGCGGGCAGGGTGATGCGGGTGGTGCCGTTGGAGACCGTGGCGATCTGATCCGAGGGGCCGATACCGCTGTTGATGAGAACCCGAGGCGTAGAAAGGGCACCGGAGGCGAGGATCACGGCACCGTTGGCCTTGAGGTTGATGATCTGGCGGGTGCTGGGTCCAGTCTCGACTTCGACGCCGGTGACGGTGCTGCCCTCTCGGATAACGCGGAGAACCTTGGTGTTGAGCTGAAGCTTGAAGTTGGGAAGAGCTTGAGCGAGGGGGAGGTAGTCACGGACAGGACCAGCGCGGAGACCATTGTTGACCTGTGCAATATTAGTATCTGCTCTTGCGGATATAATGCCACTGATTACTTACCATGATTGGCGGGTGAGTAAAGACGGACCGCTTCTTGTCCGACTGCTCGATACCGTCAACCTCAACAAAATTGTTTCCAGAGAGCCACTTGCTCAGCACATTCCAAGCTCCTTGGTCCACCAACTTGCCGTCCTTGGTAGGAGAGGTAGTACCAGGCGTGCGCTCGTACAGCTTCTCAGCTGAACCCTGGACGTCTTCCCACTTCCAACCCGTAGGCCACTTGTCATCAAAGTCGACAGGCTGGGGCCTAACAAACATCATGGCGTTGATGGAAGTCGATCCACCAAGGATGCAACCAGCCATGCTTGCAGTGTCGGTGCAGTAGGCGCTGGTGTCAGCGGCAGTGGTGAGGTAGTAACCCATACCAGGAACATCGTACTGGGTCACAGTGTCATTCCAGTTCATGACAGCGCTGCCACCGGAGGAGTAAAGAGAGGCCTTGCCACGCTCGAGGAGGAGGACGGACTTCTTGGACTCTGCCAATCGCTCGGCAACGATCAAGCCGGCAGCACCGGCACCTGCCACGATGTAGTCGTAGGTTGCGTTGGAGACAATGGTGGTAACGTTGCCAGCGGAGCCACCACCGGTGCTGGGGCCGGAGTTGGATGCGCCATCAGAAGCAAGCTCAGTCCAGGAGCTGAACTTTGACGACTGGGCGGCGGCAAGGTCCAGAGAGAAGCCACCAAAGCCGGCGCCGTGATAGTTGAGCGCACCGTCGGCGGACTCGGGGCTAGAAAGAGCAGTATCGCTCACAGCAAATCCCAAAATACCCGGGGAATCGCTTGCCTTGAAAGAAGATCCGTCGTCCTTGATGCAGCCCTTACACAAAAAGGTGAAGGTGAAGGAAGATGCTCCCACAGTGGTTCCCTTCTCAATGGGCTCGAGGACAACAGAGGTATCATCGAGGACGTCGGGGTTGGAGTATCCGCTAGCCTTTCGCAGCGAGGAAACCACGGCGTCGCCGTTGGGCCAAGCTACAATGAGAATCTTCTTGGCCATGGATGAACCCAGAGACATGGAAACGTAACCCTCGGTGATGGGGGCAGAGAACGTGCCGATGAAGTCGGTGGTGGGGTTCTCAGGGAGGGCAATACCGAAGGTGGCATTGCTCTTGGGGTCGGTCCATGATTGGAACGTGATGCCGGAGTTGGCATCGGTATAAGCGGTTGACTGGGCCTGGGCGAATCCAGTCAGCAGCAGAGCCGCTGATGAAAGGAGAGTCTTGAACTGCATCGTGAGTAAGTATCTGGCTAAGCTTGAAGAAAAGAGTGAAGGATAAGGAACGTAAGTGCTGGTGAATGAATCTCTACCAGCGAGAAAAGAACGTGGAAATACAAGCAACCAGTGCCAAAAAAGAATGAAGGGCAAGCCAGGCCAGAATGAAGTGAGCAAGCAAACTACCTAATAGAACATAAGAGCAGCAATGCCCTGTATTATATAAATTCTAGAAGGAATTCCTTATTCTTGGCCAACGGCACTTCAATCCCGAACTGTCGGGTCTTCATCCTGAACACGAAACAAGGACCCAATAAGCTGGGCTCGAAATCGACCTTATCCCGACTCCTTGTTTCAGTGACGGTGGAACATTATATCCACAAACTGTTCGGAGAAACTCAGCACGAGATTCTCCGTGCCCAATGCCCCCATGGTAATATCCTCGAGACAATGAGGAACAGCGTAAGCCTTTATCGCGGAGCCATTATTGGCGCCGAGGTTGGTGGGCCTTGTTACAGGCACTTGGCACTTGGGCCTCATGGCATGATGGGAGGAGTTGTGTATCTGAAACCCAATCTATCTGTGCATCTCGAAGTGGAGAGGATAAAACTTTTCCCTGGGCTCGTGCACGGTATTTCCAGCAATCAGGGTTTAGTGTTTTGATTCGCGTAGCATAAAGGGCCGTTTACATGGCTGACCCTGGGTTAATTTATCACGTTTCAGGGATGTAAAGTACGCGTCCTCTGGCAGTCACGTGTGTGCTGGAACTTGGAGAGGCTTGATAAATTTTGCAAGGCAGATATCTCGACGTCGATTTCATTGATGAAACCAAACTAGGTGCTTTATCTATATCCCGTCAATAAACACCGGCGTAATTTGAAAAGTAATTGCACGGGAAACTATGATAATCAGATCAGATCAAATACCACGTCTTCACCGTCTTCCAATTCCTCCTCTATGTCCCGATACAGGCTTACAGCAACATTGTGAGCAACAGCAGAGCTCCCAGTGAGTTGTGTCCAGCCATCCAGATGAGGTCCTTCACTCTTATGCGGGAACTTGAGCCACTGAACCTGAGCTGCGCCGACCCGGCAATAATCGCCTGTGCTGCCTATCGCGCAAACTAGGATGCCGACTATGGCAGCTTGGCTCGCGTACAAGGGAGCAAACCACAAGTTCCCATCCATGACAAGACGCTCGATGTCTGACTTGGGTCTGTCTGAGTCCAGGCGTGTGGATTCTGGGCTAGGTCCTTGTTCAAACTCGTGTCCGTACACAGTGAACTTTCTGGGCACATTTTCCGACTCCTCATAGGTTACGTTTTCAACTTGAAGCAGCAGCCCTTCCAATCGAACCGCTCCGCGGGCAACCAATTCTGAGCTTCCCACGGTATGGGAAGGTGGCATGCCCAGAACACTGGCAAACTCAGTAAGTTTGTCAGCCCAAGGAATCTCAGGATAGAAGCATATCTCCCCATCCAGGGAGAGCCATGACCAGCTGGGAGCGCGGGTTGCTGTCTCGCTGACCAGGGTCAGACCTTCTCTATACTCAGTAAGAAACCAAGCCAGGTCGACCAAGAAGGTGCTCTGCAAAGCACCGGCGATGTACTCGTCTTTCCGGCGAGTTTCTATCAACTTGGCGACGCCTGAAAAAGCCACCAACTTGTCCGAGGGAAAGGTAAGAGAACAAGCCGAGTACCTTGAGACCAGGTCGTGCCAAACTCTACAGAAATCGGCCCGTTTAGCATTCTCCTTTGGGAGAGTGACGGCTTGGTGCACTTGCTGCTTCGAAAACGTCCCCAAGCCCCTAGGCAAGCCGTGAGGAAACATGTCCAGCGCATCGAGTCCATTGCATTCCCAGGCCAGCTGCCGTTTACCAAAGTGTAAAACTCTCGGGGCAAGAAACCTTTCTTGGAAGACCCAGCCTCTGCCCATCAATGGTGCTCCAAGGGCCTCATCCGCCCAAACATCTCCGTCTAACACATAATCTTTCTCCAACGGTCCATTGCATTCCACTGCCAACTGACATGGATAAGTGTTATCCAACGGTCCGGGAGTGAATAGTGGGGGGTCATTGCCTTCAGTTGCATAGGACGCTGATAGGTTTAGGTATGAGTGAGCATACACGTTACCCATCTGCAAGGCCTCAACCTGCCAGTCTCCACACTCCTTATCTTGCTTGATGCACAGCGAATCGATCCACAGGTATCGAACATTGAGCTTGCGGGTCATGTCGATTGCATCTTGGAAAACTCGTGGCAGTGTCGAAATGTCGATAGACGTCTTAAAACGGCCTTCTGACCGAGAAGTGAGCTGCTCGTACACATGTCTCCCCCATCTGTGGCTCAGTGTCATGTACGGCCCGGCAGGTTGGATCTCTTTGGCGATGATGAGTTTCATAGTGGCTCCTGGCGTAGCTAGATCCAAGAGTCTGGTTGGGTACCAGATTTGATGGGATAAGACACAAGTTTTATGGTCTCTCTCACATCCCTTGATCCATTCACGGACCCTTTCAAGATCCACGCCGGGTGGGCTCTTCTGGTTGACGTACATATCCGGGCCCTGAAAATCTGCACATTGCTTAGCTAACGTTCTCATTATCGGCATTTATCACGCCAGGAGTTTTACCTGTATCTCTGAGGAAGTTTAGCTGGATTTCACATCCAGCTTCTTCGCCATTAATACAGCGCCATAGGAACATGCTACTGACACGAAGTTTGCGCCGGCCGATACTGTCAGCGGGGAGATCCTCTTCCATGCCGACAGAACTAGGATCAGAGGATCCATCTCCAATCAGAGTGCATACTCCGGCCCGGAATACATTTGTCAAAGGGCCTTGAAGCCACGCTTGCCAAGTTTCTTCATCGTCATCCTTCAGCCAGACAGCGAACTTGGCGCAGATCCAGCAACTCTGTACTGTAGCTGCATCGTACGATGGATAAGTTGCTTCAGTGCTCCGCTGGGGCTCGAGCCCGTCAAGTTTGGGGTATAACGCCACGACCACGTTGCTGCAGATGGTGCAAATCGCCATTTTAAACTGACCAGACTATAGAGGAACGAAAAAGTCAATGCAAGCCGCAGGCTGAATCAGCAAGGCTTTTATGGTTTTCCGGGTTGATATTGACTCCGCTTTACCAATCATGCATGATGCCATTTTGGGAGATATGCATGAGATTGCCTTGATCGTACCATCGGTATTTTTCTACTGCTTAATTGCTTGTCTTTATGACCACTAATTAGGCCTTTTAGTAAACTAGGAGCCATAGTATTATAATATTATGATGCACTTATTCTAAATAGGGACTTAAAGTAAACGATGTCTGATAACACGTGGGATAGAGCTCCTCATAGGGACGTAGAGATAACCTATACAAGCCATCTACCAACTCGGGTAACATCGTGATAATTAAGCATAAATTAGTGCATCACTTTCGTCGATATTTCGTTATACCTTAATCTCAACCTACTCTTTTACGCGATTCATCCTTCCCTTGGGCAACTAGCTATACATGCCTCTAATCTCCTTGTGTTAATCCTTGTCCAACAACCAACGAATCTGAATCACGTGAGATTTGTGTCTTTACCGAAATTTGATCCCACCCTGCATGTGGAGAACACTTTGCTCCTCCCTAAGCGCCAACCTAGCAGAAGAGACCCGAGGTGCGGATACCACTATCCCAATGTCAGGCCATTCAGCTACTGCCTGGCTCGACACGGTGTTATCGGGTCGGGACAACCACCCGGATTCTGTGGCAGCAGATTCGAGCCCACATTCCAAGCGCCGTCGACTTCAGCCACCGACGCCCGAAACACCCCAGGCAAGGACTGATGATGGCACCCTGATTGCCCCCGAACTAGAAGCACCCAATCAGCACCTACCCGACACTCATGAAGAGCCCCAGACGTCTCATAGCCACGACCGCCAGCAGACAGCACCAATAGACTCAAGCTCTCCACCCCCTGCCCTTCCAAGAGAGGATGACGAATCCGACATATCAGACGACTCCTGGATAGTCAGCGCGGATGATCAGCGGTTTAGGGTAAAGAAACGCGAAATCGACATGCTCGATCCAGTACCACCATCCCTAGAAGCTTTACTGAAGAAAATCCGAGAATTCAGCAATGGGGTGGGCATTCTACCGTCTTCAGCACGACGCCGCTTCAACAAGCTCAAGGACAAACAGATGGAGTGGGCCAGGCATGGATCCAAGAGCAACAAACACTACTCTAAAGAACGACAGGGTCTTGGGGAAATTGTCTCCCTAGAAGAAGTACGCAAGATCGTCTTCAGAAATGTCCATTATTCCTACATCGAGGATCCTCACGGTTGGAGGGCCAACATGGACATGGGAGTCAACAACCGAGTTCTTAGCTTGGCCTTTGAACGGCCGGATGGGTACTGTACTATGCTGAATCCTCTTCAGATGTGAGAACCCCCCCTGCCTCAATGGCCTGGCTACATATCTAACTGTTCTATGCTGTATAGTTCCATGGCATCTATTTCTGATAAGTTCAATAAAGGTTTTGGCGATGAAGGAATGGTTGATTTCTGCATCTACCTTTACCTCGACAGCGAACGCTATGCGAAGGAAAGGAATGAGATTGATCGACTTTATGAAAGCCCTGCAGGTACCAGAATCAACCACACGAATTTTGAACCCCTTACACATTTCCCACTCGCCCTAAGCATCAACACTAGGGGTGATGTACTAGACCTTGGGGCGTGGGAGGCTGCACGGTGGGCATGCTTACGAAGTTTGATGAAGGATTGCACTGTCGATGCTTGGGAAGGAGACCCGAAGCCCAGCCTGCCTGAATTTCTCCCGGCAATTCTTGTTGAAGACAACGATTGGGACTTTGTCGTAACCACGCACGAGGGGGGAAACACGACTATCTGGCACCAGATCAAGATGGGATCCACTTCGAGCATGCAGGGGGTTTACCAAATAATTGCCTGTCTGCATCTTCTGAGAGTGGGCAGAGGATGTCTTTTGGCCATGGCTCAGCGATCTGCTTCTCGAGTCACGTCCGAGCTATCGTGCCCAGAGATTCACGCGATCTAGGCCAATGTCCGCAGAGCGATATTATGGAAGGGGGCGGCGAGGGTCATCTGTAACAGATATTAGCTTGTAGGTTGCGGTATTTTACGGTTTGGAGTTCTAACGGCGTGGTGTTTTTAATCACGATGTCGCGGGCGGTGGCCTATCTTGGGGTCCCCATTGTACGAAATGATAAAAAATAATAAAGAATAACAAAACCATCAAGGTAGGCAAGCTCCTCATCTGCTGCCTTGCTGAGAGAAGATGCGAGGCAGTCCATAAGACCCATATTGCCTCGGTAGCTTCTAATAGGTATTATTCACTTTTACTGTTGACATTAAAGTTTATTGCGTTCCACCAAAGATGACGAATCAGATCTATCAGGCAAGACCGAGTCGATAGGTAGTGTAGGGGATAGTCAAGTGGAACAACGCAGGCACTCAACTGTGTCAAACAACGCAAACCCAATGCCATATACGATAGTCCTCTTGATTGAAGATATTATCATCACGGGAAATAGGAGAGGAAAGTGAGGAGCATGGGCAAACTATATCTTGGTTTTGTCTGAGTTGGTTGAGAGGATACGGTACAGGTAGCAAAGAAGAGTGAACTTCAAAAAGTTTGAAGCAGTATTGCCATACCTCGAAGGCCCTCTCAAAGAGATCCGCGCCCGCAAGCCACCAACCAACCTTTGCGGCCCATGGTTCGCCCACCGCCTTGTCTTGGCATGAGGCTCTGCCCAGTGGTTGGCATTTTCTGGACCATAACCCATCACTGTAATAACCTCTCAAGTCACTCGCCTAGGTAGTATAAGTCATGTCGAGGCATAGATAATAGGCCCGTTATGGGCGCTTTGAAGAAAGCAGACGAAGTTGACATTGAGCCCAGCGCCTGACGCCGCCATCACGGGCCGCCAAGAACAGATTCGAGGCCCAGGACGTCATTCAGCTCCTAAAATCGTCTAATTGTTGATGTGCCTCAAGTTTTGTGCGACACGGCATCGCTTAAGTTAGGTGGTCAGCCGAGGCGAGACATGAACACTGTCAATGCAGCACAAAATTGGCCCCCTCGCCCGACCAGAACCTGATTTGGCCAAAGGTGCATGTGTGAGTGAGGCTGACGGTGCCCATTGATTGGTCCTGGAAATCCTCCCCGTTGGCTAAATCGCCTGGTTCTCAAAATTGGCCCTGCCCCAGTACCGAACATGTCTTGTTTGTCGGAAGGAGTTCAGCGCAGACCGCTTCAGATCCCACACCAAGTGTTGCAAGCGCCGTCCTTGCTCGGCAACTGGCTGCGACAAATGCTTCTCCGACGCGGGCAGCCTGAAGCGCCATGAAAGGGAGTGCTTACATGTCAAACGCCAGCAGCCACCATCGAAATACCAGTGCCTTTGCCACAAGACCTTTGCTCGGTGGGACAAGTTCATGGAACATCATAAGCGACGTATCTGCAAGGCTCAACAAAGCTCATATGTTTGCCAATGTGGATTGGAAGTCGCCAGTATCGAACAGTTTCAAATACATCACGAAACAGAAAAGGGGAAGCCAGGACGCCCTCGAAATCAACCAAGACAACCGTAATATGGTGACAATCACGAGGTGGGAATACGGACGAGACGATTCACTTTTTGTCGACTGCCCTGGGCGATGTGAGGAGCAGCATTCGCTTCCCTTACCACCAGGTGGCGGCGAAGCGTGAGCAAGGACTACTTTCATGCATGGCATTGAAGGATTGATGCCTTCTGTTAGGGGGAAACAATGGCGTTGACTGCAATGTCTGTGACGATGCCCATGTTGGTTTGGCCCCGGCGTGGGCAAGGAGGCTGCGCGGTTGGTTGAGACACATGACAGACGTACCGTCGTCATGGGGGCTCCCTAAGAAGCCAGCGTGACAGGTGAGATGGACGGGTAGAGATGCGTGGTTCCAACGTTTTGACGTATTAACATGGAACATTTGAAAGTGTGATGGATTGAGGTAAATGCTTGAGCATTGCTGGTTTTCTTGTTGGGGGGTGTCTTTTGAGGCACCTCAAGGGTCGTGTTGTGGCGGGACGACCATATTGGCCAAACAAACGTCCTGGCCGTTTCCTTTTCCTTTTTCCCCTTTCCTACTTTTCCCTCTCGAACTATTGTTGTGCTCTTCTCCCCGATGTCCATCCCCGACAATGTCAAGTGGTTCTCTTCTTGTCAGAAACTGCTGACGGTTGCTTCGGGTAGAAGGTTTCCGGGCAGTTGCTGCACATTAGTTGGGGGTCGAGCCTCTCCCATCTTTGCCCACGATCGTCGCACATGGCTCGAGGTTTCCCTTCCAGGGCTCGTTGTGTCGATGGGTTTGTTCCTGTACCCTCAGGCGGATGGGTCTTGTCAGGGCAGTATCAGAAACTGATGGCTGACATGCCATGTATTTCGGTGTTGCTTATGTCTCTGTGATTGGCACTATCATCACAGTCGACAAGTGGCTCCCCTCAGTTAGCACGGCCGTTAGATAGGTACTACAGCACTATCGACAATACGGTCTTTATCTTTCCCCACCTGAGTCTATGATCGTCTTCTTAGTCCCATTTGTGGGCAAGGAAGAGCCCAGTCTTGGATACAACTTCCTCCACTTTATCGCATTCTTAAGTGACATCCCTTAATCTCTACACCGTAAGAACGATCATCGGGCTTAGTTAACTCATCAAGGGCCGGGCTGCAACTATAATAACAGATTATCAACACATCATATCGCGACCCGATGTTAACACAGTGGCCTTTTTTAAAACCTTCTGCCATATCAGACACCGTAAGAACATTGTTAAGATATTGGCACTCCATGGGTAATTCCTTTCCTATCTAAAATCACCCACATTCAGACTCCCTTGGTTGCCTTACTCCCACTCCAAAGACTCCCTGTACTCGATCATGATATGATCTCTTTCCTCTTGCAGGTCTAACAGGCCTTTTGATTTATCTAGGCTCCTCCGAAGCTCATATATCTCTTTTCCCAGTTGGTCCCAGGCTGGGCAAATTGGCAGGATGTAAGTTCGATCTTCAGATAGAGCGGCAAGTCGACACACTACCTCCTCCCGCTCAGCTAACTTACCTTCCACTCTGTTCAGTCTTTTCTCCAGAATGCGTGCCGAGTTCAGTCTCTGTCGTAGCTGGACCAATTGGGCCTCGAGACAGGGAATGATGGTGTCAGTGAAGAGTCGAGCAGCCTCCTGAAGAACTTCATCCTTCTCACTTTCCTCCCCATTAGCTTCCCAGGCTTGAAAGAGAGGTTCTAAAGAGGAGATCAATGCCTCGCGGGCCTTTGACTCAAGACTGTTGGACGGCAATTGTTGCACCACAGACGCGCGGCGCAAGGTAGTCTTGAGGTAGCGGAGCTCACTTTCTTTGACAGACACAAAGCGATCCAGTTCTTGTGCCGACTGAAAGGTTCGCTTCCGGCCCTTTCCGCCCCAAGTTTTCTCTGTTGCCTTTGACATGGCTTCTGCCGTTGCGCAGTCCAGGGTCAGAGAGGAGAGTGATGAGGTCCGGTTGAGAAATAGTCGAGACCATTGATCCATCTGCATTAACGTCGTGGCGCTCCTTTGTGCTGGGCTTGGACGGTGGCGTATCTTCTTGGCACTTTCGGTGTTGTCCTGGTGCTCTTTTTGGCCTGTACTAACCCCCGTTGCAGCACGCTCTGAGGCTCTCTTCAGCCTTCTTTTCTCCCGTTGCTTTTCCCGTTTCGTTTTCTTGGATGTCGTAGTTGTTTGAAGCAGGGCTGGTATGTTCGCTTCCTCCATGTTCTCGTCCAAAGTTGAACGAGGTTCCGTGCCCTCATGGTTAGGAGGGAGAACCGGGCGGAAGGGGAGAGAACTGTCAACCCCGCTCTGTGTAACGCCAGGAGATGCCTCGATGTCTTCGTTGCTGGCTTGCGCGCTGACATGTGGAGACGTCGCTGGTGGCGACTCCATTGTGAACTGACCCTGGTGACCAAGTGGTTCTGTGTTGCTTGTTGTAAGAAGAATCTTGACTACTTTTGAGAAGCGCAGAAGCTCGACCTGAAAGATGGGGAAAGCACAGAGCTGATGGCGACTTGTCAAGGCAACGAACGGGGATGCCCTGGTGATGCCTGGGCGCGGGGCTGATTATTCTAGCCAACCGCAAAAAGGTCCGCCCTGGCGAGAGATTGGAAGCAAACGAGGCGGTGCAACTCGCGGGGCCAATTTTCTCGACGGTTTATGTCATATTGAGGCACGTTGGGGCGGCAGACGGGGACATTTTTCTCTACCCAGACTGGTGCGCTGGAAAGACGCTTTTCGCCAAGATCAGAGGGCCAATTTTGTCAATCCCGAGGTTCGCTGCTCGAGCACAATTGCCCCTTTTTCCGACCTAAATAACCACGGCTCATTCCAGTGAAAATTGGCCCCTTCGCGGGGCACATTATATGGCCTCATGGCTTAGAATACACGTCAAACCGGCTCAAATGTCCAGTACAGCCCAAGTAAATTGGCCCCGTCAGCTAGGAATGATCAATGGTTTAGTTTTAAACAAGAATTTGTCTATCAACCTCGCAAACTTTTTCAGCTTCTACAAAGTTCTCTTTACTTCAATTTTTATAATATCAGTCCTTGATTTATCGACCAAGTTATGCTATCTTGGTAACGGGAAACCATTTGCCTTTCCTGAACTCACCCGCAGATACGATCCGAACCTCCTCAGCAATTCACAACTTGGTCATCAGCAAGCTTGCTTCACTTTGAAACAGCACACTTCACCTAAGTTTACAATCCTTGCTACAGAACCAAGTATCTTTCTGTCGAGCCAGCAAAAGATGGCACTTTTTTCACTGGAGGCTATCATAGCCATCATTTCCGGTGCTTTGAGTTTCCTTGTTGCCGTGGTGGGCCTTTGGTTCGCGTACCGGGCTGCGTATTCCTTCACACAGCGGCGTCAGGATCTAGAGGCCTTAGTGCCGGCAGACAATTCCCCGCTCATACCATCGGGCATATCATCGGGGAGTCTCGAGTATATTGTGGCAGTTCCGGACGTCGCACACCTACGACATTCTTGGAGCGAACCCGTTATAGACAGACGTCACCAGGTCCCTCCCCGAATGCTGCCCGCCAAATCGCTGCCCCATTAAGCGTGCGTTCCCTTTCTTCTCACTCCCTCGGCCTTTCAACTTCTCACCGTAATTGGCAGAATAAAACCCAAGCATCCTCGTTTAGGTTCAGGGGCTGGAATGGTCTTATCCTTGCTGATCGTGCTTTGTTATGGACAGCCTCTGAGTTAGGCTAAGCCTGTTGAGTAGGGTGCGATGAAACAAGAACATTACGTTACAGAAAACAGACATGGAAGTGGATCTTGAGCGAGTTATGCATTGTAGCTGTTAGGGAAAAGTCAACACGGGTAAACATTGTGCCACTTGATGCCGTTCAGCGTCTGACTAGATTGCGCACTGCTTTATCAACGATTGTGGCTCCAACTGATAGAGTGCTCTTGAGTTGCCTGCGGGAATGGTGCTACCCTAAATCCGAGTCCAGTGATTGGCAGAATGGGCAATGAAACCCAAGGCTTTCTGCCCAACCCTAATTCTATCATGAACCGAGGCACTAACAAAGTTCGTGAACCCCAAAGCTCAGATAGACGCTCCTCTTTCGGTTGATGATTACTTGTCATGTCTCCTCAAGTAGCGCAGAGGATTTTCTGGGTCCCTAGCGAACTTCTAAATCTGTCGCACTCAAAATCTCCTCCAATAGCTCAGCACCGTCTCCGGACACCCATTTCACAATAGGCCATTGTAAATGGGCTAGCGGTCTTCTTATTGGTCATTGTTAACAAGTGAAGGTTTCGTAGAATGATGAAGCTATATGGTCGCCAGGGAAAAAGATTGATCCGCATCGGTTTCCCTTTGCATTATCCCAAGGCATGTGTCTTGATAGGCGATAGCCCGCCTCTGGTCTCGTAGCCTCACATATGATTGGTTCCCTTGAAGTGCGAGCGCATTACTTGACGGCGCCGGTCTCTTGGCTCCCTGCGGTAGCGCAAAAAGATCGCAAGTGGCAAAAAGAGTGGACAATGGTGGATTCAAACCACCTCTGATGGACGAACAGGGAATCGAACCCTGGACCACTCCCAGAGGCGAGGATCTTTCGGAAGAAACTTGCTAAGGGAGTATTATACCACTAAACCATTCGCCCGGAATGCTTGTGTTTTGCGATGTTCGGCGTCTTCCTCCAGCAGCTCATGAACAGACAGACCCGTTGCCATGGTTCAGGATATTTTTAGCTTGGTGGAAAATTCCGATGGAAGACGACGATCTTTATTTAAGTGCTGGTTTGTCAATTGCGTCACGCGCGTTTCACCTAGGGTGCCAGGGTGCCCAGAAATCCAGGGGCTGGCAATACGGGAAAAGAGCAGAAACCCCCACCTAACAATCTCGTATCCCAAACCTTGGTTTGATTGGAGGCGGCAATGCCCGTTACTATGGAACCTATGCATGCTATTTAAAATGGCAATGGCAGCCGCTATGCTTCTAGCATGCTTCTAGAAGCCATAACTAGACGACATCCCGTTCGATTACTGGGCTGGCTAACGATGCTATCGCACGCCACTCTTCACCTATTGGTGGCCGCCGGGCTCGCCTTTGGTGCCGAGCTCGACTTTGTCAAGCCATCCAACAGCTACATCGTGGAGTACAAGAGCGGAATCACAAAGAGAGACAACATCTTCTCTCGTGATGCTAGCATCAAAGTTGTCCGAGACTTCCACAGCGACATCTTCTATGGCGCCAACATCGAGGCTGAAAAGCACTCCGCCGAGGAACTCCTGGCCCTCCCCGAGGTCGCTAATGTCTGGCCCAACCGCTACTACGAGCCATTGAGGTCTGTTAAGAGACAGGCGGCTGATAACTCGACCGATCTGCCGCCTGGATCTGACCTCGATCCCAATGAGTACGACGTGCACAACGCAACAGGCGTGTGGGCTCTCCACCAAAAGGGCATCAAGGGAAAGGGCGTCAAGATTGCCGTCGTTGACACTGGCGTCGACTACACTCACCCCGACTTGGGAGGCGGCTTCGGCCCTGGGTTCAAGGTTGCCGGTGGTCACGATTTTGCCGGTGATGGGACTTGGCCCAAGGGACCCAGAGAACCTGACGACGATCCAATGGGTCTGCAAGACCACGGCACCCATGTGGCAGGTATCGTGGCTGGCAAAGGCAAAATCTGGTCCGGCGTCGCCCCAGAGGCCACCATCTACGCATACAAGACTTATGCCCGTGACGGCACCGACGAGGCCATCAACATTGACGCCTTCCTCGCAGCATACGAGGCCGGCGTCGACATCATCACAGCCAGTATCGGCCTCGGCGGGGGCTGGTCCGACGGTGCCTGGGAGGAGGTCGCAACTCGTCTCGCCAACAAGGGCGTCGTCATCACCGTCTCTGTTGGCAACGGCGGCGAAGGCGGACCTTATCGCGCTTTGTCCCCCTCTGGTGCCAAGGGCGTCCTTGCTGTTTCCAATATCGACACATACTCGAATCGCGATGCGAAGATGGCCCTCCCCGACTATAGCACTTCATGGGGACCCCTCTTTGACCTGCAGATGAAGCCTGACGTCGGTGCCCCAGGTGCATATATCTACAGCACCGTTTTCGACCACGGATGGGCCATCTATAGCGGCACCTCCATGGCGACGCCCTATCTCGCTGGAGTTGCGGCTCTCTACATTGGCCAGTTCGGCGGCCGGGGCACCCAAAACGGCGCCAAGTTCGCCAAGATGATGCATAACCGCCTCGTGTCCAATGTCCGTAAAGTGAACCAGTTCAGCTGGAACGATCCAGTCGCTTCCGTTGCCCAAGTTGGAAGCGGGCTGATCAATGCCACAAGCCTCTTCGAGTCGACAACTGACCTGATGTACGAGCCCATGGCCCTCAACGACACCCGCTTCTTCAATACCAACCACAAGATCACCGTCATCAACAACAGCAAGAAGCCTGTTGAGTACACCTTCACTAAGGAGGACTCGCAGGGCGTCAACACCCTAGGCAGCGATGCCTACGACACCATTGTCAAGCAGTATGGCGCTCTGCAGTGGTACGAGTACTCTATCAATGCTACGCTTCCAGAAAAATTCACCCTGCAGCCTGGTAAGAGCAAGGTGGTTACCGTCTCTTTCCAGAACCCCGACAAGTCCGACTGGTATAAACCAAGCATGCCCCTATACAGCGGCAACATCATCGTCTCAGGTTCCAACGGCGACCGTCTTGCCGTCCCCTTCGTAGGTATCGGCACTGACCTGAAGGCAACTTTCAAGAAATTGTTCCTTGCCGAGCCGCGTATGCAATCCCTCGACCCGCCCGTTCAGCAAGGCCTCAACGGCTCTACCCCCTCCTTCTCCTTCAACCTCACTGCCCAGGATTTCCCCGTCATCCAGGCTGGCATCGGCTGGGGCACGCGACAACTCCGTTACGACATCTTCGAAAAGGGATGGACAGAGAGCGCGTGGAAGTGGCCTCTCGTACCTGGAAAGAACAAGTACGTGGGCTCGGGCACATGGTGGGTTGGGGCGGGACAGGTTCCCAAGTGGTTTGACGACCAGGGTTGGAACCCAGATGAGACAACCGACTATCCCACGATAAACACAGGTCGAGCAGCGGCCATGCCCGGCTACGACAAGAACGAGTACTGGTGGTTTGGCAAGCTTACCAATGGCACCAAGATTGCTCGTGGAGAGTATGTCTTGCGGTTTGCAGTCCTTGTACCCTTTGGTCAGCCGGAGGTGGCGAGCGACTGGGATACCTTGATGGTGCCCTTCAAGGTGACGGGACAATACAATTCTTTACAGTAATTCGTAAATAGCTGAAACATTCACGGTATATAGAAACATAGACATAAGCTGTTAAGCTTTTAATAGATACCTCAGTCATTAAGAATGTCGTGAGATTATGAAAGGCAACCTACGTGACTTTGCCATCAAGCTCCTTATAACCTCCTTCGTTCACCCTCCAGTTTTGCCTTATTTTACGCATAGGGCCTCGCAGTCCTACTGGCAACTGGAATATTCCCTACATATTTGGGAGGCTCACGACACCACATAGCCAAAGACATTGACTGCTCACTGGACATCATGAGATACGATGTACCAACCCTGTCCAAATACACCCCTTTAATCTTCAGTATATGAATCAATTGAATCATTCCATAAATAAAGAAGCCTATACGCCAGTTCCAGCCCGTAAGACACGCCTCTAGTAGCAGCAATTTATCCCCAAACCCTAATTCCTTTAAGCAATCTATACTCTATGCTTTCCGCCAGCTATTCATGTTAGATGACACGAGTATCCCTCAGTGCCTGCCCAGCACCAAGACCATTCACATCCACTTCAATACCCCCAGCCATCGTTGGTCTCTGGGGCACAGATGAAGCACCGCTGGCCTTGATATGCAGTTTCTCATCTTGGGTGAATGTAATCTTCTCCTTCTTGAGACCCATCGAATCGAGAAAACCAATGGTGTCTGCCAGTTCTTGCTCCTTCCTGGCTGCGGTCCAGTGAAGTTCTTCAGCCATGATGTCGATGACCCTTGGCAGGACCTGTAGCGCTTTTGAGGCATCAAGGAACGACAGACGGGTCCGGCGAGCGATGATGTCCGCGGCTGTGCAGGCAGCCTCGGAGCGCACTCCATGGGTGATCTCGGCCTCGATGAAGGGCAGATTTGGTAGCAGCCGGGTGTTCAGACGTGGTGAAATGGCGAGTAGTGTCCAGGCTCGGTCGCCGTAGTTGGTGGCAAGGTGGTGGGCAATATCGGTATCGATGGGGAACACCTCCATCAGTCGTGAGGCAAGGGAAGACCAATAGCCATGTGCTCCTACTAAGGGTACGTTGCGTGTACAGCATCTACCGCTAGTCGTGAACCCTAGTAGCCCGGTACCACTGATATCGGGAAGAGGTATAGCACGCGGTTGGAGGTTGAAAGTCTTGATGGCTTCATCAACCGTGTCTTCAGCCATTTGTCGATAGGTGGTCCATTTCCCACCTGCGCAGGTGAGAAGACCCGAAGGAGAGACAGTTATGAGATGGCTTCTGACAAGAGATTCGGTGTTTTTAGCTCGTGGGTCGCAGACGAGGGGACGAATTCCTATATGGTGTAAGTAGATGGACAAACATTCAAGACGGATGATTTACTCACCTGACCAAGCTGCCAATACATCATCCCTAGAGAGCACCGATTCTGGTGACAAAAGCTTGCTGACCTCATTGAGAATGAAATCCACGTCGTCTTGCTGCGCTACAGGAGCCTTCTCAACGTTGCACGGGTTATCCGTTGTTCCAGCCAGAGTAAAGCCTTGCCAGGGGAGAACAAAGATGACACGCCCGTCCGAGGTAGCTGCGTCAAGCATTCCCATTCCATTAGGGCATAGCCTCTTTGGCAACATAATGTGGACGCCAGATGAGGGAGCGACAATGGGCTCTCTGGAGGGTTCATCCATTTGTTCAATGGCGTCGGTAAAGGGACCGGTCGCATTGATGACGCCCTTGGCATGGACTGTGAAGGCTTGCGATCCGTCAAGTACATCTCGTACCTTGGCACCGCATATTTGGCCTCTGGCGTCTTTCTCGAGACCAGTGACCTCGACGTGGTTGAGAACGGTGGCTCCGTATTGAGAAGCTGTCATCGCCAGAGCGACATTCATCCTCGAATCATTGTGTTGTCCATCGTAGTAAACCAAAGCGCCAACCATATTATCCCGTCGCAACAACGGAAACGCAGCGAGGGCTTTGCTCTTACTCAAGTAATAAGAACTCTCGAGACCTTGCGAACCGGCGAGAAGGTCATATGCCTTGGTACCAGCCCAGAAGTAGGGCGCTTCCCACCAATGCTGCAACGGCAACAAGATTGGCAGTGAACTTGACAGATGCGGCGCAATGTTGAGAAATGTCTTGCGCTCCCTCAAGGCTTCCATGACGAGCTGGAGCTGACCGTAGTCGAGATTCCAAACTGCCTTTTCGAGATAGCGAACACCGCCATGCACCAGCTTTGTGCTCTTGGAGCTTGTACCCGAGGAAAAATCATCGCGCTCGACGAGTGCGACTTTTAATCCTCGTGTGACGGCATCGAGAGCAATGCCTGTTCCCGTTGCGCCGCCGCCGATGATGAGTAGATCATACTGAGCACTCTTGTCTGGTGTGTTGCTGCGACGCAGGTCGGCAAGCTGTTCGGCGCGGCTCTTTGTAGCTTGGAAAGTTGGTGGCACGATACGGCCGGTGGAATCGCGCTTGAGAGGAGCAATTGGTTTGTCGATGGAATGTGTCTTGTTTCGAGTCGCGTAGACGATGCCACCGGCCGCTACAGTGGCTGTTGCAGCAGCGCAGGCGACGAGCAGTGGTCGCTTGACTGTTCGAAGTCGCTGTTGCATGGTGGTTGGTGTGTACTTTGACGACTGAGCTCCTCAGCGCTCTTGAATAGCTTCGAGCGCGCCGATAGGAATGAGGGTGGTAGGGTAGGTCTTGAGGATGGTGCCAAGTTGATCAACTTGGAACAAAGAGAAAAGTATGTTTATAACAGACGATAACTTGACAATGACCGTCACATTTGAAAAAAAGATTTCATCATTTGCCGGGTGAAAATGGACCACTCGAGCAGCTCTGATATCATACCTGACGCTCTCTTCTGCAAAGAACCGGAGAGGACATGCCGGCCACGCCAAATCACGGTCCCAAGTTTCTCCCCGTGACCATTTTCCCTCAACCTCCCCGTCGAAATGAAACCCCTTTGCCCCGCCAGAACCTCTCATCTGACAAGTTGAAGTCGTCCCGAACATGGCAAGTGAGCCAATTCTTGACCAACGCTCAGCCTCATCCACAAATATGCAAGTCGGTATTTCAACACCGAGATACTAAGCTATACAGGGATTAGGGTCATGACCCCTGACGGCTGCATGTCGGGGTTTGGTACCGAAGATAATTCACCGAGCACGACCGAGAGATTGATTGTGCGCCCGCTACCTCCGGCGGCAAACTTGGATTCCGTGGCCACGTGCTGATATTCACCGAGGTACAGAAAAATGTTGTTGGCTTGGCTGATGTTGCTCTTCAGGTAAGAGGCGCATGCAGGTTGGTACCATTCGGACTAGGTACGCTTTCAGGAAGGGAGCCGCAAAACCTTGCAGTTTCTTACTGTATCCACTTGGTTGGTGTGGGTCAAATATCCTACCACGTTGTATCTCGGCTCCGCGTCAACTCACCCTAGAGTTGGAACAGTGATGAATGGTGTTATCAAGGTCGAATCTCAGCAGACTTTCTCGCTTCATGGGCTTCGAGCATTGTGATTAGTTTGATGTGGTATGAATATCACTTGATATCAAGGCTGGATTAGATGCCCAAAATACAGTGGAGGAGAAATACTGGAGCTGGGCATCGTGATAAAATCCATTGATAGCCAGCGAGTTGGCCAACTGCTGAACACTCGATACAATCCCACTACAGAGTGCCTCATCACCAAGGACTCATTGATTGATTCAAACATTTCCATCAAACCTCAAAAAATATCCACACGATCTCACAATGTCTCAGAAATGCTGACGTTCCCAAGTTCCACCAGCGCTGATCACAAACTCCAGTGGAGAATCGTGAAGTGGGCACCGTGGGGTTGAGACAAAACGTTCTGACGATCAACGCTATCAATTGACGCACTACCTAAAGTAACTATAATGCTCTCCAAACATGTTTCTCATTCTCATGTGGGTTCTGTATTTCCTCTTCTCTGTTCGTTTCCTGTTGCTTTGCTTTCACCCACCAAATTCGACTTTTCAAAGATTCTCAAACACCCCGCCCTCACCTCAAAGTGCCCGAGTCCTTCAACCATGCCTAACGAACGGACCCTATACCTGCGAATCCAGGGCGCGGTCATAGGTGTTGGACCAGACTGATCGACGAGGGGTTACCAGCCGCTTGAGTCCCATGTAGGGAGTGTTCATTGGGCTGGGGCCAGTGTACATAAAGGTATCATAAAGGAAACCACCAAAGGATGTACCAAGAAACGGGATAACCATTGGAATCTATCATCAAGGTCAGTTGAGTGCGTCATAATCAATCAAGACTTGACTTACCCAGAAATAGTATCCTCCTGCAGACCAAACCTCAGTTCCGTATCCGATCATGTACGAAACCAACCGCGGTCCAAAGTCACGAGCCAAGTTGATGGCATAGCCAGTCTCCCAACCCCAGCAAGCACCGATACCAAAGATCAAGAAGAACAGGGCAAGAGGCATCAACGGACCGGCACCAATGTTGGTACTATCCGCCAATGCAAAGATGACAAACTGCAGGATTGTGCTGGCGATAAATTCGGAAAAGACCATGCCCGTACGCGTCATGAAGGCAGCGGGATACGTGCAAAAGATGCCCGCCGTCGCGTTCTCGCCTGTGACGGTTCGGATGCCCGGACCACCCTCATACGCGTTGATGGCAGACTTGTAGTTGCCGTACACGACGGCGGCAGCAGCCATGGCTCCGAGGGTTTGGGCAATGGCATAGATGGGGAGCTTCCGCCAGGGATGGCCTCTGAAGATGCAGTTCGCCAAAGTCACGGCAGGGTTCAGATGGCCTCCTGATTTACCACCGACGTATACTCCAAGCATGACGCCCAATCTATTCAAGCAAGTTAATCAAAATCCAGGTCAACTCTCACGATTCAAGACTTACCCCCAACCCCAAGAGATACTTTGGTAATCACCCTTGGTTCCTCTACTCAGGACAACCTGAGCAACAACACCGTCGCCAAACAGAATCATGACGAAAGTGCCAAAGAATTCCGAAAAGGCATCTTGGCAAG